GTCAAAAGAATCCACCCATCAACCTATGCTTAGAGGAAAGGGGGTCCCCTGCCCCGACAGAGGTGGAGGAGTGGCTAAACGACACAAGAGCTCGACATCCAGACCTGGGCAGCTATAATTACATAATGACAGGGCTGTACAAAGATCTGTTGGAAGAACATCAAACTCAGCTAAATAAAGAACTGGGGCCTATTAAAAACTTTCTTTCAGAATGTTTGGGTTTGCTCACCTCCCTGATTGAACTAATCAGGAGGAAAGAGGATTGCCACTCCCACAAAGAAGCCATCAACAAGCCAAATGGAAATAAAACCCAGTCCAACACCAAAGAAAGGAAAACAAGCAGAGCCAAACTAGCCCAAGGAAAAGTACTGGCCACTAGGAAACCTTCCTTAAAGGGAAAGAGCCCAATGCATAAGAAGAAGCCGAAGAATGTGAAAATGGGTCGAAAGGCTAAGCTGCCCTCTCGGACTGGGAAAGTGAATTTCTCAAAGTTATTCAAGATTCTGGAGAACTCAAGCACAAAGAACTCCAACAAAACAACGCCAAATAAGAGCCAAAGCCCAAACATTTTAAATATACATCAGGTGACTAGCCCTCCAAGGCTAGCAAAACAATCGCTGCCCTCTAGTGGAAAATTAAAGGAAACTCCAGATCCAAAGCAAGAAACTCCCCAGAAGGGAGTACAAAAGAGCCAGAACTTAATTTTAATTAAACATAAATTAGTCCTCCTCCCTCTCTTCAAGCATGGAGGCCTTTCCACGCTTGCACAACAGAGAATTTATTTACTTAAGAAAATTGACTTAGTCATCAGAAGCCTTATACCAGCAGGAAATATTGTCAGCGTTAAATTTCTTCCTTTTGATATGGTCCAAAACAGAGTTGTGGTGACCTTTAAGGACTGGTCGGTAACTAAACAAATCATGGACAAGAGGGACAGGCTCCAGAGGGCTGGCCTGTTGGTGACCCGCCTTTTTGAAGAGTCCGGCGTTCCACCATCCCTCTTAGGAACACGTAAGCCGACTAGTCCGCGCACAGAATTGGAAATGGCTTCTGAAAACTGCAAACAAGGTCAACCGGAGGCAGTCAAAATTTCCAAACAGAAGGCTAAGCTCCAAAAAAACTTTACTCCCTTCCAATGAATCCAAAAAAGAAATCTTAAATGAAAAGGAGATGCTCTTTCTAGCCTCCCTTGAGCAAATTCAACAGTCCCAGGATGCGTTAATAGCTAGGTTACAAACCATTAAAAATCATTATTCCGCCAAGGTTTTTCTGCTCCTTTGGAATTTAATTTTGCTACTAACACAACAAAGCCCTTATCCAACGAAGACTGGACGCAGTGACGGTTCAAGTCCCCAGAAGAAGTGGGTTCTCCCACACAACCCTTAACACCTCAAACAACAACACACCAGGTAGACCTTGCCATGCCGATGAGTAGGAACGGTTCAATCTTTGTGGATGCCTCAGGATCCTTAGATGGCATTCAGGTGGAGGATTGAAAGACAGATACAGCGAGGGGACACCACGCCAGTGAAACAAAACTCACTAGGTTAGTACCTACCACAAAGGATACCAACAGCTCACTCCACCTCTACAAAAACATTCATTCCATCATCCTAAAGAACAAACGGAGAAGTCTACCTTTGTTCCCCTCACCACCATATTTTCACATCTTATCGTGGAATGTGGCGGGCTGGCTGTCTAAGCAGGGCGCTGCTGATTTTCTGGATTTTCTCTCAAAATTCCAGATTATTTGTCTACAAGAGACCTGGTGCCTAGACTCTCATCCCCCTTACTTACAGGGCTATGCGGCTTTTGCTACCCCTGCGAAAAACTAAATAACCGTGGCCGACCTAGCGGCGGTTTGGTCACTTTTATTCCTATAGAGCAAGGGTACAGGGTGCGACAACTGCAGTGGATGAAGAACAACAATTTTCAGATTTTACTTATCTCCAATAACACAGGAGGAGATCTTCTATGTTTCAACGTCTATATCCCCCGTGTGTACTTCCTCTCAGACAGTACAAATCTGGGAAGATTTGGAGTCATGCTTGGAGAAGGCCAAAATAGAATTCCCTGACTGGAACATCCTGCTGGCAGGTGACTTTAATGCCAGGATAGGCAGCGACATCAATTCGTATAGCTCCAAAACCCAGTTTCTACCAGAGGCAGACTGGCTTATCCCTTGGAGTTCTGATGAAAAGGTCTTGAACAAGGCAGGTATTACATTACTGGAGATTGCTTTTAAGCATAATCTGTACAACCTGCATGGTACTTACATGGACAGGTCAGGAGGTTTCTTCTCTTTTATCGGCCCTTGTGGTGCAAGTGTGATTGACCATATCCTGGTCTCTCCAACAATTTTGGAGAGGGTACAGGGTCTCAGCACTTTTAATAGAATTGAGAGCAACCATCTTCCTAGAGCAATCTCACTAACTCCCCTTGAATCAGGGGGATTACAACATCTACATTGTGCAGCCCCTCCTCAAGCACCGGCCCCACGCAGGCGTAAATGGAACAGCGAGCTGGAGCTTAAAATTAATCAACACCTGCACTCTCCAGATCTATTGGTTCTGAGAGACCAGTGTCCTTTACCTAACTTTGATCCTTTTTCACTATATCAGCGGGTCTCAGAGTCCCTTTTCCCATTTCTTATAAACACCAGGCCTCCCATACAACATAACAAATCGGGGCCTGGTTTGACAAAGACTGCCGGAAGCTAAGATCCCTGCTTAGGAAACAACAAAATAAGGTAAAACAGGAGAGGACTTTGTCATCTATGGTAAATTTCCACAGATGGCGCTCTCACTATAAATACACCTTAAAACTCAAGAAATCCCTTTACAGGAAGAAACAATGGGAGGCACTTGATAAGGCGATTAAATCGCGAGACGATAGAAAATTCTGGGCAATAGTAGCACAGGGAGTCTCATCCAAAGGAAAAATTATAAACAGCAGTATTCCATCCGAAGTGTGGTATCAACACTTTCTCAAGCTATACACACTCTCAAATACTGCTAATTTGAGTCCGCTCCTCCCATTGAAGAATGAGCATCTAGTTAGTTGGGATCCTGTTACGGAATCAGAGTGCCTACAGCTAATTAAAACTTTAAAAATGGCAAAGCTCCTGGCGAGGACATGATCCCCTGAGGTTTTTAAATTAAATGCCCAATGGTGGGCCATCTTTTGGCCAAACTTTTTACGTCATTGAACAACACATGTAAAATCCCAGCAAATTGGAAACTAAGTGTGGTAGTCCCTATCTATAAGAAGGAGACATTCAAGATCCAGCAAACTACCGCCCTATAAGCCTTCTGGACATCGCATACAAACTTTATACCCGGTACCTATTAAACAAGCTGGTAGATTGGGCGGACCATTCTAACCTGTTCAACCAGGAACAGGCAGGATTTAGAAAGGGCCACAATACGATAGGTCACTGTATGGTACTACAGACCCTGGTAGCTAAATATGCAAAAGCGTATAAGAGCAGACTCTTTGTGGCCTTCGTAGACTTGACATCTGCCTTCGACTCAATCTGTAGAGATAGACTATGGAAAAATTATATGAAACGGACATTGACAGACGACTTTTAAAAATTCTCAGAGAGTTACATACAGACATTACAGTCAAAATCAGAACTGGGCCATCGGGAACTCTTACGGACCCACTGCCATTGGGGAAAGGGGTCAAACAGGGATGCCTGCTAGCCCCATTTCTTTTCAACTTTTATATAAACGACATTGTCCAGTACATGGCAAAGTACAAGTCATCGGCTCCAGCCCTTGAAGGTAAACGCCTGAATATTTTGCTATATGCCGATGACATGGTTTTAATGGCACTCACCCGAAGAGGCTTACGCAGCATGCTGGAGGGGATCGCAGCCTACTGTTCCCATAATTCACTAAAGATAAACCATGATAAAACAAAAATTGTGGTGTTTACTAGAGCTCGCCACACCTTTAGATGGTCTTTAGATGAACAAGTGATTGAACAGTGCCCTTTTTTAAATATCTGGGTGTTACATTCCAGGCTACATCTAGCTGGCTAGCCCACTTTAAGGCTGTAACCATCCTAACACGAAGAACAATTGGTGTTTTGCTTAGTTTCTTCCATACCAGGGAGGACAATTGGTGATCCTGCATTAAGAGCTTCGCTGGGAAAGCTATTCCCCAGATGTTATATGGGATAGAACTCTGGGGTGGAACCAGAGGCTGTTGGAACGGCTTGAAATTTTGCAAAACTACTATCTCAAGAAGATTCTAGGCCTTCCTCAAGGAACCCCAGCAGCCTTCTTGAGGGTGGAGGTTGGTTTACCCTCTGTGTCTGCCAGGGCCCACCTAAGATTCCTACGATTTTACATCAACCTTGCAAACTCTTCAAACACCTTATTGGCCAAACAAGCCTTCGTATCTTTTCAAAAGAATACCACTTGGCGCCAAAACTTATCTGAGATCCTGGTTAGATACACCCTACCGGAGTTTAATATCCTCAAACGGTGGAGCCCGGACAAAGTCCGGAAATGGATCCTGGAGAGAGACGCTCTGTTAGATACCACAAAAATACAGATCCCAGGGTCCTCCCACTGGCTCCCCGACTGAAAGCAGTCAAAATCTGCGCCAACTACTTGGCGAATATCACCAATCCCACTCTTCGGAGAGCCTTTACTATGGCCCGTTTTCAAACCATTCCTACGGCCTATCTGTCAGGCAGATATGCAAAAATCCCAGTAGAGCAGCGGATATGTCCTTGTTATATGAGAACCAAAGAGGATCTCATACATTACATGTTGTATTGTCCCATCTATTCGGCCTTCAGGGATGCGATGTTACAAACTATACCTAAATCAATAGTCAACTCTGAGGACCAAGTAAAGTTTTTACTGGTAGACGCTGATCCACGGATTTCTCACGTGGTAGCGGTCTTTGTGGTGAAGGCTATGAAAACTAGGGTATGGTTCCTGGATGAAATGGTGAGGTCCCTCCCATTGCTCTCCTAACCTGTTGCTGAACCTTCTTCCTTGAATGGTGGGGTTTTTTGGGTAGTTTCCTTGCTGGGACAACATGGCATGAATTTTAGCTTACTTTTATAATCTTTTTGGTTTATTTTTTTAATAATGTTTTATGGTATTTTGTGTAAAGGCATGGACCTCACAAATTTAATAAATTTGTTGTTGTTGTTGTTGAGAAAGATATAAGCTATAGATAGATATTTTCTAGAAACTCATGTCGCTGCGTGCCTACGGGAGGTCGATGGATCGTCCGGCAGACGGCTTGGGGGCCATGATGGACTTTATCTCCCTGGCAGTATCCCAACAACAGGTTTCGGGCCCAGATTCACGGCACTTACAGGAGAGTAAGACTGCGACAGACTGCTGAAAGGTATGTGGAGGAAAAGCGAAAGTGAGGCTTTTCGTTGCCGCGGCAAAGTCCCTTTGATGTCCGGCAGGCCTAATTGGATCTGGGAGCCGCGCCAAAGGCTTCGTGATTAATGGGAGCCAAGATAAGGAGTCTCTGAAGTGAATAAGACTCAGGCTCAAATAAAAAGCTGGAATGGAGTTTTTCCAGGCTGCTGAGTGCCCAAAGTTAAATTGGCACAATTATGGGACCTGGGCTGTGTGGTGTGAGAGTTTGCTGCGTCAGTTTGGAGTGTGGCATACTGTGTGTGAGGCCCCTCCAGTTCCTCTGACAGATAGATGGAAGGCCGAAAATTTGAAGGCGATAGACGTAATAGTCTTGTCCGTCTCTCTGGAGGAAATAAAAACGCTTGCTGGCAATGTGACTGCACGTAAGATGTGGCATGCTTTGAAGATAGCCCATTTGCCAGTCATCCCAGCCCAGAGTTTGACTGCATCGGAGGTCCTGGCTGTTTCCCCGAATGCGAGTGAATGCCGGGATTCCGAGGGCACCGGTTGCAAGCTGCAGGGGGAGCTGACTGTCACGTCATCCCAGGCAGCATTCCAGCCTCCAGGGGGAGCCAAGGAGTCGGCAGCTGACAGCTCTGTTTCTCATGGGAGCCAAGGTCATCGCCTTTGCAGAGGCCGGAAGGGCAAAGGTAAACAGAGGCAGACGCCTGCAGATGGCCAGAAGCAGAGGGAGGGTGAAGAGCCCACGCCAGAGGAAAACAAGGTTTTGTTTACTGGCACAGCTTCACCAAAGGCTAAAGGCAAGTCTGATGGCCAGGAGCAGGGGGGCAAGCTGCAAAAGCCCACGCCGGTGGAAAACAAGGTTTTGCTTGCCAGAAAGACTGCTCCAAAGGCCAAAGCCAGGTTTGTTGTTGATTCAGGGAGTACCCGCCATGTCTCAAAAGACCGCCATCTCTTTATCTCCTTCAAACCTCAAGAAGGTGAGATCCACCTGGCTGACGGAAAGACGTTGCGGATCGCAGGAGTCGGGACTGTGAAACTGGCAAGTCTGCACACTACCATCAGAGATGTACTTTATGTTCCAGGTGCTGCAGACAATTTGCTCAGTGTCCCACAGCTTACTGGGCGTGGTTTTGAGATTTCCTTCAAGAGGAGCGTCTGTGTCATCAGAAAAGGCAAAGAGGACATTTTGCATGCAAAGTTTATGGATGGCTTGTTCTGTATAACTTATGATGACATTGGTGCTGTTGTGTCTAATGTTGATTCTTGTTGTGTTGCACAAACTAACAAAGTTCTTCATGCAGGATGCATTCACGATGCACACAGAAGGTTTTGCCACCTCTCTTGGAAGGCACTGGCCAAGATGCCAGAGATGGTTGAGGGTTTGAACATCAAACCCTGTAAGTTTCACATGAAATGTGTATCTTGTGCAGAGAACAAGGTGAAGGTTGCTCCAAAAGGCAAGGAGTCTAGCAGGCAGGCTTCCAAACCCTACCAGCTAGTGCACGCAGACCTGGTTGGTCCACTTGCGCCCTCTTTGGGTGGAGCAAGGTACTTCATGGTTCTAATTGATTCTTTTTCCAGGTACATTCATGTGTTTATGCTCGAGCAGAAATCGCAAGCGTTTCCTAGGTTCAAGGCATTCTGTGCTTGGTTGGAAAATGTTCACGGTAAACGTATTGGCTGTCTGTTTACTGATCGAGGCGGGGAGTTCACTTCTCAGCAGTTTGAAGTTTTCCTGACTGAGAAGGGAATCCAGCATGACTTGTCAACGCCTAGATCGCCATGGATGAATGGGCTTGCGGAGCGAGCAAATCAAACGTTGCTGCAAGGAATGAAAACATTGTTGCATGATGCCAATCTCCCTGATAAGTTTTGGGGGGAGGCTCTGTCAAATTTTGTTTACACTTTTAATCGCAGATTGTCATCACCTATTGGTTGTACTCCCTATGAGAAGATGTTTGGTAAGAAACCCAACATCAAACAGATGAGAATCTTTGGTTCTGACATGTGGGTACACACCCCACAAAGCAACAAGCTTGGGAAGCGTGGGGCACATGGTTTGTTCATGGGGTACGAAAAAGGTGCATACAGGGTATGGATGACCAACTCTAAGTCCATTAAGTTCACAAAGAGTGTTGAGTACAATCCTAAGTGGGGAAAATGTGGGAATTTTCCAGAGTTACCCAGAGGAGGATGAAGGTGATGTCAAAGAAGCAGCTAAAGCTGAGGAAGCTGCTGAGGATGATGATGACGATGATGATCAGAGTTCGGATTCCAGTTCAGTGGGCGGCGCTGCTGCTGATGTCAGCGACAGTGATGACACAGCAGACTACAAGAGCGTGAAGGCCTCAGTCAGACCATCTGATGCGTCTGACAATGAACTGGAAGAACAACTGTTCACCATTGGTCGCTTTTCTCCTAAGAAAGAGGAGATGAGTCCAGAAGACTTGCGTCTAGTACGCAGATCTGAGAGGGCCACGAAGGGCAGACCTCCAAAGAGATTTGCTGATGAGTTTGCTAAGACAGCAACTGCTGTTCTTAGTAGCTCAGAGAAGGTATAGGAACCTTCAAGCTTCAAAGAGGTTCAGGAGTTAACCTCTAAAGATGCTGAGCCTTGGCTTAATGCCATGAAGGCTGAAGTTGATTCCTTGAACAGGAACCAAACTTGGGAGTTGGTACCGGTAGTCCCAGGAATGAGACTGGTTGGCAGCAAATGGGTCTTCAAGGCCAAGACAGACCAGAATGGCAAGGTTGTCAGACACAAAGCCAGATTGGTTGCCAGAGGTTTTTCACAGGTACCAGGACAGGATTACCACGAGACCTATTCACCCACAGTCAAATATGAGAGCATTCGGCTGATGCTCAAGATAGCTGCAGAGGAGAAACTGCATGTTTCCCATCATGACATTAATACAGCTTTTTTGTACGGGATTCTGGGGGAGGAGCTGTTTATGCTTCCACCTGACGGGATGCAGATACAGAAGGGAATGGTCTGTAAACTGCGGAAATCATTATATGGTCTCAAGCAGAGTGCCAGGTGTTGGAACACGAAACTCACTGAGACATTGCTTTCTCTAGGTTTTCACCAGGGCAAAGCTGATCCATGTGTGTTTGTCAAGGAGGAGGGGCAAAACAAACTGTATTGTTTATGTTTTGTTGATGATCTTCTGATGTTTTGGAAGAATCAGGCTTTGTACCAAAGCACCCTAGCTCAGCTGAAGGAGCACTTTGACATGAAGGATCTTGGTGAGGTATCCAACTATCTTTCTCTGCAGGTGGAGAGGGACCAAGCAGGTAATTTTCTGGTACACCAAACACAGAAAATTGCTGATGTATTAACCAGGTTGAATTTGGCTGATGCAAACCCAGCAGACACACCGATGGTGACAGGTTACCAGGTAGATAGTACTGCTGAAGCGTTTTCTGACACAACGCTGTACAGATGCATTCTAGGCAAGTTGAATTTCATTGCTGGATGCTCAAGACCTGACATAGCTGTAAGCTGTAACCTGCTTAGCAGACATGCTAACAATCCTACTGTTCAGGATTGGAAAGCTCTGAAGCGCATAGCCCGCTATTTGAAAGGGACTATGCACTACAGGCTGAGGTTCACCAGTCAGAAGACTGGAGGTCTTGAAATCTTTGCAGATGCAAGTTTTGGAAGTGACACCACGGATGGTACAAGCACTTCTGGAGTATGCTACATGTACAACCACTGCCTGTTTGACTGGTTGTGCAAAAGCAGACGACAGTGAGCCTAAGTTCCTGTGAAGCAGAACTCAATGCTCTGTCATTTTCACTCATGGATTGTGAATGGTTGATGCAACTGTTTAAGGACATCAGAGTTTCTGTGAAATGTCCTGTACAAGTGTATCAAGACAATAGATCGTGTTTGGCTTTGCTGAACTCAGAGAGTTGCAAGCAAAGGACCAAGTACTTGCAGATTAAGCTACATCGTGCAAGAGAGTGTATTCAGAAAGGACTCATTCAGGTGTCCTACATGCCAGGAAATGAAATTCCTGCTGATCTGTTGTCTAAGGTTGTTAACAGAGAACAACTTAAGGTTTACGTACAAAGGTTGCAATTGGGTTGAACCACAGGTACTACAGGTTACACGGAAAGGGGGAGGATGTTAGGATATTTCCGTTCCACCTTAAAAGGGAGCAGGCTGTGAGTCACAGAGTCTGCGTATTTCCTGTTCACAGGATGTTTATGTTTTCTGTTGCTTTTGTTTTCTCTGTGTGTCGCAGACACTAAAAGCAGGCAGTCATGTTTTTCTGTGTTCTGATCAACGCTGAATAAACTTGTAAATAATGCTCTCCTGAGTGCAACTTTTGGCTGTGCTAATTGCTGATAGAGTGTGCATGAGCTCTGGAATGTGTACAAGATATTTTCTAGAAACTCATGTCGCTGCGTGCCTACGGGAGGTCGATGGATCGTCCGGCAGACGGCTTGGGGGCCATGATGGACTTTATCTCCCAGGCAGTATCCCAACAAAGGTCACTTGACAATCCGCTGATTGACAGCACTTCAAAAGTCCAGCCAGATAAGAGGGCTTGGCAGGCCTACTTAGGCTTGCAGAAAGACCTTCCCCACAGCTGTTCTAAAGAAAGGTGTGAGCATCAAACTGGAGTAATAACAGTGGGTGCTCTCCTAATAACTCATCCTATCAGTACAAGGATTTCTGCTTGCACAATGGGATTTCCCCCTTCCCTTGGATACACCTCATGCCCTACCCAAATCTGCTTCAGAGGGTTGGGGGAACCCCTAGAATATACGGTATTTAGAGGGTGCAGAAGGTGAGGAGATGGGGTGGGAGAGATTGGTCTTTGCATGCAACTAAGTCCTAGTAAGCCGAGATAGAAAAAGTCATTGCTGGACAGAGGCAGTGCCTGATTTACTGGCCAGTGGATCAAGGAAGATGTGTAACATAATGGGTGAGATGCCTTTCGGAATTTTCTTAATTCCCAAGCACACAAGGGGATGTACAATTGAAGTGAATGGCACTGCTGCTGTGGGAAGGAAATAATTCAGTCTAACTAGGAAATGGAGCATTGGCAGATTATACTTAAGTCCTTAACTCGTTGGCAAAATTCAGACAGAATAAAATCAGCAGAGTTGAGAGAAAATCTGAAGAATATAACTGGCTTTAAGTCAAAATTGTCAGAGGCTCCTCAGAACATGCTGCCGACCTTGGATGCTTCCTATATATTTTATCAATTATGTAATGTATCTATTTGTAAAATTTCTATTCCACACTTCTTCTGGAGTATTTTCGGAGTGGCTCACAACAATTTAAACTACAGTAAACTGAACAATAAAGAGTAAAATGAGGATTAACAATCATAATACCAATCCACGTATTAAATATCAAAACATGGCCAGCTAACCTTGCAAGATTGGCATGGGAAGACTGGTACATTAATGGAGTGATAATGCTGAGAAGGCACTCTGAATATATATAATTTTACTGCAGGAATGGAAAATAGGGAACATTTCTTGTATCTGAAAAAAATAAAGATGAAAGCCTTTGCAGGCAGGACTTACATAATTTGGAAAACCACTGGCCCAGTTTGTATAGTAGACCTCACTTCCATCTGTCCATAGAAAAACCTTTTCATTAATAATATCGTTCAGTCCAATCCATGGATCAATTGAGGCACTTTCCAAGTGCACCATGAAAAATGCTGAATAAAAACAAGGACATATTTCATCATAAAGAATTTGGTAAATACTCTCCCTCACTTATAAGTAATCAATATAGGATACCATGAACTGATCTAGTTATATTTTATGTTCGTTGTTTTGTTTTGTTTTTTAAAATTGTGTCATGCAGAAGTTGCCACTATGGTCCACTTCAGATTTTCTATACTGCATCTTTTTAAAAAACAAAAACATTTTAAACTTGTTTTTCTTACAGAGAAAAACTATATCTCCCATCATTCCTGAACATTCTCTTAATGCAACAAAATATTGCAGATGCAACATTGGCTATCCCTGCTTTAAAAAGGACCACATAATCCAGCTCATTACATTTTTGCCTGGAAAAAACACAAACAGGCCATGATTACAATAAACATCCCTTGTTTTCACTCCTCTTAGGAAGGGCTCCTTTCTCCTGGGCCTTGTTCAGAAAGTGGTGGTGGAGGATGAGTGTTCAGACCCCTGGGCTCGGGAAACCAGCCAGATGGGCGGGGTAGAAACAACAAATTATTATTATTGAGTCAACATTAAGTCTATGTGAGCAACATGTTCTAAAAGAACCGACTGTACCTTGTGTAGCTTTGTTCGGTATAGTTGCCAGATTTCCTCCTAGATTTCTGCAAGCAGTTCGTGCATCGGACCAGTTTTTCCTTTCTTCTTCATTCAAGCCAAAAAACTGGAAGCACTGCAGGGGGAGGAAAACTCCAAAATTCCATCAATTATGAAATGGTTAGTGAACTCAACCATCATGAGATGGTACTGGGTTGCAGACATGGATATTTTAACTTGGCTTTAGAGAGAAATCCCAACCCTCAGATTCACGGACTTGACAGAGATTCAGATTGTGTGGAGTATGTGGTGTAGTTAATTTCTTCATATAGAAGCCAGGAACTAATAAAAAGTTAACCAACACAGTGGAAAATAGAGGTGGGGGAAATTTACCCAGTTCCTGCTCTGACCCTCCACAAGCCTGCAAAGGTTTTTAAATGGTAGATCATACACTACTTTACCTTCCTTCTCCAACCCAGTCACTGCTCACTGGCTCCTCTTCAGGCAGAAAATAGCTCCGCCCCCCCCCGGGAGATTGTCATTTAATAAACAATAACATAACCAAATGCTGAAAATTTAGTCTGAAGACAAATTCACTGCTCTTTTGGGTAGCTGACCCATAATCAAGCTTTTAAGATACCACTTTTTAAAAAAATATTTCATTGTTCCTGACACTTCTATTTTGCAACGCAATAGACTTTCTAGTATGTACAAAGATACATGGGGTGGTGGCATGGAGAGATGCGGTATCATGATGGCTTAACGCCTGAGCTAGGTGCACATTCATTTTGAACCTCTATAAAGAGCCCTTGCATAGAAGTGTGGACATGGAGAGCAATCTCTTCATATTCACAAGCTCTGGGAAAACATTGTATGTGCTATAATAACTGAAAAGGGGCAATATACCAGTATATTTGCAATCACTTTCTTAGTTACCTTTTTATCAAAGAAAAGCCAGCCATCAGCACAGCCCCCAACAGGTGCAGGCGTTGTGGGAGCAGGAGTTGAACGGACAGAACTGTTATGCCTTTCACAGATGAATCTGTTCTTAGTACCACAGTTTATGTCGTACCATAAGCCTGAATAAAGAATTTAGGTGTTCATCAGTAAGATGAAATCACTCCCAAATGAAGAATGACCATTTTTTACCTGTACAGTGGATTGTCGTACACATAATAAGATGAAAGTGGAAGTCAAGCTTCACTTAGTGGTTGCTGGCAAAATCGCTACTCCTGCTGCAAACTAAAAACACGCACAAAAAACCCTCCCTCCTAGAGTCCTCTTTTTCCAGGACATGTACTCCTTTTCATGGGTTTGTAAAATGGGAGTCATCATAGTGATCCACAGTTAAAAGTAGAAGTTAGCAAATGTGTCCTCTTTTTCGCTCTTTAAAATATAAGACTCTAAGAGACTGAAAAAGGCACAAAGATAGCACAACCAGAACAACAAACACTCTGTCAAACAATAAACAACAAGTAAAAACTAGAAAAGAGGTCAGGCATACTAGAAAAAAATCCTCCACAAGCTGAGGCAGCCCAAGACCTACAGTGTGGGACCTGAGTTCATCTTATTACATGCACAGAAATCCCCTATACAGGTAAGAAATCATTCTCTGCCCCCGCTATGCATGTAGAGATGGCCTCAGCACTATGCTGTAAGTGATTGTTCCAATCTAATTTACCCAAGCTGCAAGGTCCACAAACACTGATATCAAGGGAATGCTAGTCTCTTTCAGAAAGATAAACAGGAGGAGAGAAGGAGGTAAGAACTGAGTTCCTGCTGGCAGTGTAAAGGTGGCAAACCTTAGGGAGAAAGGAAGAAATAATTCAGACTGTTACACTGTCCTTGTGGAACACATGAAGGTTTTTGAGCTCTGAGATCCATTGAGCAAAGGTGAATGCCACTAGGAAGAGCACTCTTGAGAGTAGATGAAAAGAAGCAGACTCCCATGAGGGAAATCTATGCTGTGTGGAGGTGACTTCAGGATGGCCCCACTATGAAACTGTCTGAGGAAAGGATGAGATCCCACTGGCTTGTTCAGATCCTTAGAAACAATGGCAGCATAGATGCCTGGTGGTTAGGCATGTTAGGCCGCAGCCTCAAAATAAGACCTTCTTGCAAGTAGGGCAGCAGGGATGAAATACCAGCCTTTTAAGGGACAATGTGGTGTTTCCAACCCCAGTCAGAAAAGACTTTCCATGTCCTCAGAATATTTTGGTTGTAGAAGGTAACCTAGAAGCAAACATAATCTCAACTGCTGATGAGCCAGTCCCAGTTTGACAAGTTGCTCTTGTTTCATTGCCAAAAATCTTAATTTCACATGGGATCTGAACTGGTGGTGACTGATGAGGAACGAGACCATGGGTCCTAATGGACTGCTTGAAGAAGATGTCAGCCAAGTGTTCAGCAGCTGGGCGGAAGGCAAACTCACTACTAGGGATCATTAGGAAAGGAATTGAAAATAACACTGCGATTGTGACGCCATTCTACGTACAACTTTGTGGAGCAACTGCATTTAGAATACTGTGTATTGCTGTCATCACTTTACTTCAAAAAGGATATTGTAGAGTTGGAAAAGGTTCAGAAAAGGGCAACCAAAATAATAAAGGGGATGAAGCAACTTCCCTGAGAGGAAAGATTACAATATTTGGTGGGAGGTATTCAGAGAAAAAGCAAGTAAGAGGTGACACAATACAAGTGCGTTTAATTATGCATGGCAGGAAGAAAGTGGACAGTGAAAAGTCCTGTCCCTCCCATAGTACTAGAGCTCATACACACGCAATGAAACCAAAAGCTGGAATAATCAGGAGAGATAAAACATTGTACTTCTTCACACAGTGCATGGAATTTGCTCCAGTATGAGGCAGTGATGACTACAAACTCAACAAATGAATGGAGGACAAGGCTGTCACTGCCTACTTAACCCCCAGTGACCTTGTTCTACATCCACAGTCAGAGGCAATATGCTTCTGAATACCAGTTTCTGGATACTGCAGGAAGGGAGCCTGCTATTGTGCTCAGGTCCTGCCTACAGGCTTCCTATGGGCATCTGGTTGGCCACAGCACTAACAGGATGCTAGACTAGATGGGTCACTGGTCTAATGCAGCAGGCAAGAAGAAGAAGAAGAAGAAGAAGAAGAAGAAGAAGAGGAGGAGGAGGAGGAGGAGGAGGAGGAGGAGGAGGAGAGTTTGGACTCGATAGTCCGCCTTTCACTCCCCTTAAGGAGTCTCAAAGCGGCCAACAATCTCCTTTCCCTTCCTCCCCCACAACAAACACTGTGAGGTGAGTGGGGCTGAGAGACTTCAAAGAAGTGTGACTGGCCCAAGGTCACCCAGCAGCTGCATGTGGAGGTGCAGGGAAGCAAACCCAGTTCCCCAGATTACAAGTCCATTGCTCTTAACCACCACACCACGCTGGCAAGTGTTATGTTCTTCTCTGTGTGAACCAAGGTGAGCAAATGCATTAATGAAAGTAGTGACCCACATATGTATTAGTGCCCTAGTGTGGACACACCCAAAATGTCCTCTAAAACATTTTAATATTCTGAGATATTCAAAGGAAGACAATTAGAAATGCAAAATACCGGTAATATTATTCCATCCACCCACATCTTCAGTGGGCCAGAATAGTTATTGTGATGTGACATGGGTTCCGTTTGTGGTAGTTTATTTTAATTAATCAGTTGCCCCGCTATTGATTGTATATGCACCCCCTTTTAAAAATTGTAATCTTTTATTCTACTTGCCTAATTCACGATGCATGTAGACACAGGTTTCTTCATCATTTGAAAAGTTGGGTTCATTGGGTGCCCACATTGCAAAGGTCACTGGAGTTCCATCCAACCAACTAGAGAAAACAATATGAAATCATTGAACAGAACAGCATAATTTCTCTTTCATTTACACTGCATACTTTTACAATGGTTTTCAGTTTTTGTGGGTGTTTGTTTTAGCCAATGGAACACCAGCTTAAGAAAAGATTTAGATGTTGAATTGAATTTTGTATCTGGCAGCATTGCCAGAATTTTTTTATTGGCAGCATCCAAAATACTGTTAACAAAAAATGCCTAATCTTTAAAGATTGAGTTGCTATTATAGGGGAGCAGATTGCCAGTTATTTTGTATAATATTATATTTTAATCACCATGCGGTGAAAAACATTGGTGGTCCAAGGTCACATTCTGAGTTTCATGGTTGAGTGAGAATTCAAGCTCTAGCCTCAAACTCATAGTTCAACAGTCTAGCCATTAGACCACACTGGCCACAGGGAAAAAGGAGGGCTGTGCCCCCCCAAACCTTGGAGCAAACAGAGCACAGTAAGTTTGTAAAGAGGGAAGCAGCACCCTCAGATCTAATATAGCTGTGAGAGACAAGGCAGTTGTGGCAGCCTAGTAAATCTTAAGACTGCATTTGTACATTGCAAGTTGCCCTGAGACCTTCTGGTGAAAGGCAGGTAAGAAAAGTATATTTGTTGTTGTTGTTGTTGTTGTTAATTGGCAAGTCAGAGCAGTGATGAAAAGTGCTACTGAGCTCTTTGAGAAAAGGCCCCATCCACCAGGTAAACTCTAAAGCAAGAGGTAGCCTGGGGCTCAACGGACACACTGCAACTGTACTTTAACTGAACTAAAATGAGGAAAATGGCTGAACTGCAGTATCCCAAGCATTGCTGGGCTCACTGTAGCAGACAGGGGCGCTGATTTGGGCCCCAAATTATGGGTGCCAAGCGGCGTGCAACGTATCGTGACATCATGTTGTGCTGTGACATCATGAAGTCACATTGTGTGTGCCGCAACGGCTCCTAGGGACTCCAGAAGTTGTGTCCGAGGCCCAAGAAGGCCTTGGATGCCACCCCCAAGGCTATACAAGGCATCAGCCATGATTTCTGGTGACAAGAAGTCACGTCGGCGGCCCAGCGGTGTGGGTGCCAAGCACCCACAACCATTTTTTCTGGTTCCTTAGGTACCAAAGGCCCCTTATAGTTGGCGCCAGTGGTGGCAGAGCAGAATTAAAGGTGGGGCAGGATTTGTGCACTCCCCCATCATTTTCTATCCCCCTTGCCATTAAATTATTTCCACATGCTGACAAGCGCAAGCTTCTCCGTAGTTCAGGGGCATGGTTGGGGACTAAGATGATTTTGGATCTTTTGGATCCAAGACTTCTCCTGGTCAGCCACTGCCATGCTCACTTCCCAGTCATTGGAGATTGATTTCAGCAAGGCAATGGCCATGGAAGTTCCTTAGGCGGCATGGAGAATGTAACTGACATCCAGCTGTCTCCACCAAGCTCAGACCTCCCTCTCCACTCTCAGGAAAGGAAATCTGATGTTCTCATAGGAAACCATCAAAAGAACCACAGGATTGGGGGGCCACCAGGGGGCGCATTGGAAGATGGCTGACAATAACATCTCTCCGACCCACACGAGGTAATTAAGAGGCTGATATGGGAATATGCAGCCTCACTTGCCCCCCCAAGGGAATGGGGGGGACTGCCTTGCCAGCTGTGTCCATAATTCACCCCCGGATTTGAAAGAAGGGGGTGAGGGCACTTGGCACGAAGCCCTCGGGTGAGGTCGGCTCTCCCTGACGCTGTCTCTAATCGCGCACTGGTTTGCATTAGCTGGAGTTATATAATTGGAAATATATAATTGGAAAGAAGCTAATGCATATACATCAAGTGAAGATCGGGAGTAAAGACTGCTGAATAATGGGATCTCTGTGAGCGGAGCGACGGGCTGGACAATAAATAAAGTGAAGAATCATCATTAAAAGATCGGTATGTTGGACTGAACCGGAAAGGGGGGGGGAGGGAAAAACTTTTCTTTTTTTGTCTTATGTGAGTATTCAATAACCCTCCCCTCCAGAGAGAAGAATCGTTGCAAATTACTAATCACAAGCAGGAGATTAAGAACTGTGTGGAAATGAATTACTGATCAAAGAGAGGACTGGTGGAAACATCGGGGAATGGAAAGAAAGTTTTATGACGCAGTTACAAATGGAGTTTCGTTAAGACAGGCTTGCTCATAGGAGGACGAGGGGGAGGAGGACCAGGGTCATTGGAATGTGAATGTATGGTGATCGGAATGTGTTCTTGACCTGGCAGAGCCCCCTGAGATATAGATTGGCAAGCCTGTGGAAATCAACGGACAGACTGTGGGAATGTTCTTTACGGAGGTGTGGAAATGGCGTCTGTCCTTTATGTGATATGACTCTTGGAGAGTGTAAAACCCACACAGGATATGTTTGTTTTCAACCTGCTTGTGAAGATTATCAGAGATCATAAAGAAAGGAATATATGATAACAACAAGAAGATGAGGAAAATAACAAAGAGACTATCTGGACAGAACTGGATAGAACTGTTTAATTAAAGCAGCAGCAAGAGTGATGTTTGGATCCCTTTCGGAGCTTGAAGTATGGGTACCCCCAACAAAATTTTAAAAATTTGGCTGTATAATTTGGAACTAATGTGATTTGGAATTAATGTGATTTGATTGGCCTGTTAATAAAAATTATATATATTTTTTAAAAAAGAACCACAGGATTTCAGAGTCAACCAGAAGAGTAACTGATGAATGGTGGGAAGGTGTCACATCCTTACATACAGAAGACTTAAATTTTAATGCTAACCTAGTTATGATCTAAAATAAAGTTAGTATTTACAATTGTTAAAAATCTGATTTCCACTTCTTTTGTTCACTTACCTGAACTTTCTATCGAGTCCCAGAATTAAACCAATATAATAAGCAGTTACATAATAAGCACCATAATACTTGCTCTAAAACATACAAAGGAAAAATGGGAGTAAATGCAACGGAAATTCAACAATAAAATAATCAGGTATTCTCCAGAGCAATATAATTCAATTATTCCATAGGAAGTTTGTAATGATGAACATAATGTGTTTGTTTAAAAACACAATTAAAGCTTTACAATTAAAACAAATTAAAACATGTCAATTAAAATGAGGGTAAACATGAAAGAAAGTTTTTTATTATGTTATACTTTAACTGATGTAATTAGCTGGTTTTCTGAATGTTTTTATTTCTATACTGTATAAAATCAGTTACAGTGTATCCCACTAATAATCTTTCATGTCCATTGTTTCCCAGGCCAGTTGTCCACTTAGAAGAGCATTCTGTTCTCTGAAACATTATTTTATCTATTACCAGCACCATCAAGTTCCTTAGAAAATTATTTCTGGGTGGGATGTTTAACTTTGGTGCTGTTACGGTTCCAAGGGGTTGCTCGTGAGCAAGCAGGCAAATATCTCCCTGGCTGGCTGCCAATACCTCGCTTGGCTGCCAACGTAAACTTTATCTGTCTGGAGCACCACTCACCCATGGCTGACTCAATCACTGGCAGAATCCGTGAGTGGGCGTTTCTTGAACTTCCTCCAACAAAGAAGCTCCTTTACGCCCAGTCTGCGCCGTCCCTCTCTGCGCGAATGCCTTCTGCACAGAGAGGGCGTGGGCAGCGGAGGACCCCTTCCCTCCTCGCTTCTCCCAGGCAAGGAGTCCTGGGACCGCCTCGCCATTTCCGACGTCTGCGCCTCCTCTCCACTGGACCTGCATTTATCCTCTTACCCGGAAGAGGAGCTACTTCTCCCGATCCCTGGAGGCTCTCTATAATCCATCTGGCTTTTGCTCTCTCCCTCCGGCACTGATGGCAGTTCCCTGACAGGTGCCATTAAAATTACATGCTTCGCCAAAAAAATTTCACATCAAAGCAAATATCCCTAGATTTTAAAAGAATACAAATGTGCTGGAAAGTAGTACAATATAGCCACAGAATATGCCCGTTCCAACAGGAATGGGCAATAGAAATTCTGCTGAGATCCAACAAGAGGATGATAATCACAAACTGTACCTCACCGCATCTTAACTTCCTTATTAACAGATAGCAATAAGTGTCAGCACCAGCAATGCCTTGAGAGTCTAATACTCGCAGGTCTGGCTATTTGCATGCTTGCTATCCGAAAATTCACTTATCTGCACTTAAATAATTATGCCCAGACCTTGCTATACTCTGGGGCAGAAATCAGAGAGGGGTGGGGGGAAGCGAGATCATACAATTCAGACAGCAGGAGAGGTTGGACAAATAAGTTTTTTTACTTTGTCTCTCTTTTGGTGATTGGAGAGGGGGGTGGGGGAAGTGATCAAACAAATCCTACATTTGCAATGTTCCCATAGGAATGGATGGAATTCATGGACTCATTGTGCAAACTCTCGCCTACCAAAGGATTTCCACAGAACACATTGCGTTCAGTAAGTAGGAACTCCATGTGTTACACTACAGAATCTCACCAGTCCATTCAGGAATCACATTCATATATCCATGCCTGCGTAGAACCCTGATTACGTGGAAACTGTTTTCAGCACAGTGTTTTGGATATGTGATGATTATTGGGGGTGAGTGAAACACACACACACACACACACACACACACACACGTATAGTATATATTTGCAAGCCTCATTTCCTTGGCTTATGGTATGATAGTAGTATATGACCACAAAGGTTGCAATATTTTACACACTTACTTGGAAATGAGACCCATTAAAGACAATGAGACTTACTTTTCAGTAGACATGCATGGAATTGCACTGCTAATCTCTGCAAGCTTTTGGTGCCACCATCCAGAGGAAAATGATTAGCAGACATAAAAATGGCCTTGATCAAATAATTTATGTGCCCTTTTTTTAAAAACCAAGCTATACTTGATTGGAAAGCATATGCTCCATATTTTTCTTACATATCTCCACACAAATTGCCATTCACTGCGACTTTCAATGACAGTAAGATCTCCTCCATGTTTCTTGCAGAATTCCCGTGCTCTTTCGAGAGATGTCTGTTCATTACTGAAATAGTACTCAGTGCCCTTGTACTCAATCCAGCCATCTTCAATTCTTCTGAACAAATATTCTACAAAAAGAAGCAATTTTATTATTTTAATAATGAATATTAAATTTAATATTAAATATCAAAATATTTCTTAGCCATCCTTTATGGTATACAAGAGTGTGAATAACGTTAATTCACACAACCAGCGGTGCAGCTAAGCAAATTCAATGATCTCGCCCACTTTAGACTGTCAGATATATGATTTCAATTTTGAAGCACACAATGAACAACTTCTCCCTCTCCATTCCCCTGTCACACCATGGTACCTTTAAAACTATTACAGTTTGATTACCCTGATAATTTATTTTCAAATTAAATTATAAAACGAGCACCTAGGACTGTGGAAATATATCTCCCATGAAAAAAAAACTGGTTGGTTCAGTAATGACAACCATGGAATTATTTGCTGAAAGGCAAGTATGCAAAACTGAAGAAAAGACACTGCATATGTTTTTAAAGGTACTATCTTATGACTTCACATTTTCTAGCAGGACCTGGGACCTCTTGCATATAAAGCAGTTGTACCACTGAGCTTCCCCAGTTGTATGTAATCCATTTTGGAGGAATGAGCAAGCCCAGGCCAGAAAGCAGCTACCATTGGATCCTGGTAGGTGTTAGTTTCTGTTTCCTCACTGAGCAGCTGCTTGCAGTCACAGGACTGTTTACATCCCACAGAGTCCAGATACTGTTGGATTCTCACGGGAAAGGGAGACGGGATGTCACGTTACTGGTTTCCTGTTTCCTTTGTTCTGTTGTTTCCTTTGTTCAGTTGCTCTCTGCTTCTCATAGAGAGAACATGTATATTTCTTTGCTCTCTGCATAGCTTAGTAATAAAGCATAGCAATGTAGCCCATATTATCTCATCCTTCCGCTGTGGCGTTGTTTTAATGCTCTGATGGGTGGGCTCAAAAGAAGATGAGCCGTATCAGCTCGGACGACCGGAGCTGAAATCCCAATAGTAGGACCCTCAGTGGCCGAAGAGAACCTCTGGGGAAGCCCCTTCCCCATTTTTTTACTTAAGACCTGTTTGTTCTGAGGGAAGGCAGAAACTGGGATGCCCAAGCCAGGAAGCACACACATCTTTGGCTCATGACAGAACCATCAGCAGCCTGAAAGAGCTGTTAAGGCAGCTCCACCTCCACTTTTATAGTGCTGCTTAAGAGAGACACACATGACCTAAGCAAAGGTGGAATCACTCAACATACCCAAATCACTGCGTGGTTCCGGTTTTAACTGTGCACCTGAAAACCAAACATATATTGCTTATAATAGTGTGATTTATATGGTATTGCATTGTTTCATATTACAAACAGGAGTACATAAAAATAAAAGTGTTTACAAAAACCAGACCAAAGCTGGTAAGTGTATGAGGTTAAAGCTATTCAAGGTCATATCAAAATAAAATTAATCACTGTTACATTACATTGCATACCAGATTGAAGGGCAGTACAGAAAATAAATAAGCACTTTCTAAATATTTCTCAAAAGTGATAATGTGTATATATGACTGTACATATGATATCATGAACCCAATACGGAGGTGCTGGAACTCACCATGAAAACCTCCCTTCTTCTCTTATATAATGACAATGGCACCTACCTGAGAGGTGCTGGAACTGAGTTCTAGTGAGTCCCAGCTGAAAAAAAGCCCTGCATGCAGAGGCGTAGCAAGGTCAGGTGGTACCCGGTGTGGAATTTATTTTTTTGTCACCCCCTCCCCAAGTTGGGAGACGAGTCAAGGGAAGGCGGGAGCTGCGCTGCTTTGCCGACGGCCCTGACGAGCCGCCAGGGCCGTCACTCGCTGTAGGCTTGGGAGTCACGGACGGGGGCGCGCCCTGGATGTCACCCCCCTTCAAGGATGACAGCTGTCCTCTCCCCTGCCTGCCTGCCTCCTCCAGCCGGGAGTGTGGGCGGCAGGGCAGTGGTGAAACCCCCCTGTGACTCCCAAGCCTACAGTGAGCCAGGGGAAGGGGGGGAGCTGCGACGCTTTGCCAACGCTTTGCTGCTGCTTTCGCCTGCTTTGCTGCTGCTTTGCCGCTCACTGTAGGCTTGGGAGTCAGGGCAGAGGGGCGCCAAATGTCACCCCCCTCAGGATGACACCCAGGGCGACACGCACCCCCATACCCCCTTCCTACGCCCCTGCCTGCATGTACCTACCTGGAAAGTAGATTTGCTTGTCCAATATAGCATCACTGGGTTGGGCTTACTTGTACCTCTAGTGGACAAAGGCAGGACTAGCCTTTTACAGGAAATAGGCTGTCCCCTCTTCATTTAGTTTGCTCCTGGCTCTTCAGTTTTACGTATTCACCAAGCATGAACAGTCCAGAACTGGAGGCCATAATAGTATTAACCTATTTCCTATGAGAAACCATTAACTGAAAGCCAACAGAGGTGCAAACAGAGGTGGGAAAAGGTGTTGTAGGTCATGCAAGGGTGTGGCCCCAGTGATCCTTTACAATGGACAAGTAAATCTACCTTTCAGGTAGGTACAATGCTGTTATTTTGCTTGCTGGTGTAGCATCGCTGGGTTGGGCCTACTATTCTATAATTCTGTGAACTAGGGCAACAAGTGATTCATGTAGGACAGCCTGCTGTAAGACCTTCGGGCGGAATGCTGCTCCAGAGGATGCAAAGGCTCCATCTTATAGTGCCTGGGGAATGTGCTTGGGGATGTCCAGGTTGCTGCTCTGCGTATTTCTAACAAGGATGCATTCGTAGAAAAAGCAGCTGAACAGTAGAAAGAGTGAAATCACAGAAGAAGACTGCTAAGTCAAGATGAAGGCATAAGAGGATTCAAAAGAGAATATGACTGCTTCATCGAGGCAGGCGCAAAAAAACCTATTTCCCATAGAAGCTACTTCTGCCTTTCCCCCCTAGAGGCGCAAGTAAGGTCAACCCCCCAGATGCTACAATGGCAAGCGAAATCATCTGTGGTTAAGATAAAACCAGGGTGAACAGACTTAAACCATGGAACAACGAATTCAATCAGATCATCCTCCAGCAATCCCTCATGAAAAAGGCACACAGGAAGTCCCTCATTTCCTGCCCCTTTAAGTTTATCAAGTATTTCAGCTTTCTCATTCTGCTAAAACTTTTACAGTCATACCTTGTGTTGCATTCCGCTCTTGTTACGGACTTTCAGCTTACGAACGTGGCAAACCTGGAAGTGTTTACTTCCGGGTTTGCCACCCGCGCATGCACAGAAGTGCTCGCTCACGCCACGCTCATGTGCAGAAGAGGTTCTCTATTTGTGGACTTTTTGGGGTGCAAACTGCACCACGAAACAGATTAAGTCCACAACTAGAGGTACCACTGTATCTTCCTTTCATGAGCAGTGCCTGCTGTTGCTGCTGAAGTTCTTGTATCTGTGAGAGTGCCCAGTCTAATGTTACCTTCTTTAAGCTTGAGTCTCCATAGGAACTATTAGATCTTTCCACCATTCTTATTTGTAGTTTTAGTTGCTGTACTACAAATGTATCTCAGATGTTGCTTTCTCCTTTCCTAGGAGTGTTTGGGACATCTTGTGTTGAAGGTGCTATGTTAGATGCAGCCTGATTTTCTTGACAGCTTGAAGGGGAAACATGGTCTTTGGGCTGAAAAAAGGGCGGTCAGATCTCTCATTTTCACCTGTATATGAATTCTCCCTTTCCTAGCTCATGGAAGCAGGATTAGTGTTGCAGAACCTCAAAAGTAGGAGGAGATTCAGGTGCCTTTACAGAACTCTCTCTTTAGTTGGCCATTTCCTAACCCCAATATTTTTACATTTACATTGGCCACACCCCAATATTTTTACATTTCTGAAGCACAAATAATAATATAATGTGAAGCAGCCTTCAGTGGCTTCCTGTATTAAGTCCAATGGCCCATCTAGTACAGCTTCCTGTTCTCACAGTGGCCACCTAGACACCTGTAGGAAACTAGCAAGCTGAATCGGAGCACAAGAATGCTCCCTCCCTCTGTAGCAATTGGTATTCAGAAATATTGCTGCCATCACTACCTCTTGTGGGACAAGTTCCATGGTTTAACTATGCATTGTGTCAATAAGTACTTCTTGTTGGGATACTGCCAGGGAGACAAAGTCCATCATGGCCCCCAAGCCGGCTGCCGGACGATCCATCGATCTCCCGTAGATACAGTATCAGCAATTAGCAACACGAGCTTCCAGAAATAGCTTGCCACATTCCAGAGCTCATGCACACTCTATCAGCAGATAATGCACAGCAAAAGTCGCACTCAGGAGAGCATTATTTACAAGTTTTATTCAGCGTTGATCAGAACAAAAAAACATGACTGCCTGCTTCAGTGTCTCCAGACACAGAGAGAGCGAAAACAAAAGACACAACAGAAACATCCTGTGAAACAGGAAATACGCAGACTCTGACTCACAAAGCCTGCTCCCTTTTAAGGTGGAACGGAAATATCCTAACACTTCTGAATTCACAATGGCCTCCATGCACTAGATTCCTGCTTCTCATTGAAATGGAACATACTATACCTCAGTGTGTACCATAATAAAAAGGCCCTTTCACTTTCCTTAATGAACTACTTGTAAATCAAAAGTAATCTTACCTCTCTTTATTTGGCAAATCCAACACAACATATTCTCACAAGAGGAAAATGCCACCCCCATAAAACTTGTATACGCTGCTACACATCCTTCGTCTCTGACATGATGTGAAGAATACATATATGGTTCATAGTCTACCTGCAGTAGGAATAAATATTCATTACTCTTTTTCTTTATAAAAATCTTCAGAAATCTACAGAAAAGGATACAGACTTACAGTAGCATTCTTTATACACCTGTGCACATGTATGTATGTATGTATGTATGTATAGAGAGAAAGATGAGCTGTCATTTCCCTGTTAATACAATATGGGTGCAAAAGGCTATTATAAAGAAACAGTTCCTGTCATTGCAAGTTTTCCCAACGACTGAACATGTTTTACCTCCACCTACCAATTCACCACACTCCCACTGTGGGCCAGAGCAGGGCAGACATATCAGCTGATTCGCCCACAGTGTCATACTGAAACCGTCATTCATTCATTCATTCATTCATTTAATTTAATTATTTTACATTGTTTTGTATGTTTTGCGTGTTGAGGTCCCCAAGACACCCCTACCCCAATAACTCACATATCACACAGAATTTTTGTTTAAGGTTTTTGGCATAATTTTGGCCACAACTTTATTAACATACATGGATGTGAGTGGTTGCTTAGGCATTGGTTAGGATAGGACTATCTGTCCCCCCGCCTTGGGGACAGAACTGACTTCCGAATTCCAGCAAAAGTCACTGGAGCTGTGACACAGGCCCTCAGCTTCTCCCCGCATGCTCCCAGGGGCTTACGTGGCCCAAACCCAATTCCAGGGGTTTGGACAAAAGGATGGCAAGCCCCTGAATTCCTTTAACGGAATTCCCTTGCAGCAGCAGCATTGGAGGGGCAGGCCCAGCCAATCCTTACCCCTCCTCCAACCAAATTTAACCAATGCCTAACAGCAACCTCAAAGTTGTGACGATTTGCTACGCAGTAGGCAAAAACCAAATGGCACCAGCCAATCAGCCAAATGGACAAAATTTCTACCAGGCCACTGCCCCAACAGCAGGCAACCCCATGACAGGCATAGCAAGGTCAACGCATAAGACCCAAATCAAGGGAGGGCGGGCGGGTGATCCGGTGCACACAGCAAAAGAGAAAGCAGATTGCTGTGTGCACTGCTTAAAAAACCTCTGTTCCCACCCCCAAATTGGCAACATCAAAATTACCCCAGCAACTCAGGCTACCAATCCCTGCTAGGGCCAAGCATCCCAAACATGACTAGCAACAGCGGGGTGTCTTGCCTGGCCCCCACCGCAACACGTGCTCTCTTTTAATGGGAACACGCATTGTGGTTTTTTATGTATTGTTATTTGCTGCTGTTTTTATCGATTATGGATGAGTAATTCTTTATTGTAATTGATAAGTGTAAACTGTTTAAATATTACTTGCCGATGTTAAATTTTAGTGTTTCATTCATTCATAGACTTTATTGCACTAGCCAAAGGCCATGGCATCATTCACAAGAAGAACATAAAAAAATCAACAATAACCATAAAACATCAGGCATAACAAATATGATAAATCGCAATCACGTCTCCTAAAAATTGTTTGCTGCATGTAATAGACTAGCTGGGGATTCTCAGGTAGAATGTGCCAACTTAAATGTCCAAATCACCTTTGCAGTTGACTGCAATTTTGTCTAGTTCTTTCCTCCTAATCTTCTTAGCTGCCAGTGTGTATAGTTTATAAGTTACAAAATCATCCGTATCACTCAGCAGCCATTTCACCCTTTCCACCCTGTTCGAGTGTGTTCCATTCGTAAGCAGGGGTTTTATAAATTGGTCTCTTGGGTCTGTATATAGCGGGCATTGGAGTAAATAATGGTACAGGTCCTGTACATAAGGTTGCCCACACAGATAAAGTCTCTCGTTGCACTGTACTTTTTCCGTACCGTCCATCCAACACCGCCAAGGGCATTGATTGAAATCATAATTCTGTAAAAGCGATTCTTAATATGGCAAGTGGGAGCTTTGTCAGGTAACTAGCTTGAGTGTGCTCCATTTTGATAAGTGGGAACCATGGTGAACTTTGGGTAGAGGTTAAATCCCTTTCTGCATCGGACCTATAGAGGCGATCTCTTAAGTGCCTCTTGTCCAACTTCATGACCGCCTGAAGATCTTGTAGTTGATATTGGGACAAGAGGTGTTGGATGCCAGCCTTCCAGCATTTGGTCTGTTCCCATTCTGTGAGACACATAGCGGGGGAATCTCTTCTCCGGGAGGGATTGAAGTCTTTTTACATAGTTTAGACACAGATAGTCAATTCTTGCCTGTATTGTTATTGTGTCCACTTCAACACGAAGGAGAGCAGCTGGAGTCCAATTTTAGTGCTTGCTATTGGATTCTAATGGATTATTGCATATTGCTTTATTTGATATACATTGTTTATTTTAAAGTTATTGTGAATTTTTATACAGGATCTGATTGTTACTATTAATGTTTGATGTTTTATTATTATTTGTGCGTGTGTTGTAAGCTGTCAAGAGTGGCTGGGGCAACCCAGCCAGATGGGCAGGGTATAAATATTATAATAGTAAAATTTATTACATTTTTGTATGGCCCTTCATCCGAGGATCACAGGGTGGTTTACAATATAAAAACACAAAAATACGCAACATAGTAACAAACAAAATTCATAACCAGTTTTAAAAGCCATAGATTGTTTAATTAGCCAAAGGCATGGGAGAAGAGATATATTTTTGCCTGGCACCTCAAGATATGTAATGAAGGTGCCAAACAAACCTCCCTGGGGAGAGCATTCCACAAGCAGGGGGCCGCTGCAGAAAAGGCCCTTTGTCATGTTGCCACCCTCCAAACCTCTCATGGAGGAGGCGCATGAAGAAGAGCCTCGGATGATGAGAAATATTTTAACTGTAATGGCCACTTTTCCAAAGCTTTGCTTTGGATAGTACAGGACCAGCAGGACCAGGGAAGGAGGGCAGCAGCCACAATCTTTGTTTTCCCATTTGCACTAAACCATAGTTCATTTTTGAATTACATGTAGGTGTTTGTGCTCCTATTGGTGCATTGTTTAATGCTCTGTTTGTTACTTAATAATAATAATAATAATAATAATACATAAGAGCACTATTTTAAAAACAAAACAAAAACAAATCTAATCCAACTGGATAAGCAGCAATTTCATTAACTCTGCTGGAACTGCCATAGGTGCGGGGTCCAAAAATTAGATTGCATACAAACCTATGCTTAAAGGCTCAGATGCTGGAAGTTTAAGTGACTAAACATTTAAAACAATGCTATGGGATCTGACCAGAAAGCAAAAGAGCTTCAACATTCATATTCAAAATGGTTTTGTAAAAATGATATTAATTTTCCTGTCAATACATTAGCATACTTACAGGAAATCCATCACTCCAAGTAAATCCTTTATCAGGCTCCAACTTAATTAAACCAACCCAACACTCACGATGAAACCTAAAATATATAAAAGATAATTTTAGAGTGCAGAAAATTTTAGAGTGCTCTAGTTATTTCCCGCTTGGACTACTGCAATGCACTCCACGTGGGGCTACCTTTGAAGGTGACCCAGAAACTGCAATTAATCCAGAATGCAGCAGCCAGACTGTTGACTGGGAGTGGCTGCCGGGACCACATAACTCCGGTCCTGAGAGATCTGCATTGGCTCCCAGTACGTTTCTGAGCACAATTCGAAGTGTTGGCGCTGACCTTTAAAGCCCTAAACGGCCTCGGTCCTGTATACCTGAAGGAGCATCTTCACCCCCATGATTCAGCCCGGACACTGAGGTCCAGCGCCGAGGGCCTTCTGGCGGTTCCCTCACTGCAAGAAGTCAAGTTACAGGGAACCAGGCAGAGGGCCTTCTCGGTAGTGGCGCCCACCCTCTGGAACACCCTCCCTTCAGATGTGAAGGAAATAAGCAGCTATCCTATCTTTAAAAGACATCTGAAGGCAGCCCTATTTAGGGAAGTTTTTAATATTTAATGCTGTACTGTTTTTAACATTTGATTGGGAGCCACCCAGAGTGGCTGGGGAAACTCAGCCAGATGGGCGGGGTATAAATAATAAATTAAATTATTATTATTATTTATTCTAAATCTTTCCAGGTGACTACATTATAAACCCTGACCCCTACCTCCTTTTTGGTTGGTTGATGGGCACATTTGAACCTTAAAAAAAATATACCATCCTATTATCAGCACTATACCGAAATGTCTGACATGGGGGCATGGATAGTCACAATGGACAAACAAGTTCCCAAAGCCACTGAGTTAAAAAGCAGAAGTTGGGTCTGAGCCCAAAACACCTCAGTACATATTTCAGTCTACCTAGTGCACATATTTCACAGAAGTCAACTGGTGATTCTCAGAGCTGCGTGGCATGAGGTAGATTCTTTCCCCTCTTTTTGATAAAGGGCCACCTGTTTTTTTCAGTATAGTTAGTGTGTGTAACAGAGAGGAAGGACATTTTAGTGTGTGAATTTCAAATGAGACGGGTGTTTGGGAGATTCACATGGAAATGCAAGCCGAATACAATGTCTTCCCCATCCGTAACCAGAACAGTTTTTGATTCTGAGACAATGTGAAGAAATAAACATTTCATAAAACTCACTGATGGTGCAAACCCGACTTTTCTTCTCTGTTAGCAGAAGCTAGGTCTCCTCCAATTGCTCTACAAAAATCACGTGCTTCAAACCAAGTTAGCATGTTATTTGTATAGGCCTAAATGGATATAAATACAATTGCATATTGGTAAGAATCTTGCAAATTCCATTCACAGTGAGATCTGCATGGTTTGCACGAACCCCTATTTGATATGTAACAATGGTAACTGAGGGCCAAAGCAGACATGGCATAAAAGTATGTGATTAATCTGCACAATTTTTAAATAAATAAATAAATAGATTTGGGTGGGAAACTCCCACCGATGCTCATTAGAACTTTCCTCCTATGTTTTGTCCTTTCCACCAGCTGTCTCTTCTACCTGCCTTTGCACAAGGAAGTCCAGGACTGGCAGTACCTGAAACAGCTGGTCAGATTAGGAAGCACAAATCTTATCTTCCCATCTGCAAGTCCTATTTTAACTGCACAAGCACAGTCTTTTTCTCTTCTATAGAAGGGTATGGCTCAGCAACTCACTGGTTACAAAGTTCCCTGTAGAGGAGGAAGCTTTTTAATGTGTAAAGATCAACATATCTAAAATGTTGAAAGCTGCCCAGAGTTGCACCGCCTAGTCAGATGGGTGGGCTACAAACAATAAAACGATGACAACAACGAATGTTACTTCTTCTGCTTGAGCACCATTTCTGATAGTCTCCAGCAAATCTCACAAGATTTGGACCCTAGATACAATATAAATATCTTCAAGCATAATTAAGCCTCATTTCCACCCTCTTGGTGATAGAGTTGCAGGTAGACTGGACTCCCTGGATCTTCAGACTCTAGTAAAGGCACCTACTGTGTTACTATCAATGTGGGGGTGTCTTTCAGGGGGGCAGTTTGGTATCTGGTCTTACTGAACAACTTTGATCAATGTTGACAAAATGCGAGTTCAGGAAGTGTCCCCTCCCATCCCTATCTGGAGACAGGGGTGGACTTTGGACTTTCAAATTTCAGTGGCACCCTCTGCAAGGACACAATTCAGTGCCCCCCCCGACTCTTGCTTTCTGTTCTGCACATGCACTAAAAAAGAGAGAAAAGCTAAAGGACCCCTGGATGGTAATGTCCAGTCAAAGGCGACTATGGGGATGCGGTGCTCATCTCACTTTCAAGCTGAGGGAGCAGGCATTTGTCCACAGACAGCTTTCCGGGTCATGTGGCCAGCATGACTAAACCGCCTCTGGTGCAATGAAACACTGTGACGGAAACCAGAGCCCGCAGAAACACCATTTACCTTCCTTCTGCAGTGGTACCTATTTATCTACTTGCACTGGCGTGCTTTCGAACTGCTAGGTTGGCAGGAGCTGGGACACAGCAAAGGGAGCTCACTCTGTCATGGGGATTTGAACCACCGACCTTCTGATCGGCAAGCCCAAGAGACTCAGTGGTTTAGAGCACAGCGCCACCCGTGTGTGTACTACATCATAATTGAAACACCCTGCAGTGGCACCCCTACTTTGGCTTGGTGCCCTGTGTGGAGGAACATTTAAAAGGCAATTGAATATTGACACTTCAAATAAACCACAGTACAAAACATTGAACTAAAACCCACTTAAAAAAGAATAACAACAAAATCCTGCACCAAGCAGTTAAACTGAAAACTAAAAATCACATCCTCAAATATCTCAAAAGGTTCACTTAGACAAAAGTAATTTCTCTCTTTGCTTTGATATTGAAACAAACAAGAACTTGGATTCAAGAAGCAGTATACCCACTTTAAAGCACACACTTCTGTAAGGGCTTTGAAGCCATCCTTCTGGGCATGGGGGTGGGGGAATTGTTGATGGGGCAGGAGTTGTTGTCATAGTTTCTGCCCATTGTTTGCAGATGAAGGCTGCCGTCTCCTCACAGTTCACAACATCCCACAGTCCAGCTGCAGTCCCAGTTCTCATGGCTACACAGCCAGATTGTTGCCCTTCTGGAGACTCAAGACAAGAGCCAATTCAATTGAGCTTGTCCTTCATAGACACTCAAAACAGCTAGAGAAAGGTTTTGTAAAATATGATTCTGTTGGATAGCCCACCTCATATAACCTGCTTAAGTCTAAATAATGGATGAGGGGGTTAAGACCAAAGAGTAAGCTGTCCTGCCAGGCTTAGCTCACCTTGGAGGGACTAGGTCAGGGATAGTCAACTGTTAAGTTGTGGTGAACATATCAGACGACACAGTGATTCTTCAAACAGCTCTTGTTTATTCACAGGCCCAGAACAGAACTGAACTGAAGGGTTCAGCCAGCCTGCTTATATAGAGCTCCACTACAATGCAACAGTAACAACTTTCTATAACTATCCAATCACTGAAGGTCACTTTCAATTCCTTATTTGCATATGTAGACCTGAGTGAAAACTATCTACAGTATCCCCCTGCTGGCCCAGGGTGAGAACTTCAGTACCTAACATCAACCTGGTCCCTACCACCCACTAGTGGGCATTTCAGGATTCCAGGTGGATCACACCCCATGTTACTGCAGCACTGGTGGGCGGTAAGGAAATTTGAAAAATGCATTAGTGGGCGGTAGGTATAAAAAGCTTGACTACCACTGGACTAGGTAATCAAGCATTTGTTTTCCTTCAGTCTATCTGAGAAGCTCAGTGTGTGAGGAGGGCTAAGCTGGTTGCTCCAAGTTCAGACCACATAACTCTAACAAGCCTCTCTTGAGCTCCTGTTCCAATAACATAGGCGCTTACAACACTTTGGAACTAAGCCAAGTTTTGCTGCCTGTGCAAGCTTTTCTGGATGCTGCATGGAAAAGCACATTTCAATGAGTTACGTAGCTGAATATATACAGTGGTACCTCAGAAGTTGAACGGCTCCATTGCCTAAAGTTTGGGCTCCTGAACGACAAAAACCTGGAAGTAAGTGTTCTGGTTTTTGAACGTTCCTCAGAAGCCAAACGTCCAATGTGGCTTCTGCTGTCTGCAAGTACCAATCAGAAGCTGCACCTTGGAAGTCGAGCAAAGTCAAACGTCCTTACAGAACAGATTATGTTCGACTTCTGAGGTACCACTGTATGTATATTAAATCTTTGCTGTGGTTCTCTCACCAAAGAGTACTTGCACCCAACTTGCATCATGGCACCCAGGAATTTTCCTTCTTATACAGCGGTACCTCGGTTTTTGAACCTCTCTGTTGACAAACGTTTCGGTTTTCAAACGCCGTAAACCCGGAAGTAAATGCTTCCATTTTTTAACACGCCTTGGAAGTCAAGCAGCTTTCGCTGAGTTATTTTTCTCAATTTTCTCTATTAAAATTGGCAGACTGCCCTTTGCACCTTGGTTTTCGAACGTTTTGGAACTCGAACGGTCTTCCAGAACCCATTACGTTTGAAAACTGAGGTATGACTGTATATCTATTTTTTCCCTTGCCATCAAAACATTCCTGATAGACTTCAGGCAGTACCTACCAGGCATTCCTGAATTCCAGTTGGTGAACAGAACATTGTCTCTATTGATCCATTTGAATGTCCCTCGTTGCTGTACATCTGAAAGGCCAATCCAGAAATATTTTTCAGAACGAAGCCCAACTAGACTAGTCAGGTAGGCCTGTTCATATCTGTAGGGAAGAAGAAGAGAAGAATAGTAGTTTGGATTTGATACCCAGCTTTATCACTACCCTAAGGAGTCTCAAAGCGGCTAACAATCTCCTTTTCCCTTCCTCCCCCACAACAAACACTCTTTGAGGTGAGTGAGGCTGAGAGACTTCAGAGAAGTGTGACTAGCCAAGGTCACCCAGCAGCTGAGAAGCGGGGATGAGAACCCGGTTCACCAGATTACGAGTCCACTGCTCTTAACCACTACACCACACTGGAACGATGTGTAATTGATGCATTCAAATGATTATTAATTTCCTACATTTTAAAACAGGCTAGCTCTCATCCAGTCAAAATGCACATTTTGGAATGACAAGAGATAGCTCACAGTGAAAAAATGGAAAATCTTAAGCCTACAGGTCCACTATCACAAAGCAATACATCTGCATGTTGCATTTATCAGCAAAATTCAGACTACAACTCTTTCACAAGTACAAAACAAAAACTACAATGGCATCCCGAGAAAGAAACTGTGAAACAGAAGAATCTCAGCCCAGACTGCACATTAGGCCACAAGTGGCCACATACAGCATAGCATTAAGGATCTTAGAAGGAATTCTAGAAAACATTCACTCACTTTAGACAGAAAAACACAGACTGAGACAATGATTAAATCTGTCGGAAAGACTGCAAGATCCATGTAGCCTGGAGAAGAGGAGGTTAAGGGGTGATATGATAGCCATGTTCAAATATATAAAAGGATGTCATATAGAGGAGGGAGAAAGGTTGTTTTCTGCTGCTCCAGAGAAGCGGACACGGAGCAATGGATCCAAACTACAAGAAAGAAGATTCCACCTAAACATTAGGAAGAACTTCCTGACAGTGAGAGCTGTTTGACAGTGGAATTTGCTGCCAAGGAGTGTGGTGGAGTCTCCTTCTTTGGAGGTCTTTAAGCAGAGGCTTAACAACCATATGTCAGGAGTGCTCTGATGGTGTTTCCTGCTTGGCAGGGGGTTGGACTCGATGGCCCTTGTGGTCTCTTCCAACTCTATGATTCTATGATTCTATGTAGTGCAGATGTTTCAGGAAAGTGAGGCAAGCCACAGATTGCAAATCAGATAGGAAATTCACAAGAAATGAGAGGAGCCGCTCATTCAAGAAAGTAGCTTAGTCGCATGCTGCAGGTCAAATCTTAATATTTGTTATGTGGCCAAAGAATTTAACATCTTAAAATAAAGGCATTGCACCTTTCATTCACAGAAACAGAAAAAAGTTGTTAGTCCTATTCAGAGTAAAGTAGACCCACTGAAATTAATGAGCATGGATAACATATGTCAATTAATTTCAGAAGGTTTACTCTGAGTAAACTTTAGTTGGAAACAGCCCATAGTCACAGGAAAGTCATTTTTTTCTCTCTTTCATGCCCAACAAGGGGGAGAATAGACTAAAACATGCCCTCTGAACAACAAACCCATGGGCTTCCCTTTACCTGTTCTCCACAGAAGCCAGTGATCCCTTATTTGTTTCACAGAATGTATTTGCTTTTGAAAACGTTGCAGATGTTTGGCTAATTAAGTAACAATAGGAACCATGCCTTTTCCAGCCCTGTTCATATAGAAGAACCAACAACCACATGTTACTACAGTATTACAAGTTTGGGCGTAATACAAACAGAGGTTTAAAAAAAGAAAACATGCAGCAAAGTAATGTGTGGAAATGCAACCTATTAGACCTTTAAAATATCCCCCTTTTAAATCGTTTGCAAAGCTTCCCTTTCTTTCCCATTTAGCATAGAAAAGACCATACTGTTAGGTTAGTTTATCATTGTTATTGGTGCATTTAACTGATCTTTCTGTTCTTTCGGAATTTTTGGTAAATTATTCTGCCTTAAATAGTCCTCCATTTTTTCTAAATCCTCTTTTCCAGCTTTATATAAGTCTCTATAAAATTTTAAGAATTTTTTTCTAATTTCTTTTGGGTTATCTATTAATTTCTCCTCTACTTTTATCTTATTGATTATATTTTGGTCTTGTTTTTTTCCAATTGCCATGCCAAAAGCTTTCCTGGTTTATTTGCAAATTCAATTTTTGTTTGTTTTATATATTTTATTTTCCATTCTACTACTTAATTAATTAATGTTGAAAATTGGGTTCGCAGCATCTTAATATTTTGTTTTATCAATGTATTTCCAGGTTTCTTAGTTAACTCTTTTTCATTTTTAATGAGTTCGTCAAGTATCTTTTTCTTCTCCCTTAACTTTTTCTGAAACGTATTGTGTTGTATAAAGAAACCTTTCATTACTGCTTTACTAGTCTCCCACACCATATTTATATCAGTTTCCTTATTCAAATTTAATTCAAAATAACCTTTTATAGTTTTTTGGGCTTTTTGTAGAATCATTTGATTATCTAATAGGCCTTCATTCAATTTCCATCTAAATGTTGAATTCCCTTCACTTCTCAAATCCAATAATATTGCATTATGATCTGAGAGAGTCCTTGGCAATATCTTCACGTTCCCCACTCTTATTGTCAGTTCACTGGAGTCTATTCTTCCGGCAGATTGATTTGGCTCAGAGAAAAAAGTGTGCTGTCTTTCTAATCGATAGTTGAATCTCCAAATGTCTATTAGGTTCAAGCTTTCCATCAACTTAAAAAAAGCCATTGGGAGTTTCCCTTCTTTTGAGTATTCCTTTTCCTTATTGTTCTGCCCATTTCAAGGGAAACCACCCCATTCATATCCCCCATTACTATTATTTTCTGATCCATATAATCAAATAATTTTTCCTCCAAAGATTTGTAAAATTCCGATTTCCTCTCATTTGGGGCATATATCCCCACAATTATTTATTTATTTTGCCTTGCAACTTTAACTGTACAGCTATCACTCTTCCCTCCTCTTCCATGAAGATCTGCTGTGGGTCATATTTGTTTTTTATATACAATACTCCTCTTTTCATAATTTTGTCCGATGTTAAAAATTCTCTTCCTAATCTTTTATTTATCAACCTTCTTTCATTTGTTAAACTACTGTACAGTTTACTTTAAACTTACTTTCTTGCAATTTGGATCAACATTTTCAGGTTCTTCAGGAAGAAATCCCAACGGTTCTCTTTTACATATGAAGCCAAGTTCCTCTTCACAGAAATAATCTGCCCAATATCCACTCTGGAAATGGAAAAATAAAGAAATAAACATTTCAGTGAAGAAGTATACACTTCCTCATTTTCTTGATGCTTGATGTCTTTTGTGTTGATACAAAGCTTTCTATTGCATTATCTTGTCCTTAAAAAGCATTGACTAGTTGTACTATATCTAGCTGTGAGGTGCCTTGAGCCCCTATCAGGGAAAAGGGTAGGATATAATATTAATATTAATATTAATAATAAATTCTGAAAACATTGCGCTGGAGCATAACCACCAATGAGTGGAAGTTTATCCAGCCACATGTTTGGCTTCTGATATTTCAACAAGCAATTCCCACCTAAGTACTGGCACAATCATATCTGTGAAACGCTTCCTCTTTTAAAAACAAAAATCAAAAGAATAAAGGTGACATTCTCAAGAAGATGGTTCTACATGTAGCAGAAGAGAAACAGCGCTGATTGTGACTAACATGAGATAGAATGGAAATTGCTGCCTCCTTGTAACATACAATTAGCTCTCAACAAGAGCAGTTGGTATGGGGAAGGGTGTCATGTGGAGATGCCCTCCTGACACCAGCACTGCCGCTTACTGGGACAGTAGGACAGACTGGGGTTGTGAAGGTGCACCAGGTGCACCACTATACACACAGGTCCTGCTATCAGAACGCTTGTTATCCACAAATTTTGTTATCAGAAATGAAGAATTAGTACCTAGACCTTGCTATGCCCACCGCAGATTCAGAAATCCAAGCAGCCAAAATCTTCTCCCTCCTTACTTGTTTGTGCATTTGTGGTCGGTGACAACCTTTTTTGGGCAGAAACCATGCAGGGAGGGAGAGAGATCGGACAAATCAGGGAGCAGGAGAGAGCAGACAAATCAGTCCCCCCCCCCTTTGCATCTCTTTTCCTGGTTGGCTGCAGCCATTTCAGGAAGAAACCGTGGAGGGAGGGAGGAGAGTGATTGGACAGATTAAAAATATTCCCATAAGAAATGATGTAAATTGTCAACTTGTTATGTGAATGCTCGTCTAACAAATTCCTGGGAACGCATTGTGTTCGGAAAGCAGGACCTGGATGTATTTGATCTTTCACACAAAACTGAATCCAAGGAAATACATCTTTGTTGGGGGTTCCGTGTTTTTTACCTCCCCATTCATAATGACACAGGCACTTTGCTCATCATTTATGTGTGCGGGTTTTCCTTTCTGCCACTTGGTGAGTCTCACTGTAGAACCATCACTCCATTCATAATACTTCAGAATCTTCTGGTCATTCAGTCCTATCCAGAGAAGATCTGTTGACTCTAAGAACACAAATGCATCTTGTTTATTTGCTCACAAACTTTAATTGCAATAAACCCAGGTGTTTCACAGGATCCTATTATTATTAAATTTGTATACAACTAGGGATAAAGAAAGCTGATCGCCGAAGAATTGATGCTTTTGAATTATGATGCTGGAGGAAACTCTTGAGAGTCCCATGGACTGCAAGAACATCAAACCTATCCATTCTGAAAGAAATCAGCCCTGAGTGCTTACTGGAAGGACAGATCGTGAAGCTGAGGATCCAATACTTTGGCCACCTCATGAGAAGAGAAGACTCCCTGGAAAAGACCCTGATGTTGGGAAAGATGGAGGGCACAAGGAGAAGGGGATTACAGAGGACGAGATTGTTGGATAGTGTTCTCGAAGCTACCAGCATGAGTTTGATCAAACTACGGGAGGCAGTGGAAGATAGGAGTGCCTGGCGTGCTCTGGTCCATGGGGTCGCAAAGAGTCAGACACAACTAAACGACTAAACAACAACAACAAGGGATGATGGAAGTTGTAGTCCAGAAACAGCTGGAGGCCTAGGTTTGGTGAAGTTTGTTGAAGGCTGTAATAGTGCCACATCTCACATTTGGGTCTCATGTTCAATACAGCATACTGGTGCTTCCCCCTCCCCCCAGGGTGGGAGACTCAGTAACATTCCCTTCTTGCACGTGGTAACAAAAATGCAAAACAAAAAACTCTCTCTCTTAATCTCACATATTTAGCAGATACCAGAAGGACCAAACTTTCTAGATATACTTACGGTAGCCAAGCTGAGATATGACAAAGCTGTATTCTTCAATGCTGTGAATACTTATTAAATCTCCATCTTCTTCTCTGCAGGACCATAACGCGTTCTTCCATGTTTTAAGGTCTCTTTTAAGGCTGTAACAGTGACCTGCAAATGCAGCCCAGCCATCTGGACATTTAATTGGTTTCAAGCCATCTAAAAAGAGATCAAATTTAAGATAGCATGACTGGAGGATTTTTTAAAAGAAGAAAGTGTGTTATGCTATTAGGATGTCATAATCTCAATTCCTTAATTTGTGTATATAAAATATATCAGAGGCAAATCTGACAATCAATATTAACAAGACAGAGTAGCCAGTTCTTTACCATGAGGATATTATTGTCAATAGAATTACCAACAATTATTGTATTCAAATACATTTATTTCACCTATGGGAATGTGGGATTTGCTGTGTAATGGCAACAACAGATGGGAATGCTACCTGTTAAGTTTAATAATACAGTTGATAACTTATTCTTAGCTAATGACAATATATCCTCTGGCATCTCAGTCCAATTGTCAGGGACTGGGCAGAGGAGGAACAGTGGAGACCGCTTCCCCAGCCTGACCCTTCTAGAGAAGAAGACAGTTCAGAATTACAACAGGGGTTTGAGGGAGGCCGCAGCTCAGAGGCAGATGAGGGGGAAAGTTGGGGAAAAATGGAAGAGGAGGAGGAGGCAGAGCCGGAGCAGCAGCTGGCTGACACATTGTCATTAGAAAGCATTCCACATCCTCCATCTCCCAGAACCCGGCGAGCCTTAAAAGTAGGAGAGCAAAGAGCTTGAAGACAAATGACCCTAAGCAGCTACCGTAGGGGTGGTGGTGCTGTTGATGAATGAGGAAGTGGGAGCGAAGGAGGGGTGGAGATTTACTCGGGACAACGTCATTATTCCAAGAGGCTGCATTCCCAAGCCTCTCTCTGTGAATATTGAATGAAAAAGCAGATGGTAATGACTTTTTCTTGTCTTATCTGTTCCTGGCAACCTGCCGTGGCAGTTGGTTCCTTTGCCACCGGACATCAATAAAGTGTTCTATATTGCATATACTGCTACAAACAGCAAAACCTCCACTGCTAGAGATAAGATTTTAAAAAATGTAATATTGCCATTGGCAAACTCCACAACTTATGACATAATGAAATATATGTGAACTTCATTCCCAGGTTAGCATCCTACCTGAAGGAATAAAAGAAACATCTAATGAAGAGTTTTCTTTCTTGCAAATGTATCCAAGTTTCTGGTGGCACTTATCATTCTCCCAATTGCCATTCTTAGACAGCATTGATCCACATAATTTTTCTGTTTCTGGGGATGGGCTCCCTTTAAGAAAGAGTGAGAGAAACAATCATTATCTATGCCCTGTGTTAACATAGCAACACTGTATTTATCATTCATTTGGAGGCTCTGCATTTTTAGGAGCACTGCTAAAAAGTAATTCGTAATGTTTTAAATAGAAATGCATGTTATTTGTTTTCCTGTTTGCAGAAGTATTTATATCTCAAGAGAAAATAGTATTCTTGGAATATCTATACAAGAAACTACAGGGACAAAACACTAAAACACGGGAGAAATAATATATATATATGTCAGGGCTGCCTCAGGTCTCAGCTCACAAAAGACCAACGCCAATTTCTTCTTATATACAAAAGTGTTTATTGGAGTTCATTGTTTGCTTCACATCCGAGGCGCGCAGCCCCACGTCTGTTACGCTTTAGACCGTTGAAGTCCCCTCTGAGTCAGTCCCTCCCCTGCACCAGTTTAAGAGGCTTGCGCTGCTCCACCTCTTCCTCTCTTTCCTTTTCCGCAGGGTCTTCCTGCCCGCTGGGGTTTCGCCCCTCCTGGATTCCCCTGACGCGGAATCCCCAGATTGCTCTTCCCCCCTCCTGCGGGCTTTGGGACCTGGCTCCTCCTCCGGGCTCCCTGTACTTCCGCGCGCCTCCACATTTGAACTTGGCACGCGCGCCCAACCTCTAACCTTCCTTTTGACAGTTACACTACTCCCTTCCGGGAGGGTGGCTTGCTCCGAGCAGGCAGATGTGCCTCATGCTACGATTCAGATAGAATAATATATATATTACGATTCACTTACCTGGAGCCCAGTTTAAATATCTGAAAGGACGATCACCAATCCACTGCCATCCACTCTCAGCATCAAAGCTGATCAGACCAATCCAGTAGGCAGCAGTCATACTATTTATTAATCCTATTCAATGAAAAGAAAATCAGTTGTCTTGTATTATGTAGCTATGGGATCCATAATTATGAAGCTGGGTGGAAGGAAGCAAAATTAAACCACAACAAAAATCGCTTCTAGGATGGCAGCTTTTATTCCAGTATAGCTAAATTTTAAGCAGAAATTAATATGATGAAACATTTCATCTAGTATGCCGATGCTATGCTTCATTAGATTTAATCAATTAATTTCTGCTTCTACTGTTGTCAAAGACACAGAGGACCTGCTAGGAGATCTGGTAATCATGAATGCAAAGAATAATCTGCAGTGGGATCATTTGAAATGGATGACATTCAAATTAATTCTGCTGGGAGTAAGGGTACTTATTATATTATGTTTATGAAATTGCTCCCTATAGTTGAGACAATATTGATTATGTAGCAAAATATTATTAGAACTGATCACTTCTTTAGGTGTGCTTTATTATGTTCTACCTGTCAGGTACGCCTGTTCATGTAAACTGGTGATGCTCAGTAAATCTGCATTCTGTTGCCGGCAACTTTTTCTTGCTTGGTACCATGTTAGAGCTGAGCGGGAATTGATCTGGTAGAGATTCCCTGTCCAATGGTTTTTGGTCCAGAAGAATTCATCATCTGTAAGCATTGTTAACACTAGTGTCAAATTATAAAATCACAAATGGCAAAGCTAAATCTGCAAGTGAGATAAACCTGATTGATCAAGACACCACTTTTCCAGAGGATACCCAATCATATAGAGCAGCACCCTGGGCCTCCCTCCATAATAATGTGGCTTCCGAAGCCCCATTTGCAATATTCAAGCATTAGGTGGGGATATCTTCAGGCGCAGCAACCTAACCACATCAATTTCTATTTACGCTTCCTGGAACCCTGTGTGCAAAGAGGACTTCAGGTTTCAGGTTAGTTTACATGAGTTGGCTTTATCCCTGTAGACATTCACACCTAATGCATGGATGTATATACAACTCTACCCCACCCACTGCATGAGTCACCACTGGCCAGATCCCAAAACAGGAAGGACCAGACACACTTATCTTTAACACACCATCACACACAGAGACCATTGTTCCACACAGAAACAAAGGCAAATATTTCATTTTAGTAGCTCTACTCAAATTGTACCTTCTGGTTCCCTCTTTGCTTTGGTCTTCTTACCTAAGAGAAAGGATCTGCAGCTGCATGGTTCATACAACATCAAAACTCTTTCAGCTGTTCCCCACTGAACAACTGAGGGTTGGGAGAAGACCAAGGGACAAATGGAATCTGGCTGCCCCACTTCTGCTCTAGACCTTGATTTTGTCTTGAACTGAACTACATCATCATCTCAGTCCCTTTCAAGTTAAGAAGTGCAGACCTAATCCTGTATGGAGCTCTGGCATTCTTTATATTTATTTTACTCTCACTCTTAGGGGAAAGTTCCCCCCACCCCCACCCTCTTCTGCTTATGTTGCACAATCAGTAAAACAGAGGCAATAATGACTATTTCCCTTTTTCTGTGTAGGAGAAACATTCCTCTAAGCAGCTCATACATGATGGCAAAGTAAGGGCCTGGCATATTCTTATATGTTGTACTCCCCGTGATTTTTTTTTTAAATTAAAACTGTGAATTATAAATAAACAAACTTGGTTTTACCTTTTACTGGACAATGTCTGCTTAAAGAGTCTTTAGTCACCTCTGTCCAACTGGCTTCCATCTTTTAAAAATTAAAGCTAAGAGTCTAGAGCCCCAGCTGACTCCCCAAAATCTGACCTCTTCTCTGTTGGCAGCTGTGCAGTAATCCCATGAAAACAATACAAAGAAGGTCAATGTGCAGGTAAACTACAAGCGCTGCCTTATGCCTATTCAGTGTGTCAAATGCCAAGGTGTAAGTGCATCCTGAAAATTGCAAGTATGCAACTGAAAAAAATTCAAAAGCCTATTTGCAAGGGACAGAAGTCTGCCAAGACATTTCTCCCTCTGCTTTGATCTTCTTGCAGCAGGGGAAAGACCTGCAATTGCACACTTTGGAGAATATCAAAATCTTTTTCCATCTAAGCTGCTCCCCACTGAACAGCTGATTGGCTCAAAGGAGATGAGAGGGCCAGAGGAAAACTGGCTGTACCCTGCATACAGCAGTTTGCCAACTCTACTGTGGACCTTGCTTTTGGCTTGACATCTGTTTCTTTCAATTGAAGAAGTGTGAGCCTGATCCTGTAAGGGGACCCTGACATTACTGACAATTCATTTTGCTCTGATTCACAGGAGAAAGATCCCTCTCCCCATTTTCTTCTAAGTTGTACAACCTGTAGAACAGATATAATAACGACTAGTTCTCTTTTCTCTTTGTTAAGACGAACATTCCTCTAAGCAACAAATGCACAATGCCAAAGGCTCAAACAAACCCTTTTTGTTTACCTTTCACTGGACAATATCCGGTTAAAGAGTCTCTATCCACGTCTGCAGTTGTTCCGCACCAAAGTCGCCCATGTTCATCATTGTCTCTTATGCACTGAGCATACAATTCATTCCGATACTTGAATGGAAACATACAGGGGGCTCCAAAAGAATTGCCTTCTAAGGTATACAGAGCTAAAAGAAAATTGAATAGATGCAATGATGAAATAATTTTGATCTGTTGTAAGAACAGAAGTTGGTAAGCAGAAGAGATGAAGACAAAGTCCTCAACACAGAATGCCAGATATACTCAGATGCATATGTTGACTTTCTGTGTAGACAGGCTTCCCCGTTGACATTAACTAGGTTTTGAACATTCATTCTGTTGCATGAATGCACACGTGCAACTTCCCTTTTAATTGGAGTGGATCATTAGTCCCTGGTATCCCCAGGAAAGGTTGGGAAAGACTTCTAAATGAAACCCTGGAGAGCTGCTGACAATACGATGTGGATGAGCCAAAGTTTTGACATGGTACAAAGTATCTTGCTGTCTTCCTAAGACTTTTTGAAGTAGGCTGCATGCTATGCATACTTAAACTCTGGTGCCCATCATGAAATTTCTACACAGGAGTAGAGTTGCAAAATAAACAGAAAGCCACCAACCACCCAGTGTTGGTAAATCTGGCCCCTTGTTGCAATGCAAAGGAAGTGAAAGCATTTCCTGCTCAGGCAAATGGCACTAGTGGAAATTGAACTGATACTGTTAGGCTATATTTCTATCCTTGCATGTCCCCCGACCCCAGTAATTCATACAGTTTCAAAACATCATTTAAACATCTATTGGAAAGGGTGCATTTGTCTACTGTGGAAGGAGAGATTCAGCAATTTTTTATTTTAAAAAATCCTCATAAAATTTCTCCGTGATTTTAGTATGAATTTCTCCTAATGCACACATTTTTTATATGCAGTTTTGACTAATGCACTTTTTTTTTTGCAATTTCCCTTACATAATGCATTTTGTATGTTATTTTCACAAATATATTCTTTTTTTAATGCACTTTCCTATTAGATCCCTTTTTGTGAATACTCAGAGAACAATATCAAAAAAATTTAGATAACTGCGAATTTTGAAGGGTAGCTGTGTTTCAGTTTTCGTATTGCTTTTCAAAAGTTCAGATGTGCTGGATTCAGCTTTAAATGCAAACTGAATAGAATTTCACACACACACCATCGCTACCCTTGAACCTCCAGGTCTACAGCCCAGAGACCCCAGTCCTGGTAGCAGTATTTTGTGTTTCAAGTGTTGGGCCCTCCAAGACCAAAAAATAAAGCCATCCACTTCTAATATGACATGGAAGCTTTCTTACAGTACTTGAATTTGGCTGGATGCAGATTATCACTACAGTGGTACCTCGGGTTACATACGCTTCAGGTTACATACGCTTCAGGTTACAGACTCCGCTAACCCAGAAATAGTACCTTGGGTTAAGAACTTTGCTTCAGGATGAGAACAGAAATCGTGCTCTGGCAACGCGGTGGCAGCAGGAGGCCCCATTAGCTAAAGTGGTGCTTCAGGTTAAGAACAGTTTCAGGTTAAGAACAGACCTCCGGAACGAATTAAGTACTTAACCCGAGGTACCACTGTACTTTGTTAAAGAAAGGAGTAAGATGCTAGTGTGTGTGTGTGTGTGTGTGTGTGTGTGTGTGTTAGAGAGATATAGAAAGAGATGGTCAGAGAGATAAAGAGGCTGGGCTGAGACATTTATTTCATAAATAATACAACAAACAGGGCTAAACAGCTGCTCTCCCTTTGCTCTGGTCCTGATGAAAACTGGACTCCCATGACTGCAACAAGATGGGTTTTCTATGGATATGTTTTGAAGTTATGTGGTTAGCACCATGTCTATGTCAGCCTTGACCATCTGATCATCTAGAGAAAGAGGACAGATTCTCTGAATTTTACCTTCATAGGCCTTAGAGCACAGGCTGTCTTTCGTTCCATAGATCTTCCAGGTACTCTTGCTGGTGGCTACTTTAGAAAGTATAAGACGGCTTTTTCGGCCACCTTCGGGATTTAAAAACAAATCCCCCTGTTCGAGTGCAAGGAGGCTGTCATTTCTGCATTCCCATTTCTGAAGTTCACTGGTCTCATTGCAGGGAGAGAGGGTGAGGGCAACCAGGTTTGACTTGGAAGGCACTGCCAGGCATAACTTCACTGCCATGTTCAAAACCTGGTCGTCGGAAACCCACTTGAAATGTTGCCACTCATTATCCTCATCGCAGTTGACCAGGATGATGGAACCAGATTTCTGAGATTGTATACAGAGCTTGATGTTTTCATTATATATCAGAAAGCTGTCACTATCTGCAAAATCAAGAGAGGAAGAAGAATAGGAAACTAGGGAGGAAGTTCCACATACTTTCCAATATCTCAACCACTGGTAGAATGGTAATACCAGGATTCAGAATAAGAGGCAGTAATATTGACATAGAAAAGGGAGAAATGCCTTTCATGTTAATACTGTACTTTATTTTCATGATCCAGTACAGTGCCTTATTTTTCAGTGGTCAATAACCTATTCCATTTATAAGTCACTAATTTTGATTCTTTGTGGCAGATATAGTTGGCAGTTTATTTTATTCTAAATACTATGCTATTGTTGTTGGCAAGAGACGTGGGTGGCGCTGTGGGTTAAACCACAGAGCCTAGGACTTGCCGATCAGAAGGTCGGTGGTTCGAATCCCCCTGAGAGGGTGAGCTCCCATTGCTCAGTCCCAGCTCCTGCCAACCTAGCAGTTCGAAAGCACGTCAAAGTGCAAGTAGATAAATAGGTACCGCTCTGGCAGGAAGGTAAATGGTGTTTTTGTGCGCTGCTCTGGTTCGCCAGAAGCGGCTTAGTCATGCTGGCCACATGACCCGGAAGCTGTTTGCTGGCTTCCTCAGCCAATAAAGCGAGATGAGCACCGCTACTCCAGAGTTGGCCACAACTGGACCTAATGGTCAGGGGTCCGTTTAACCTTTACCTATTGTTGTTGGTATCTATTTTTAAGCAACATTTCATTTTCATGGTGAGGGTTTTTTATTTTTTTTTTAAATCTTTATAAATAAAACTTCTAAAAACCCTCAGCCATGCCAACAGAAATATTTTTATGTTATATTTCTTTAATACGTTTGAAGGACAAAGTAGGCATGTGTGAGATCTGAAATTGGTTCCCTTAACATCTTTCTATTTTGTTAAACCACAGTGCTGGGGCCAACTTGGTGTGCAGATAGGGAAGAGTGAGTTGATCCTTTTCCTCTCTGATGCCAATTCCATCCGAAACCCCAACAATTTAACTGTGCAGGGAAAAACATATGACCCTTGTATTGTGCCATATATTTTCATTTACCCACTGGCTAAAAGCAGCTTTGGTGGAGTATTTGGGCTGTGACAAATGTTTTGGGGCATCTGCTTTTAATAAAAGAAAACATATGGTGAACAACTGATATATTATTGCTTTAGTTAATTAAAAGAATTTCTGTACCACCTTTTCACCAGAAACTAATCTAGAGGTGAATTACAAATAAAAACAACAACAACCCTAAAAGCAATATAATACAAAAACATAAAGCATGACTAATCCTTGATTCATTAAAACGGGTATCAACAGTAAGGAGTATGAACTGAGCAATTGGTTATCTAACATATCTAGAAAATAAAACTACATAGGTTAATAGACCATCATCTACATGATTAAAGAACTCCAGCCACTTCAAAAAATGATTCTTCTATTGAAGTATAGCTAACAATATGGTGATTTCCCTTCATGAGAAAGAGGCTCCAAAGGGCTGTAACCAGTGTTGTCCTTCACACTGAAGGAAAGCTCATTGATCCAGTGGAGCCCTCCATTAGCTGAATGGGGAGGACCCCAACACTCTTGGGGGATCTTTGGCACATGGGGGTGGGAGGGAGATGCAAGGGGAGTGAGAAATGGCAAACATTGCCACTTTCCCTATTCCATTGATGGAAGGTTCCACTAGATCAAATAGCTTTGTGTCAGTGCAAAGGATACCCTTGATATATAAACCAGATGCTTTTTTATGATGTAAATGCAGGTGTTGGATATATTGCTTGTGTAATATTGTTAGATCAAAAAATATTTATCTTATATTTACAATTTATTTCTGTATCGTGCAAAAATAAGTAACAGGGAAAAGACTAACTTCTATATAGGGAAAGGAGTAAATTCTTTATTTCAACAATAGAACACAAATAAATAAATTGTATTCAAAACTATGTTAGCCATTAATTTATTGTAATGACTTCCACACCTTTCTTATGGTTATAAGCAATAAAAATGTTAAACCAATTAACCTTGAATCTAACATTTCATGGATTTAACTTCCTAGCTGTACAACATTAACTTTCAGAAGATGATTTAAATTTCACCAGATAAAATTATGTGAAAGATGCAGCTCCACTTATTGCTAAGGTAACAATGGTGATGGAAGTGAAGAAGAGCTTACCTGATACCTGAAAAGCTGGCTGGACGAGGAGCAAGATATTTAGGAGCCAAAGGGAAGACATTGGCCACAACCAAACCTATCACACCACTCCCATGGAAATAAGACAAATCAGGGTTTGCTGCTTTTCAAGTACTTCATAAATGAGTCAGGCAGAATGAAATTTTCACTTCTGTGTTTGACATGAAATTCATTGTAGTAGTACAAATGGATTGCAGTGTGTGTGTGCTGACACAGACACACACACTCACAGATTTTTGCTAACCCATCAGCTTCCACGGAAAAGATCTATTTTTGCATATCATCTTTGGGATATTTAGATTCATTTCTCATCACTTAGGCTGGTACTTAGGCTCTCTATTACACACACACACACACTCACACACACATTTTTGCTAACCAGCTTCCATGGAAAAGATCTATTTCTGCAGAAAACCCATGAGTTATTTAGTTATTTTGGCTGGTACAACTCCACAAGGTAACAAAACAAGGTAACAGTACATAGTGCTAAGGAAGGATGTACATAGGAGATCCTCATTGATAACTATGCTGCTTTTAAGCCATGGCCAAGCTCTGAGAGAGCCGCTAGCTGGAGGTCTGATTCTGGCCTCAGGAAATGAAGATCAAAAGGACCAGAGGCAGATCAAGAAGCAGTGGTCCTCAGCAGCTCTTAATCAGACACATACACTTTCTGATACTACAGGTAATATCATCATCATGGCTTCTCATTGACCACCTTCTCCTCCATCCATAGCACCCTCTGTAGCATCTGATTCAGCACACTTTGTGTTCTCTTGGCTTCATGAAGCAGTATGGGTTTTTTTTGTTTCTTTTTCGTCTTCACCAGCAACAACCAATGTGCATTTCTAGAGAAGGAAATAACACCAGGAAGCAAATAAAGAGCAACATGTTCAAAGGAGATTGGGGGACATGGGGCAGCTGTTCTGTTTGGTAAGCACTGCCTAGTTCCTTCCTCAATCACATCTGGAAAATGTTGATCAACCGCAAAGTATAATGAGTTCAAAAGAATTGAGAAGTGAAAGTCATCTGCAATGTTATGAAGTTTCCTGAATATTTTGAAAAAGTGGTCAAATGATTTTTTTCATTCAAATTGCTGAGTTGGTGCCTGGTTAGCCCATTACCAGATAATTCAGAAGAATTTATAAAAGAAAAGGAAATGTTTGTATGCAGCCCCAAACCATGAAGAAATGTGGCTCTCTGGGAAAGATGGTTCGTCACCCATGAGATGCAGGACTGTTCTGTAAAATTGTTGTGCATACTGATGTTTCACATAGTTAGTAGTTATGTATTCATTAACTTTGTAGATGTTTGTAGTTTCCAGACAAGACTTAAAGAAAGACCCACAAAGAGTCCACTGCAGTAATCCAGTCTTGAAGACTAGCAGACCCTCCAAGTGTCCCTATTTTCCACTGACATCCCTGATTTAGAGAAGCTGTCCTGGTTTCTGATTTGATCCCAGAATGTCCTGCTTTTCCTTAGGATGTCCCTATTTTCATTGGAGACATGTTGGAGGGTATGGAGTTATCGGACCCCTGAGTTGTCTGAAGGCAATCCTGTATAGGGAAGGGTTCCCCGCCCCCAATGTTTAATGTTTTATTATGTTTTTATATATGTTGGAAGTGGCTCAGAGTGGCTTTGGCAACCCAGTAAGATGTGTGGGGTATAAATAGTAAAATTATCATTATGGAACGGGATGTCCCTATTTCCATCGGAGAAATGTTGGAGGGTATGAACTAGTAAGGCAAAGTTATCCCAGCACAGGAACAGTTGCAGCTGTTGTAGTAGCTGAGGGTCATAAAAGGAGCTCATAGCAATGGATGCCCTAAGAATCTATTGAGAAGTTACTGTTCTTCTCAAACATTTTTGTATTACCAGCAACATCCTGCTGCTTAGAAAAATTGTGCTATCTGGTGCTATTAAAACTACATTCTTTGACACAAATATACATCTTGAGATATGTAGTTTAATGTTTTCAAATAATCCAATGTGCTTGAAAGGAGTGTAAGCAACAGAAAATAATGCAGCCAGTTCCATCAGGTAATCAGCAATATAACTTATGAGGTCTAACAAGAGGATCATAATCAGAAAGCGATTGGTGAACATTGAACCCTCCCTCCTGTTAACTTCTTTTCCATGTGGCTAGGGAGATTGTGATAAACACCAGCAGTAGCAATACCTGGAAAAGTGTACTACTAGATTTGGCAACTACCACACAATCAGATCAGTTCAACCAGGAATCAGATTTGTATTTTCAGAGCAGCGTGGAACCCTGATAACATAGAAGCAGTTTTCACCCCATTGCTGTGATTGTGAATCAAGCCTAGACCTGTGCAGATAACTGGGGTGAATGGAGTCTACCTTTTTATTATTTATTATTTAGCAAGAATCACTTCCCTGTCAGTGTCTGATGCCAACAATGGAAGCTTATGACCAGAAAGAACCTTTAGGTTGCAATCACCTACGCATTTGAGGCCCATTAAAATCAATGAGACTTACTTCTCAGGAGACGTTCATAGGGCTGTCCTTGAAGATGTCTTGGAGAATTCAGTTGGTCCAAATGTAGCAGCCAGATTGCTGGCTGGGGTTCCATTTGTATCACATATAACCAGTTTAAAACAGCTGCCCTGGCAGCCAGTTCATTTCTGGGCCCAATTCAAAGTGCTCATGCCCCAAATATCTCAAAGACCACCTCCTTCCATACAGACCCACTTTGCAGCTGAAATCAGCAGAGAACAGCTCTTGGTAGTTCCCCCACCCTCAGAGGCTCAGGGGAGAAGGTAGCCAGGAGAAGGCGCTCTCTGGCAGCTGCTAAACTGTGGAACTCCTTCCCCACAGAGGCGCACATGACACCTTCATTATATTGCTTCTGGAGGATGCTGAAGACACACCACTTTCCCCTGGCTTTTGACCTTTGAGGTATTTTTGAGGGCCCACCTCATTTTAATAATTGTTAGTTGTTTTCAGTTGTTTTCAATATTGTGTTTAAGTGCTGTAACCCTCCCTGGTATCTCTGCTAGCACTGTTCCCACTCTTGCCTTCATATTACAAAATACACAGACTTTGTGGTGGGTGGGTGGGAATAACTGTGAATCAAGTTTCCCCCACCGATAAGAAGAGCCCTGCTTGATCAACCAAAGGCCCATTTAGCCTTCTAGAAGAAGAAGAATAGTTTGGATTTGATATCCCGCCTTTCACTCCCTTTAAGGAGTCTCAAAGCGGCTAACATTCTCCTTTCCCTTCCTTCCCCACAACAAACACTCTGTGAGGTGAGTGGGGCTGAGAGACTTCAGAGAAGTGTGACTAGCCCAAGGTCACCCAGCAGCTGCATGTGGAAGCGCGGAGACGTGAACCCGGTTCCCCAGATTACGAGACTACTGCTCTTAACCACTACACCACACTGGCTTCTATTCTCAGGGTGGCCCTCCAGTGCTTGTGATGGGGACCTCACAAGCAAGACATGAGTCCAACAGTCTTCTTTCACTCGTGGTGAGTGATCAGAGGGATTCTGCTTCCAGTAATGGAAGTAACATAGCCATCACGACTAGATGCCACTGAAAACTTCCTTCTCCTTTGAAAGCCTCTCCACCCCACCCAGTAGCATCTAATTCATTGCACTTTGTGTCCTCCTGGCCTCATTATGCTGAGAGCAGCAGCCAATGTGAGTTTCTGGGTTAAGGGAGCAAAGAAATATTTCTTTATCACACTGAAGGAAACAAAGAAAAGCGTAGAGCTTTAAGCCCTAATCAGAAAGGCATCCAAACAAGTAAAACGGCTGAGGCACAATCCAGATGGAAACAAACTGCATATACAAGGAATTGTTTTGCATGCAGTTGCTCTTTCTGAATCAGCACCTGGGCTGCACATATGGAGTCCTTTGTGAATCCTGACAAGTCCACTCACCCCTTTCGGTGCAGCAGCATTGCAGGACGGCAGAGGTTCCACAAGGGTCCTGATGACGGAACCATGGCTTCAGTGCCCTTCCTATCAGGAGCTGGATCCTGGCCTGCACCCTGCTTTGGTGAATGGGGATGCAGGCTGAGGCGTGGGCTGTGCCAGGGGGTGGAGCTGACAGAGCGGGAAGGCTTCCATTGGGTCCACCCCTTGGCCATTTAAGCAGCCTGCACCTGTTTGTCCCTTCGTCAGGTTTCCCCACCCCCCCTTGGTTTAGGCTGATAGTCAAGGATTTTGCTGTGGCTACGGTGGTCGCTGTTCTTTACGGGGCCCGGTAGGAATTTGTCCACTGGGCAAAGTGCCTCTGACCCGATGGTTTTGCCTGCTTCATAGCAACCGTCACAACTGGACTTGAGCATTGGGGAAATCCGTGGCCTTGGATGGAGGGGAAGTTGTAGTCTCCGCCTGCCTCTCCAAAAGCTGGGGGAGCCTGTTAAAGGAATCTAGGGGGAATGGTCATGTCCACATGCCCAGGGAGGGCCAGGGCCAAAGGCACTCCCCGAAACGGCGGTCCCTGCGGGGGTCACCCTATTTGATGCAAGTCTTAGGAACCCCCGTCTGGATTGACCTATGCGTCACTTCCAGCGGGCAGGCCAGAAGGATTTTGAATGCCCCATGCCCAAGCTAAACCTCCTTCATCTGTATTCAATAAAGGTGTGGCATGTTTTCATCCAAACCAGTCTTGTTGGTCTCTTATTTATCTGAGTTGGGGATTGGGGAGCATGATGCCTGGACCTGCAACTGGCTCTTCAGAAGAAGAGTGGAGGAGGAAGGAAGTAGGTTCACCATCCTTGGCCCTTTTCTCCCCTACCTGATGAGTGGGTTCTTAGCTTTCTTAAAGGGCTTTATGTGTGAATGGTTCACTGTTTTGTGGCAAAACTGAAGGATACCAACAACATGATCCTTAGCTTGGAAAAAAAATAGCTTCCAGTAGAAAATACTCTTCATAGAATATATTTTTATTGAATAAACATTACACATTCAGAGCATTCTACATCCTGACTCCGTTTGTAGAAAGTGTACCTGCATATTGGGACAATTCCCAACAATGGTTACTTCTTTGAAATAATTATCAGTATAAACCTAAACCTGCTCATTCAGAAGTAAGTCCTATTAAGTTCAGTGGCACTTACTCTTATGTAAATGTGCATAGCATTTGAGCCTGAATGTGTTAATCCCCCTCTTGCTTCTCCACAATAAATTCTGAGTACTGATTCTGAGAAACTATTGTGCTGTCCTGATGCGAAAGGGTCTCGACATCCGCTAGTAAAGTTTGTGGCTGTCTGTGTCTTCTTTTGTAGAAAATATAGACTGCAACACCCACAGCAATAACGATGAGAAGAGCCGGGAGAATCACCATCATTAGTCTGCCTTGCGGTAATGCTGGAACATCATCTTGCTCTACGGGGGGGGGGGGGATATATATATGTAAGACGCACAGAGAGAGCATCAAATACTTTCCCCAGCAGAACATCCATACAGACCCATACAGAAGGTTGAGCTGTTGATTCTGCCTGCCATGGCACTACTAAAGACATAGGGTTGCCATATTTAAAACGGTGAAAATCCAGACAGAAAAGTTGTTTTGCAAAATCTCAAAAAAGCCATTTTTAAACTATTTTTATGGGAAATCAGCAAAAACGGCACTACCAACATGGGCTGCCATTCACCCAGATTTCCCGGGACATTTTCCCGATTTCCGCCCAGACACTGCTGCTGACTGCAGTATTCCGTGTATGTCTGGGAGATTCCAGACATATGACAACCCTAAATGAGCACTTTCAGAAAGACAGCAACCCTCCAAACAAAATAGTAGTGAACAACTCAGAATTCTTGTACTCAAGAAGAAGGAGTCACCCAAGATGATGAGTGATGCCTCAGTTAGAGAGTTCATTGAGGCCCCAATTATCCCATGTAAAAGAGGCATCCATGCTGCTACAGCCCCTCCAATATGGGGTCAGAGTGAGTGCCAGGAGTGCCAACTTGGCCCTGTGACTGTGGGGGCCATGCCGTAGATAAGCAGTACAAAGAGAAAGCAGTCTCTTACTAGTAATAGAAATGTTTAATGAATGCAGCAAAGGAACAAGCGACCATTCTCAGAGTGCAGGTGTTCCCAGTTAAGGTTCCTCCTACTTCCCTCTAGTCACTTCCATCCTCTCGTCTCCTGGCCACCTGACCTCTCAATCATTGAGCCTTTTGCACAGCCAGCTTATCTAATCTCCTAGCCTTGGGACTGAGATGCTGCACATCTTCCAGTGCAAGAGAGTCTGCTAGCTCACTCTCTTCCTGGTCTTCTTGCTTTCACCTCCCAGTTATGCCCAACTATTGATTTCTGAACTGTGCCCCTCAGTGAACCATTGTTCCAAATCAACACTACTCCACTGCTCCTGTGGAGTTTCAATATCCTGGCCATGAGCAGGGGGAGGGGTAGGCTCCTACCATTCCTCATCAGAGTTGTACTCCTCAGCCTGGTCTCTGATACGCAGCATGCATGGCCCTGGCACTGAAATTAGTGGGTGCCCGGCCCCTTCATGGGGAACTTTGTGGGTGCTCGGGCATCCAGGGCCCCAGGGAGGTGGCACCTATGGCGAGTGCAATGTAAACTTAATTTAATTACTGGCTTTGGACTTTAACTTGTTGTTGTTGTTGTTATTGTTGTTGAGTCATTTAGTCGTGTCCAACTCTTTGTGACCCCATGGACCAGAGCATGCCAGGCACTCCTGCCTCCCACTGCCTCCCACAGTTTGGTCAGACTCATGCTGGCAGCTTCGAGAACACTGTCCAACCATTTCATCCTCTGTTGTCCCATTCTCCTTGTGCCCTCCATCTTTCCCAACATCAGGGTCTTTTCCAGGGAGTCTTCTCTTCTCGTGAGGTGGCCAAAGTATTGGAGCCTCAGCTTCAGGATCTGTCCTTCCAGTGAGCATTCAGGGCTGATTTCCTTAAGAATGGATAGGTTTGATCTTCTTGCAGTCCCTGGGACTCTCAAGAGTCTCCTCCAGCATCATAATTCAAAAGCATCAATTCTTTGGCAATCAGCCTTCTTTATGGTCCAGCTCTCACTTCCATACATCACTACTGGGAAAACCATAGCTTTAACTATACGGACCTTTGTTGGCAAGGTGATGTCTCTGCTTTTAAAGATGCTGTCTAGGTTTGTCATTGTTTTTCTCCCAAGAAGCAGGCGGTTTTTTTTAATTTCGTGACTGCTGTAACCATCTGCAGTGATCATGGAGCCAAAGAAAGTAAAATCTCTCACTGCCTCCATTTCTTCCCCTTCTATTTGCCAGGAGGTGATGGGATCAGTGGCCATGATCTTGGTTTTTTTGATGTTGAGCTTCAGACCATATTTTGCGCTCTCCTCTTTCACCCTCATTAAAAGGTTCTTTAATTCCTCCTCACTTTCTGTCATCAAAGTTGTGTCATCAGCATATCTTAGGTTGTTGATATTTCTTCCGGCAATTCTTTTTTCTTTGTGGTCTGGGCTTTCTTGTCATTTCTTGTCACATGCGTTATAATAGTGGGACCCAAAGAGGACTGTGCTGGTCTGTGGTGGGATAAGTGCTCCTCCTGTGCTTTTTAGATTTATTTTGCAGCATCTACATGACAACATTGGCATCAAAGTACTTTTATCTCCCCTCCACCCCAATTTAATTTAGATATACTCTTTCTGTGAAAAATCTGATCAGATAAAAACAAACAAAACCTGCAGCCTATGTCCTATTTGTGATATGTGATATTAAGCTCCCACATGGAAGTGAATCAGAGTACAAGCTTGCCTTTGGAATCTGTGACAACTTACAGTTACTAGTCTGAAGGGGTTTGGTGCCGTGATTCCTCAACATAGCCTATGTGAGTAAGCAGCTAGGAGTGACACTTCTGTTTCTGTGTGGCAGCTGCCATTTCCCTCCCAGAATGCCCTAGAACAATGCTACACCTGGATAATTAATTTTTGGGGGGTGGGATGGGAGTAAACGGTTGCCAGCAATCATTTTAAGGACGTCCACTACCTGTCAAAGTTAATCCTCTCAAAAGACCCTCAGACATTTGTCTCTTTAATTTTGAACTGGAAGGTTTTTTTGGGGGGGATGTTTAGTCCAGTGCTCTGGACTATACATGCCTATACTTTTAGTCCAGTGCTCTGGACTATACATGCCTATACTTTTAACTTGGTTATTTTCATAAAACAGTCTTACCTGTACTTTTTGTAGGTACTCCACTTGCCTCTTCAAAAACTGTAAAATAAAGGATATGCTTAAGGGGCAATAAAATATACCATAGCAAATTATACAATAAAGCTAATGTAACAAGGGATTTCTATGCTCCCTTATATAAGCAGCCATGGTCAAGAGTCTGGCTTCATCTCTTTGAGATAGTTGAGGTTTCTGAGCACTTTTCAAAGGCATACCCACTTAGTGCACATGAAAATAATCCAAGCAGGATTTAACTAAGGTGTATGGCCAAATGAGATATCTCAAGGAATGTGAGCAGCTCATGCACTAGCTTTAACTGCGGAGATGCACTCCTGGCCACCAGAGAGACCTAGGCATCTGCGCTCAGAAGCATGTCAAAACTGTGAACCTATGTCTTCAGGGGGCATGTTACCCGTTCCGGCACAGGCTGAATCCTTATTCCCTGTTCTGCCTTCCAACTGACCAAGAGCTCCTCTATCTTGCTGGATTGAGTTTCAGTTCGTTCGCCCTCATCCAGTCCATTGCAGATGACAGGCATGGTTTAGAACCGAGACAGCTTCCTTGGATTTAGGTGGAAAGGAGAAATAGAGCTAGGTAGGTGTCATCAGCATATGGGTGACACTGAACCCTGAAACCCCAGACAGCCGCCCCCAGAAGTTTCATATAAATATTAAATAGCATGCGGGGCAGAACAGAACCCTGAGGGACAACACAGGACAACAGCCAATACTGTGCCTCCAAGTCCCATCCCAGCAAGGCAGCACAAAAGGGATACCATGGTTGGTGGTATTAAAAGCTGCTGAAAGGTTCAGCAGAACCAACAGGGCCACACTCTTCCTGTCCAACTCCTGGTATAAGTCATATGCCAAGGCCACAAAAGCCACCTCAGTCCCATAAGCAGGCTTGAACCTGGAAACCCACCTCATCTGGGCAGCAGAACCATAGACGTGAATTCATGGATAAATTTAAGACGAGGACAGATAAAGATATACTTCTAGTAGTATGAATCTAGCCAGAGAACAGTTAGACAAGAGTGTATTATTGATTCTATACAAGTCTCCACTCCTATTTTTCTAGAAAAAGAGATGCCGGAACTCACCATGAACGCCTCTCTTCTCTTATAATGGCAATGGCGCCCACCTGATAGGTGCTGGAAATGAGTTCCAGTGAATTCTGGCTGAAAAAAGACCTGCAAGTCTTCTCAGCGTTCAGATACTGCTTTGTATCATAGGTATCACTAAATCAACTATAATAAACATTGAAGTCTTACCTTTGTTTGTTTTACAAATAAATCCACGCGAATGTTTGCAGTTTCCCCGGATCCACTCTCCACTATCACCGTACATGAAAATGCATTCGTTCACATATTCAGGAAGACCAGAAGCAGGTCCCATAAATTCATATTCTGGATCAAATATGGGGTATTCACCTTTCCAGTTAATAAAATCCAGTGCAGTGTTATCTTCCCATACCCATTCTCCTAATTACAAAAGTACATGATTGTTATAATGACTATAAAGGGAAGAGCAACACGTTGCAGTGCATTCTATATTGGAAATTCATTTTAAAAGTATACTTGCTGTTCTTCTTCTGAAGCTTTTTCAGTCTGGAACATATGCATGCAACCTCAATTATTGTATAATACATTGCTGATATAAGCTTATGTCCTACATTTTTCTGCTTGTGAAAAATGGTGAGGATATCTCTGATTTCTGCCATTACTGCCCCCCTTGTCCCCAAACCATATATTTTCGAATGGCTGCTGGCTCTCAGAAACAGCATTTAGATAAAGATATGTGGGTGTCCTGGGAAAGAGGGGGCACTCCAGATCAAAGCCATAATTAACTGTTTTGCTAAATCAGTAGCAAATCCCAACAACTCTGTTTTGGTGGCAAATGACTAGCTCTTCTGTCTTCATATAATGAACTGAATTAACAAGTAGTAGAATGAGAAGAGGAAACTATCTCTCCCCCCTAATTTTATTAATAAGTCTGACAATATGGAAGTTTCAGGCAGTCAAATGCAATGCATGTTTACTCAGGCAGAAGTCATAAATGGCTTGGGATCAGGCAACCTGAAGACTACCTTAACCTATTTTAAAAGTGTGCAGATCTTCCGAAGATGCCTTTCTAATCTGTCCCACCTACATCAGGTGTCTATTTTAGAGGAAGTTGATAATGGACCTTCTCAACAGCTGCTCCAGGGATTTGGAATTCCCTGCCAAGAAAGGCTCATTTTGCCCCCTCGCTGAAGGGACTACATGCTTTTGATTTAAAGACAGTTTTGGCCTACTGAGATGATGTGGTTGGAAGTACTTTCTGTTTTCTTCAGTAATTTAATTTTTTAAAAATGTTTTAACATCCAGCCTATTTAAATGTTCTTCTTAAAGTTGTTTCTCCAATGGTTTGATATTGCTTCTTTATCATTACTTTTTATTGTGGATTTAATTATTGCTAGACACCTCTCTTCCATGGCTTGCACTAGGATGTGGGGAAAGGGTACAAGAAAGCAAACGACAATTCCCTTGGAGGGGCAGAAGGCAACATGATAATGGACATGCCAGGAGATACTACTCTGAACATGAGTGAGTTTTCCCCCCCTGAATGCTTGCCAAGTGTAGTCATAAATGCAAACGGGGGTGAATTTGCTAGCTCTGTTTGCTAACACTGACGGCATTTCCAGCTGAGCTCTTTCATTTTATAAAGAAATAAATGTGTGCCATATTTTAACATACTTATATACATGGATAAATATTGCAAATCTGTTATCTTAAAAATAAATATTAAATGTAAAACAATCACCATCTATATTTTGGAATAATCCTATCCAAAATTCTCGTTGACGGAATTGCTGAGTGTGTTCCACCAAAAATTCCTGCTCAGCTAAATCTTCTATTGAAGTCAAGGTGCTACCTAGAAAACATCAAATGGGTAAAGTCAACTCATTAAAATTTGTCTTCCCATTAAAAATAAACATAAAACAGCCCATTAGGCTAAGACTGGTACTGGCAACAATATGAAGTTATAGAGATCTAAGAGAAAGTGTCTGCCCATTGGAGGCTGATCCTTTCAGAGCACGTAGGGCATTGCCCCACCAAACTCAATGTGCCCTCGACCAGCCCCACTTTTTTACTTATAACTGAGGGGCTGCACTTCCTGTCTGTCTCAGAGTTGCCTTTGTGTAAGTCAGCAGGGAGGAGGATGGGGACAAACTGGAGCTGGTTGGGTTCTGCCTATCACTGGCTTTAGCTCTGCCAACTTGTGTTGGCTTCACTTACTCTTGGCTTCCCTGCCTTCTGCCCTCCGAGTCCAAATGGGCACCAGCCTCTACTGTATATCCATGTCTTTCAAATCTCTGTGATTGCTGTTCAATTGGTTAATGTTTTAGTGGAGAAGAACCTTTGTAACTTCGTCCATTTATTAAGTGCATAACGAAAAAGAAAGCCATTCAGTCAAATTTCAACAGAAAATAATTTGCAAGGTAGATGCTTCACAAAAAATGGAGCTTTAATACTTAAAAAACCCCACCATAATTCGCCCTGTTCTTCAAGTTACAGTACACTAAAAACATTTCTACAGCTTTCTAGCATCAACCCAAGAGAAAGCTAACACTCTGTCAAGATATTTTATATTGATAAGTTGGGGAAAAGATCATCAGAAGACAGAAGCAAAAGTACAGTGTGCTTTTGATGTCATGTCTGCTGTGCCAGCCTCTAAAGCAGAAGCAATTTAATTAATTCATTTTTTTAATCAAATAGAAATTGTTGCAATGTGATCCATCAGTCTGAAGCAGGATACAAGTTTCATTTAATGAGCTGCAGTGATGCAAGGAGAAATAATAGTATAAGTAATCTGGACTGGTAGATATGGTGGGAAGGAAATGAAAACTGAATGGAGACTTGCTGGCAGACCAAGATGGCAGCAACAGTGGGGTGGGTGACAGCACCTTTCTAGGGAAATGAAGACATGAGTTAGTGAAACTCATTTTCAAGGCACTGGCAATTCTACCCACTTCATCTCCCCTATGTTTGCCTTAATTCGCCAAGTCTTGCATTAGGCACCTACATCACCACCAGGAAAAAGGCACTGCCATTTGCACATACCATTGTAATTCCCCCAACAGTGGAGAAATACTCAGTCTGGGCTCATACGTATTTAGGGGAAATTAAAATGGCAGGCCACAGAAACCAAGCTTTCTGACCACACCATGCCTGCTTGGGGAGAAAGCAAGTGAAGGGGAGAAAGACTGGATGGTGAGTCCATCAGAGGAGAAGGCTCAGGACAGCAGCCTAATGGTGTTGATTCCTGGTGTCCGGCCTGTATACTGGTCTCTCTCAATATTCTTTTAATGCTAAAACTTTCTGTTGTTGGATTCAGGAAATAAGAAATAAGTTTCTGGGTGAAGGGTTATTTCTTCCATTCCTCCTGGTTTGTCCAACCTTATGAATCTTACTGATTAAAACAACACAGTTTTCATCCAGAGAACCCCACTGCCCCAAAGATAACACACATTTGTTGTTGGCAGGAATTTCAGCCTCTGTCTCTGGTCAAAGTTCAGAATCCTGTATCCACTATAAGTCCCACTGAACTCAAAGGGACTGTTCTATCTATAGTATTGGATACTAACTGATCTGATTTGAAATGGCACCCACCTAGCTGAGAACATCTTATGAATGCTTTTGCCCATGTATCTGACGTAGGGTAGAATTGATAGCAATGAGTCCGAGAAGGAACCCAAGCTTTTGGGTATCCTTTTGATGAAGGGCATTCTCCTAGGCGCTGTGGTGCTTCCGCTGGGATGTCACCTGTTATGGAAAAAACATATTTTTCTTTTTTTCAAAAAATTATAGTTACCTGAAAAATCTATAAATACTAGGGGTGTGAAAAACATTTGGACAAATCATGCATCAGGGGATGAAGCAGGGTACCTTAGAGGAATTTTGGGCTTGTACAAGGTGAAATGGAATCTGTTCGCACTATTTGCACAAAGCAGGGACCATGGAAGTGCTTGATGGCAATCCAGATATTTCTGCAGCAGCTGCAGGTTTGCAGCTTATGAAGGTAAAACAGGAAGACACCCAAAGAATTTGATGAAGTACTAACACCGAGGGGAGGGGCAGGTCAGGAAGCATGGTCAAGAAAATGGTCCCGACAGATGTGTCTTTGAGGCTTTGAAGCCCTTGGCCCACCAGCCCCTCGTGAAATCCCTTGAGACTTCTCAGCCTCCAACTGGATCTTGAAATTGCCCTGTGAGAAACAGGAAGCTCATGCTCACCCCATCCTAGAGCTGCCATGCCACTGGACAAATGTGCTCCACTCACAAGGGGATGTAGAGCAACGATTGAAACAAACTGCTTCAGACAAGAGCTTGCTGAATGTGAAAATGAGTGTACCAGAACACCAGCATCACATGACGGGGGAAGGTACAGCAGACATCACAGTGGGGAGGGGACAAGGAAGGAGAGCTTTGTTTTTGATTGACAGGTCAAACTTGCATCAGAGGTGGAAAGAAAATCCTTTCATTCTTTCTCACCACAAAATGAATTTTCAAGGTGCCTAGCTCAAAGACACCTGGACAGATGACAGGGTGTGCTTTTTAACCCACATATGCTTCTCTCGTGTTTGCATTTTTTCAGACCAATTTGTCTACAAAGAATTATGGGATAATGTTATGCATCCCAAAACTGTAACATCTGCTCTTGTGGGTAAAGCATTGCAGTGAACCTCCTGAGACATGGAAGGATTAATAGCTTTAGAAAGTCAACATCGCCTGAAAATAAAAAATTAGAAAGTTGTAAATGTTTTCTTAAAAACAACAACGCTCCTATGTCTCTTCAGTTAAAACCAGTGGGACCTAAATGGAGTTATCTGATACTGGATTCTTTATTGTAAACTCCACTCTATTTTCACTGATCTATTTGTTATCATTTGATAGTTTGAATAGTACCATATTGTTCATTTATTTCCTATGAAAGAGGCAGAAGTACCAAGAACACTTTTCTCATCTCTGTGCTCAAATGGGGACCTTATTGAAATTAGAGTTTGATGTCTCATATTAAAACAGATATTTTTCTTTGATTACCATGATGTCGCTCACAGACAGTGAAGAATGTTTCATTGCAAGTTCCTGTTTTCCAGTGACCATCAAGGTCTAGGTAGACACAGGCTATCTTCTGCTTTGGCTCTTCAGGAGCCCAATTAGTATATGTCAGTCTCCGGTTGTTGATCCACTTGTATTGCTCACCAGTCTAAAATACAAATGCACAGTGGAACAACACTTGAAAAAAACCTTTGAGGTTCATTTCCCATAAGATGCACTTCATGTGATTTACTTTGGTTTCTCCTTCATTCTAATGTCCACACACATTCATTCCCTTAATAATCTTTCAGGAAAATCATTCTGGTATTGTTATATTTATAACATCTGAAGTAATATGGAAAGGTAGTTGCCTCCATTAATATATGCTGGTTGTAAGCCCTTGTGTGTGTATTTGCTGCAGATAGAAGCAGCATGAAGAAAAGAGAATGTAAATGCAGCTGCACAGCAGAAAACATCTTGAATTGCTTATCTTCTTGTCTGACAACTGACCTTTATATAGGACTTATAAACATAATGTATAATAATTATTATTTTATTATTTGTACCCCGTCCATCTGACTGGGTTGCTCCAGCCGCTCTGGGAGGTATAGGATTTACAAGAGAACTTCCGGGTCAGTGCCATCGGCAATGGCAGAGTTCCTCTGACCGGGAGGAACCCGTTCCATGAAAATCGGGTCTTGCTGCCGCGGCGAAGGCAGAGACCCTCTAAAAATCCCAGGCGGAGGAAGCCTGGGAACGTGGGATTCGGCTGACACCGGGAGTGCCTCCCCTACTTGCAGGGAAACCCTTTTTCGGGGATCCGAAGCGACGTGGGGTGAGTGGCGCGGTGTTTTGAATCAACCGCTACTTTTACAGAGTGAAGCCGCACAGCCGTTGCTGGAGAGCGCTGACTTTTTCCTGTGGACAATTGGACTCTAAACAAGTACCCGTGAGTAGAACGGAAAATTGGATTAAGAAACATTTTAATTTGGCACTGAAGCGGGAAGGTTCTAAACAAGAAGTCCTCCTCCTGTTTTTTGTAAATAGATTGAAGCAAAAACTTTGTAAGCTAAAGTCTGGAAAGTCGTATATAAAGGTCTAAATTTCCTTCAGATATTACCACCAAAACCCCTCTTGGAAGCAGGAGAAAAGGGGGGATTTTTGACTGTTTAAGCCTGCAGGAGAGAGAGTAAAGAAAGATAAATTTCCACCGTCTCAAACCTGGGAATGGGGTGTCAGAGACAGAAATTTATGGGGAAGTTCATCGACTGTGAATGGAACGTCTTTTGACAGATAGTAAAAAAAAGAGAAACAAATTGACTCCAATGTTGCTTCTTGCATTTAAAAGAAACAAAGTATTTGAAAAATGAAAGTAATTTTTTTTTTGTTGATCCTGCTTTCAAAAGATGGATACAAGTAGAAATTGTCTCCTCTAGAGGGAGCTTGTTAATTTGTTGCCGGAGTCGATCTGGGGATTTCACAGCTGTAAGATTAGGATCGTGAGACCAGACTCTGACCTTGAATAAAAATGTGTTTACAAGAAGTTTTGGTGCTTGCTTTTTGCAAGACAAGCTTCTTGCTGGAGCAGATGCATGAGAAGATGGATTTGATGACTGTTGCAGTTAAAAACTTTGGACAAACGGCGAATACCCATATAGAAACCATTCAGGAACCAGCCCAGGAACTTGTTTTGACAGGGCAAGCGCAAGTGCAGAAGATAATGGAGGAGGTTGCTGCTGAACCTCAAGTAACACAAATGGAGATATCCGAGGCCTTGCAGGAGCATAAGCCGCTGTTCTTGAAGTTTGATTCTGGAGTGGACCAGGGGGGGCCTGGAGTTGTGAGGGCTCTTAATTTTGGAAGGACCTTGAAACATGCTTTTAAATACTTTCTGGATTACAGTGTTGACTGTGGGGAATGGGACTGTGGGGAATGGGCTGATCTGCTGAGGAGAGATGGAGATATTTTTGGATTGGAGTCCCCCCGAGACCTACCCCCCAATGAGAAAGGAAAGAAATTAAGAAAAAGATCAACAAAAGACAAAGTAAAGTGCAGGTATAAACAAGAAGAAGATCTGCAGAAGGGACATGGAAATGACTTAAGAGCCTCGGACATAAGATCACCAGGTTGATGGACTAGATGGAATGGACAAGAAGGACTGACAAAACCCGAGACCAGGAAGAAGAGACGTTGGATGAAGATTGGAAGAAATTTTTAAAAAAATTATTTTGAGAATTAGTGTAAAATTAATGAGTATTAGGAAAAATGTTGGAATGAAACTATTTGGCCTTAGTAGAAATGATATAAGGAGTTATGTACATTATGTACTTAGTAGAAATGATATAAGGAGTTATGTACATTAAGTTTTAAGGTTTTTTTATGGTAAGATAAGGTTAAATAAATTAAGGTAAATTGAATGACAGAATATAGTGAAAGATGGAAAGGATTTGCTGAGTTAATTAAAAGGTTAGATCGTTAAGATAAATTACATAATAAAAATTGAGAAAGATGGAAAGAATCTGCTGAAACAATTAATTAAATTAAATTAGAATACAAAAAGGGAGGTGTGAGGAGGTCGATGAAACAAGTAAATGAAAGATAAAGATATGGAACATTGGATGTGTGTTTTAATGTTATTGTGTGTTTTTTTGCTGTATTGTTGTATTGTTTTTTATGCTTTTCTTTTTATCTTTGTCAATTTTTTGTTGTTTTCTTTTTCTCTTTTTTTCTGTAATTCTTAAACTTTTAATAAATATCATTAAAAAAAAAAAAAGGATTTACAAGAGATAAGACCTATGCATTGGAGAATTAAGTTACTGCATGAGGAACCTTTTTCTTTTCACAGATGAGAGTGAAGGCAAAGGTTCTTCTTCTTCTTCTTCTTCTTTTGTTTAATCACATGCATGCCACCCTAGCAGGATTCTGTACAGGAGTTGGTACTTCTGAGAATGCTCATGAAAGGTATTACTGTGCTTTAAATGATATTATTTAATGGATATTATTTCTGAATCGGCAATTCCTCTGAGGGTGTGTGTATGAGAAACAGAAAAGGATTTTCTCTCTGGGAGATAAACAAGAAATGCAGAGTGGTTGAGTTGCCTTTGGCTGGAGGGACTCTTTTGGCAAAACCTTTTGGGTTATTATGGATGTTTATACATTATCAATTGGTTATATCCAAAGCTGTTTGGGGGAAGTTATGCTCAATAAAATGAGTTAATAAAAGCCCTGCACTTTCTAACTACACACCTTTGAATACAAACCTTTGATGTGAATACACTAATGTTAACTGCATATACTCACCATTTTGCTGTTCAAGCCAATCCACATGGGCTGCCTATATTTTAACACCTGTAGCCACAGGAATGACTGAATGTAGGGATTCCAAATGCTGGCAAGCTCTGCCTGTTCAGAATTGCATTTTTTCCTGGCCTCTTCCCATGTCATTTTGGGGCCAGCAAGAGAGTAACTGCTGTTTCCAAAGAGGGTATAGCCAGAGACTGGAATCGTCATTTCAGAGCGTGATAATGCAAGGTCTATAGGAAAGCAATAAAGAGAAAAGGCAAAAGCTCATTTTACACATTACACTATCCTTAAATTTCATTTCACCTGACACCGAAACAGTTCTGTTTTAAACTGAGGTTGGAAGGCCACCTGTCAGGGATTCTTTAGTTGTGATTCCCGCATTGAAGAGGGTTGGACTTGATGGCTCTACCATTCTATGCTTCTGTTAAATTTCTGAATACAATCATCCTGCAACATCTTATACAAAGCTGAAATGAAACATTTAGAAACCTTGTTGTGTACTTTTAAATGTGGACAAGTCCAAGTTTTAATTAAAGACAGATCTGGATCAGACCACAGAATACATTTTCTTTACAATCAAATTCCTAATAAGTATTCACAGACCTATTTGAAACCCATCTTCATTGTTTCCAAAGACTATGCAGTTTTTCAAGGTGGGTTTAATAAACACCCTCCAAGGAGTGTGGCTGTACAAATGGGGTTTGGGTCTTTTTTAAAAAAATTTAAAAAATTGAACAGGTCAGTGGAGAAGCCTGTGATTTGATCAACTGAACTGGGCTCCATATTATTACACTAGAAGAGAACTAAACCTATGTCAGCAGCCTCATACTGTCCTATTTTTAGCATGAGCTGTAGAAAAATCAAGTTGCATATTGGTAGGCACATATAGTAACTATGCTTCTTTGGCATCACGGTTCACTTCAGTGCATGTATAAAATTATGCTGTCATGACTGCTGCTTTCTTTGCTGTATAATAGGGAGTATGGAATCTCTACTACATTGCTGACAATCCAGTTTTCTTTCTGGCCAAAATGAAATGGCACAGAAAACAGGTTGGGACTCATTAAGATGGATTTAGCAATGTTCTCTGTTACTTCTCTTCTAAACACGTACCAGTGTTTCTTTGGCAGATGTAGCTTTTCTTTGAATAACAATTTCCACTTCTCCAATTTCCTGCCTCTCTTTCAGGTTTCTTCGTTATAAAAACGCAGACGGTTTTCTAAGGAACGAAAATGTAAGAAAGTAACAAGTCAAACAAGAGCCACCTTACTCTTTGCCTTTGCACACCTGATGTCTGCCTCTCTTCCCTACTTAATGCTCCACCCACTGATAACCATGGATTACTCTGGACCACCCAACCAGGTGTAACCCACAGTGATCCAGAGCTATATCAGCCTTACTCAACTGATGCCTGGATCTCCCCAAATCAGCCTGTTTTGGTTTGAAACACACCCACCCCAATTTTTTGTGATTTTCACCATTCAAATTATTTTACATTCATTATAACCATACATTAAAGAATTAAACATTGACTTCCCTTCCACCTTTCCACAGCTTCCTCCAACCATCCATTGCAGCTGCACATTCTAGTCATTCCTTATTTTTTCTTTCTCATTTTATCTCAACATAACTTATACTGCTGAATTTAAACCTACTAATGTTCTAATCTGTTTGCAATGATTCCTCATGTACTCTAGAAACATTTTCCAACCCTCCTTAAATATGCTTTCCTCTTGTCTCTAATTCTGCTGGTTAAACTAGCCAGTTCTGCATATTCTGTCATCCTCAACTGCCATTCCTCCCTCATTGGGACTGCTCTCTCCCCCTCCATTTTTGAGCATATAAAATCCGAGCTGCAGTTGTTGCATAGAAAAATACTCTTTTTTGGGGGGGGGGGTCCTTGGGGATGTCTGACTATTATTCCAAGAAGAAATGCCTCTGGTCTTTGTTTTGGTCTGAAACTTGGTCAAATTTGTTATACAGCCCTTGTATCGCAAGGCCCTTTCCACCTGGCCTAGGAGGCAGGGCCCAGACTCACCCAGCCCTACTATGTTAAATACCGTATGCATTCTGTAGTTGACCTCCTTTGCAATGTTTTATTTTGAAATCTTTAAGATATTTTAGTTTTCTGTTACGTTGCTTTGACTGTATACTCTATATTTGACTTTCTTCAGATTGTTTTATTTATGCTTTATTGATTTAATATGCTGTAAACCCCTTTGAGGTTTTTCTTAAAAATATAAAGCGGTATAGAAATAAAATAAATAAAAATAAAATAAATACTACAGAGGACATTTCCTGTTTTAAGGGGCAGGAGGCGGAGAGTAACATTGATTACATTTTGATTGGGATTTCTTGGACCCATTGAAGCCGTTGTCTAATCTGTTGCAGTCATTTTGAATCCCAATTCTTCTATAGCAACAGTTTTCAACCTTTTTGAGTCCATGGCTCCCTTGACCAACCACATTCATTCTGTGGCTCCCCTATGGAAGCCACTTACACCGGGGTTCTGTTATAGGACGCACGTAATTGGGGATTTCTGCGTTCTGCCCCTTTTCGACACCAGTTTTACTTGCAATTTTGCAATCTGCTGGGAGGGATTAGATATCCACTATGACAGTAGCTTCATGGATCCAAAAGAAAGAGATGAAAGCCCACACAGGCAGTACTTACATCATAATTCCCAAGTGGGAAGCCTTTGGCCCAGTTTGTATAATAGACAACACTTCTATCTTTCCATACAAATGTGCCTCGACTAAAAGTATTACTCAGTCCAATCCAAGGATCAGTGGAAGCACTTTGTAAATGCAGTGTCAGGAATGCTGAATGAAAATAAAGACACATATTTACATGACAGATTTGTTAAACTAATGCCCTTTATCTAATAAATGGTTAGTATCACTAGATACTAGTCATGGCTAGAATCACATTCCAGTAATTCCTCTGACAGGAAGATACCTTGAGTAGGAGTGCCAGGACTTTTCAAATATGAGGCCACTTCCTATAAAATATTTGCACACATCTGCAGTCACGCTCATAACTGGCTGGGTGTAGTGGAGAATAGGGATTGGGGTGGGGGTTTGTGAAGCTATGAGGGGATGGGGAACATGGAGCTGGGGTGAGGTGGTTACATAAAGAAAGAAAAGTTGGCAATGGAATGGAAACTGGTGGGTAGGCAGAGTTGGCTACTAGGGGCAGCAGCCCCTAGAGTGTTTTAAAACAACTGACCGCACCTTGAACGACTTTGTTTGGAATACTAGCCAGGTTTCCTCCTAGATCTTCACAAGTAGCTTGTGCATCAGACCAGTTTTTTCTTTCTTCTTCATGAAGGCCAAATAGTTGGAAGCACTGTGAGGGAGAGGGTGTGATAGGAATTTTATGGTCTTAGATTTATGGTAATGTTCATAAGCGTACCAACCAAGCACGTACATAGATCAGCACAAGAAGACCAACCTGGAACCATTTTGATTCCTAAACCGACCAAATGTTTTCTCTGCAAGGTCAAAGGAAAATGGAAAAGCCTCCCCATTGTCTTTTCCTTCACAAATCCTGTCTTAAGGGTATGTCTTTGTTTGAATAGGGTGTGACCCTGTGACCTGGTCCAGGAACTAAGTATTTATCACTACAAAAGATTGGCCAGGCTACCCAGGCAATCCAATCAAGTAACCTGCCAGACAGGAGATAAACAACGACAGGAGAAAAACAACATTCAAATTTCTGTTTTAAGACCGCCTTTTCTGCCTTTTTCTGTGATGTAGGTATGATGTATCTGAGGGGTGGTCTTAGGTTACACCCCTTCTGTGATGTATGTATGATGTTTCTGGGGGTGGTCTTGATCTACAGGGTGGCAATTTCAAAAGTCTTTATAAGGCCTTCTGCGCCATTTTTCTGGGTTCCCTTTCTCCTGCGGGTGAGGGGAGCACCCTGTTGCAACAGATCAATAAAGATCAAGCTTACTAGCTGCTTTGCTTCTTAATATTCTCTGGTTGGCCTCTGTTATTTCTCTCCTACCAATAGGGAACCTATGTAACGACTCTATATGGGCTCTTGGATACCCCATAAGGGAAAAGGGCAATTTTTGTTTACAACAGGGGAAACTTCAAAATTCCATCACCCATGAATTGTTTAATGCAGTCAAGAGTCACGAAACGGTGCCGGGATAGCAGTAGCAGAAACTGATAGTTTAACTGGGTTTTAGAGTCATTGTAACCACCCCCACCCCCGATTCACGAACTGGAGGGGGAATCCCATGGGATCAGGGTTGGGGAGAAATCATGTACTCTAGAAAGGGCAGTTATCTCTGCTGATAGCTCTGCAAGTGCAGATATGCCATTGAGAGAGGGCCTACATCACATGATGCCATCAGACAAGGATGGAGGAAGGCAGAAATGAGGAACAAGGCTCTTCAAAGTGTTGGCTCTAGGAGGCCTGGAAAAACAGCATTTGGGCTCTGGGTTAGGGAGCAAAACAGTCTGTATTTTTTCAGATGGTCATTTAATAAATGCTAATTTAACTTTAAAGCACGAAAAAATGCTGAACACTTAGTTTGAAGCCACTTTCAATGCTCTTTTCTGTAGCTTGCATATATCTTGAGCTTTTAAAATGCCAATTCCCCTATTTGACAATTAGGTTTTGTTTTGTTTTAGTTTACATTATTTATCACTTTCACTGTTACTTCCTTTTTTGCAGCTCAACAGACCTTTTCAGTCTTCATAGCATGTACTGAAGGCTGAGGGAGGATGTGGAATCTATAGAATAGAACTATGGACATGGAGGGCAATCTGTGCATATTCAACTACTCTGGAAAAGTATTCATTGTCTGTACCATAGTATCTGAAAAAAGGCTGATATACTAATATATTTGCAAAAGCTGTATTAGTTACCTTGTTACCGAAGAAGTGCCAGCCTTGAGGACAGCCTCCAAGAGGTTCAGGCGTTGTCGGAGCAACAGTTGAAGGGGCAGAACTGTTATGCCTTTCGCAGATAAATCTATGCTCAATTTCACAATTGATGTCATTCCATAAGCCTGAACAGAGAAGTTGTTACGAGTCAACAGGTAAGCTCAAATCACTAGTACAGCCCATCAGGTACGTATTCCAAGTGATAGCTTAGCAACAAAAATAAAATGCAACAATAACAGCTGTACTGCAAGTATACTATGCTGTTTCATATAGGAGGTGATTTATAATGTAATATATATATATATGGAGTACTTCATATTAGAAATGACTTAATTAAAGCCTACAAGTTATTAAAACAACATATAAACAATAAGTCGGGGTAGTATTTCCTAAACTCTCTCTTGCTGTACTCCTTTGCTCAGAGAATGCTGAATTACAACCCAATCCTAACAATGTCTAGTCAGAAGTATTTGATTGGTATCTGTGATGGAAAGCTCAGGTATGATGATGGAAAGCTCACCACAGTTCAAGAAGGACATTGACAAACTGGAACGTGTCCAGAGGAGGGCAACCAAAATGGTCAAAGGCCTGGAAATGATGTCTTATGAGGAACGGCTAAGAGAGCTGGGCATGTTTAGCCTGGAGAAGAGGAGGTTAAGGGGTGATATGATAGCCATGTTCAAATATATAAAAGGATGTCACATAGAGGAGGGAGAAAGGTTGTTTTCTGCTGCTCCAGAGAAGCGGACACGGAGCAATGGATCCAAACTACAAGAAAGAAGATTCCACCTAAACATTAGGAAGAACTTCCTGACAGTAAGAGCTGTTCGACAGTGGAATTTGCTGCCAAGGAGTGTGGTGGAGTCTCCTTCTTTGGAGGTCTTTAAGCAGAGGCTTGACAACCATATGTCAGGAGTGCTCTGATGGTGTTTCCTGCTTGGCAGGGGGTTGGACTCGATGGCCCTTGTGGTCTCTTCCAACTCTATGATTCTATGATTCTAGGTAGGCCAGAGTGTGGTGATGCAGAGAGCTAAGTTGCAGCCTTACTCTGACTGGCTGCGGGTGCAGCTAGCCAGAGCAGGGCGGGCTCACCACTTTGGGAGGGAAAAAGGAAAAGCAGTTGAGAGTTGAGTTCCTAGCATTCATCTGGATACTATAAATAGCCTCTGAGCAGGGTGTATTCCGCCCTGAGGAAAATATCCACAGCCAGAGAAAGAAGTCTCTGAGCTTAGATTGAAAGCTAGTGATGAGTGTCCTTCAAGAGTAGAAGAACCAGGGACTTCCGGGGAGGTGCATCCGGTAATGGCGGAATTCCTCTGACCGGGAGGAATTTGCTCCGTGGGAATCTGGGTCTGGCCGCCGCGGTGAAGGCGGAGACCCGTTAAAATCACAGGCGGGAGAAGCCTGTGAGCGTGGCATTCGGCGGGCACCTTTTGCGCCTTTCCCACTCGCGGGGAACTCCGGTTTTTGGGGCTCCGGAGCGACGTGGGGTGAGCAGCGCGGTGCATCAAATCGTCTGCTTCTTCCACGGAGCGAAGCCGCATAGCTGTTGCCGGAGAGCGCTGATCTTTTCCTGTGGACAATTTGACTTTAAAGTAATTACCCGTGAGTAGAGTTGAAGCGGAAGAATTGGATTTCTAAATGTTTAATTTGGTACCGACCGTAACGGGGAGGTTCAAAACAGGAAGTCCGCCTTCCCCTTTTGTAAATAGACCGAGGCAATGAAGTTGCAAGCTGGAGTCCTGGAAAGCCTTTTGTAAGAGATTAAATTTCCATCGGTAAAGAACATTTAACCCCCCCCCCCTTGGAGGCAGGAGAAGAGGGGGGGAAGTTGTGGACTGAGTATGCCTGCAGGAGAGAGTGAAGAGAGCTAGAATACCGCCGCTCTGACCCTGGAAACGGGCTGCTAGCAGGACTGACGTCTTTTGGAATGTTCATTGACAGCGTTTAGAACGTTTATTGACAGCTAGTTAGAGAAATACATTGTTTCTACTGTCTCTGGCTGCTTTAAAAAGGAGTAAAAGTATCTGAAAATTGAAACTAATTTGAAACTAAATTTGGATTGTTTAAAAGAGGATACTATTGACTGTTACAAATAGAAATTGTTTCCCCCTAGTGGAAGCCTTTGAAACCGGTTGCTTTACAAGAGCTGGGCTAGGGGAATTTCCAGCTGTAAGTTAAAAACCGTGAGACTCTGGGACTGACCTTGAATCTTTTAAGTGTTATGGTAAATGGAAGAGGAAAAACAGACCAGTCAACTGCTGACAAAACATTAAGGTCTGGGAGGACTTGGCAACAATCCAGAAGAGGTCCATCATCAGGCCCTCCTGCTCCTTCTGTTGCTGCCTTTGTACCAGTATATTTAAAACCAAGAGAAATGTCGACAGAAGAGGCTTTAGTGGCTGCACTATATAAGATAAATGACTCACTGGATCAGCTTAACAGGAAAATGGACACGATAAATGCGAAAGTGGATGTTTCAACTACTAAAATTAACTTAAATACAGAAAGTATAAATAATACCAATATAGAAACCACCCAGAAATTGATACAGGAACCTACTTTGATACGGCAAACTGTGGAGGAAGCCAGGGAAAAAGCTGTTGTTGCTGAATGTAAAGTAACACAACTGGAGAGAAAGAGAAAGAGAGCCCCAGCCCTACAGAGGCAATTTGATGAACATAAGTTGACGCTTGCTATGACTGAATTGAAAGAAAAACAGACGAATTTGAGGATTAGAGTTCACCTTTGGTGGACATGCCCAAGGATTAAGACACTTTGGGAGATGATTTATAACGAAATGAAAAAGGTATTTAAATATACCCTTTTGAAGAAACCAGAGGCCTTTCTCCTGGGCATGGTCGGCCAATTGGTGTTAAAGAAGGATAGAACTTTTTTTATGTATGCAACAATAGCAGCAAGAATACTCATTGTGAAGTACTGGACGACACAAGATTTATCTATTCGGGAAGAATGGCAGATGAAGTTGATGGACTATATGGAATTGGCGGAAACGACTGGCAGAAATCCGAGACCAGGGAGAAGAGTTGGTGGAAGAAGATTGGAAAAAGTTTAAGACTATTTATAGAAATATTGTAAAAATAATGAATGCTAGAAAAATGTTGGAATGAAGTTATATGGCTTTAGTAGAAATGTTATAAGGAATCAAGTATAAATAGATTAATAGAGTATTAAAGGGAAAAATAAGGTTAGAATATGTTAAGATAATTATAGGATAGAAAACAGAGGAAGATGGAAAGGAATTGCTGAAACAATTAACAGAAGTGGAATACAAAAAGGGAGGTGTGAGGAGGTCGTGGAAATAAGGGAATAAAAGATAAGATATTGAAATTGTTTTGTGTTTTAAATGGTTTGTGTCTTGTTTTGTTATGTTTTGTTTTGTTTTGTTGTGTTGTGTTTAGACGGTTGGAAAATTAATAAATATTTTTTTAAAAAACAACAACAAGAGTATAAGAACCAGGTAGCTGATTTCGAGGCAGGAGAAGTGGAGTTGCAAGGGAACACTCTACGTGGGTCTCAGTTCAGTAGGAAGGGAATAAAACTTCCAGTGAGAGAAGTATAATCCCCAAAAAGATAGGTTGGGTGGGGTGATCCCCTGGTCTGGTATACTAATAGAGGAGCCTCAGTAACTTGATTTACAGAAGGTTGGGAAACTGACAGAAAGTACCAACTTGTTTCAGACAGGGGCGTAGCTTGGTGGGCAGGAGGACCATAGGCCTGGGCCCACAAATTTGGGCAGGGGAGACACGAACCAAGTGCCCTACACAGGGACTCCCACCCTGCCCTGCCTGCTGCCGAATCCCTCACTGAATAGCCACGTGGCCAACACGGGGGGGGGGTGCCTGACAAGTGGCCACCTGGGCTCCCCCCTACACAGGGAGGCAGGCAGCACAGCGCAGTCCTGTGACCCCTCCGTGACATCTATTATTATTATTATTATTATTATTATTATTATTATTGTCAGGGGTTCAGGGAGAGAGGCACAGGGTAGGCAGGAGATGGAGAGCGATGGGGATGAATTCCAAGCCAGCGAGGAAGAGGATGACAATGACTCAAGAGATTCCATGAGTCTTTCCAGCGAATCAGAGGATTCCCAGAAGGGCGCCGGTGGTCAAGGCCAGGGAGCCCCAGGGGGGACGTGTCAGGAGCAGGGGGCCAGCGGAGGATCCCAAAGTGGCAGCTGGGCGTCAGGACCAGCCTCCCCACCAGAGTGCAGCGAAGGGGGTGGAGTTTCCAGTGTGTCAGAGGAAGCAGCTCCGGCAGCAGAGAAAGGAGGGAGGTCAGAGCAAGCCGCCCTCCCGGAAGGGAAGGGGAGCAGTGAAGGGAGTAGTGTAACTGTCAAAAGGAAAGTTAGAGGTTTGGCGCACGCGCCTAGTTCAAATGTAGAGCGCGCGGAAGTACAGGGAGCCCGGAGGAGGGGCCAGGTCCCAAAGCCCGCAGGAGGGGGAAGAGCAGTCTGATTCCGCGTCAGAGGAATCCAGGAGGGGCGAAACCCCAGCGGGCAGAAGGACCCTGCGGAAAAGGAAGGAGAGAAAGAGGTGGAGCAGCGCAAGCCTCTTAAATTGGTGCAGGGGAGGGACGGATTCAGAGGGGACTACAGCGGTCTAAGCGTAAGAGACGTAAGGCTGCGCGCCTAGGATGTCAAGCAAACAATGAACTGCAATAAACACTTTTGTATATAAGAAGACATAGGCGTTGGTCTTTTGTGAGCTGAGACTTGAGGCAGCCTTGACAATTATTATTATTATTATTATTATGTTTGTTGAAAGAACTCTATCTCCTGTCAAAATCTTTTGTTTTACCCGTTTTGTTGTAAAATAAAATCCTTCTCCTGTTTAACTTCCCTATGTCTCCAAGTACCAGAGTTTTCTTTTGTATAATAGCAAAAATAGCTAGTAGTAGTAAGAGGCCCCATGCCTCAGTATCCTTTAAAACACTTTAATACCCTGTCCTATCCAAAGGAAGACAGTTATTGAGGTTTAACATAATGGATTATTCTCGGTTTAATGTTTTAATTTTGGGTGGAATAGTGATTGTGGTTCAGTGTGTGGTGCCTATTCATATTAATCCTCACCATTAAGCATGCACATTCTCAATAACTGCTTATAATAGTAACATTTTATTCTAATTACCTGTTTCACGATATATGACCACACAAAATTCGACTTCGTCTGCAAAGTTGGGTTCCCGGGGTGCCCAGGCTACATAGGTCACTGGAGTTCTATCCACCCAGCTATAGAAAATGACATGCGGTATTTAGTCCTTCATTTGCACTTCCTAAGTTTACGATGACTTTTGTTTTGTTTTTAACAAAGAGAATGTCAGGCTAAGAAAAGAAATATTTAGGCGTTGAATTTCCAAGCCTGCGACTTGGCTCTTCAAGAAAAGCTGCCAGCACTAAGAATGCTGAGCAGGATTAATGGATATAAAGGCAATTAAAAAAAAACATTACATTGAAAAACCTTCCTATGGTGAGGGATGGGGTCTGAATGTGGGTCAGTGTGATAGGAAGACCAGCTGAAAAGTACTCTCACCCTCTTCTTGTAGTGTCATGAAAAGCTGAACGTCATTGCTGAACCACATTCAGAGTGTGGTTGGAGCAGAGGGCAACAGAAACTAGGGGTGCACGACATCCAAGCTATGTACAAGAACAGGAGGATTCAGGAAGAGAGGAGAGTGGTGCCCTCTTTCTCAGAGGAGAAAGAAAGTACAGGGAGAAAGGAGTGTGACAGCCTTGGAGGAAATATAACATTGTATGATTGTAATTAAGAGGTTGGCACCGTCAGCCCTAATGCAAATAGGAGAGGCAAAGGAGTGCACACTGGTGACTGGGAGTGGCCACCAAGACCATATAATGAAAGATCTTCATTGGCTCCCAGTATGTTTCCGAGCACAATTCAAAGTGTTGGTGCTGACCTTTAAAGCCCTAAACGACCTCGGTCCTGTATACCTGAAGGAGCGTCTCCATCCCCATCATCCAGCCCAGACATTGAGATCCAGCACCGAGGGTCTTTTGGCAGTTCCCTTGCTGCGAGAAGTGAGGTTACAGGGAACCAGGCAGAAGGCCTTCTTGGTAGTGGCGCCTGCCCTGTGGAACGCCCTCCCAGCCGATGTCAAGGCAATAAACAACTATTTTACTTTTAAAAGACACCTGAAGGCGGCCCTGTTTAGGGAAGTTTTTTATGTCTGAGGCTGTATTGGTTTTGATATTTGGTTGGAAGCCACCCAGAGTGGCTGGGGAGAACCAGTTAGATGGGCAGGATATAAATAAGTATTATTAATTATTATTATTATATTATTATATAATTTATTATTATAAATTATTATAATAAAAGGGATAACTCTTAGGGCTTGTCTACACTTACCTTTTGCCCTGCTCTTTCCAGGTAGGTAAAGGTAAAGGACCCCTGACAATTAAGTCCAGTCACAAATGACTCTGGGGTTCCGGCGCTCATCTCGCTTTAAAGACTGAGGGAGCCAGGGTTTGTCCACTTCCACAGACAGTTTTTCCAGGTCATGTGGCCAGCATGACTAAGCCACTTCTGGCGAAACCAGAGCAGTACACGGAAATGCCGTTTACCTTCCCGCCAGAGCGGTACCTGTTTATCTACTTGCACTGCGTGCTTCTGCACTTTAAAGCTCTGTGTCCTAGCATTGTTGTTTTCCTTGCCCAGAGATATCCCCATGAAGACCTCCTCTTTAGTGCTCAATTGGAGCAAACAGACATTCAGAGGGGAGGGGGGTTTCCAGAGTTTGATTCAGCAGTAAAGAGTGGGTTTTCATGGCAAAAGCACTGGGAAGGGGGTGCTCAGACATGGACACAGAACTTTAAAGCATAGATCATGCCTGGAAAGCAGAGTGCAAAGGTAAGTGTGGGTAAATCCATACAATCCCAGTGGCAAGTCAGAGAGGGACGGGAATGGATAGAGGGAAATAAATCCCCACCCCACCCCGACCATGAAATTATTTCATTTCCATTGGAAACATAGATTTCTCCACAGTTTGGGGGTATGTGTGGGTGCTGGATCCTTTGGAGCCAGGCTTCCCCCCCTAGCCTGTTTCTGGCACACTCGCTTTCCAGCTTTACTGACATTGAGCTTTCATAGCAATGGGACAAGACAGGGACAAAGTAGTTGAATGGAATCTCTCTCTCCAAGATCAGACCTCCCTCTGCACTCCCAGAGCAAGAAATGCAAGCTTCCTATGGCCTCTGTAGCACCATCGCAGAGACCGTAGGCCTGTAGTGTCAATCAGTGTATCTGCTCAAAACAGTCAAAATGTTGGCAGAACATCCTTATATCCAGATTATTTTAATGCCAATCTAGCTATTATCTAAGAGAAACTTAATACATAATTACCATTTTAAAATCTGATTTCCATTTTTTATTTTTCTGTTCGCTTACCCAAAACTTCTATCCGGACCCAGAATTAAACCAATGAAAAGGTTTCCTTCAGTTCTGAAAGTAATGTCCTACAACATACACGGGGGAAGATGGGGAAGAAACACAATAAAGTACTGGTGTTCTCCAGTTGAAAATATGTCAGTTATTCCACATGAAGTTCAGAGTTTACAAATCAGGCCATATGGAAAGAAGCTAGTAATGATAAACAAGAGTAACAGCGATTGTGCTCTTCAACTGAGTTTAAAAGCAGGGCATGAAACTCATTTCTTTTCCTCAACAACTGGAATCCAGACTAAGTTAGAGAGCAATCCTGGCTCCTCTCTCAATTCATACCTGGACAGTGTGTGTGTGTGTGTGTGTGTGTGTGTGTTAGGGTGGCATATGGTCACCTCAATGCTTGCCCAGAGAGGAATGCTGCTGGCTGAGATGTCTCTGCTGTGGCAGAGATCCCAGCTTTGCCCAGCACAGTGGGAAGATACCATTGGTAGTCGTCGTTGTCCCGTCCCCCGTCCCCACACTAGCAGTAGTCAGCAGAATCTGCTGATTCCAAAGTCCCGTGAATTTCCCAAGTGCCCTGATTGTTAAGTATAAGTGTTTAAGTGTACATTGAAATGGAAAATAACTGTGTTCTCTGTATGCATTCTGCTGAAAGCGTAGCATGGAAACTTCCACTGAAGCTTAATGCTAGAGCAGAGTGCCTGACAGTTGATAATTTACTTAGAATGTATCTCTGCTGACTCTCACATGAAAAAGGTATTCAGTTACAAATCTCCATTTTGTGTGTGGGTCGGTCTTTGCTCTCTCTTTCTCAAGCACCAGAGAAGAAAGGATGGGCAAATGATTCTCTCTAGGGGCAGAGCCTCAGGCTGCAATGGAGGCTATGGGAGAAACAGAGCTTTGATTTCAGTGCTGAGTGAAGTGCTGAGGGACCCTCCAAGTGTCCCTATTTTCCAGGGATGTCCCTGATTTAGAGAAGCTGTCCTAGTTTCTGATTTGATCCCAGAATGTCCCACTTTTCCTTAGGCTGTCCCTATTTTCACTGGAGAAATGTTAGAGTGTAAGGATCCCCCCCCCCAGCTGTCTGAAGGCAATCCTGCGTGGGGAAGTTTTATAAATGTTTAATGTTTTATTATGTTTTTATATATGTTGGAAGCTGCACAGAGTGTAAGATGTGTGCAGTATAACTCGCATAGGATTGCACTGTTAATCTCTGCAAGCTTCTGGTGACACCATCCTGAAGAAAGGGTTTAGCAGGCAACAAAATGGTCACGATCAAACAATTCATCTGGCTTTTTTAAAAAACAAAAACAAAAAACCCCAAAAGCCTAGTGATATGTGATCAGAAGGGGAAATATATCTCATATATTTCTTACATATTTCCACAAAAACTTGTTTTCACTTCTACTTTCAATAACAGCAAGATCTCCAGCGTCCTTTTTGCAGAATCTCCGGGCTCTTCCTGCAGTTAAAGTTGTGTTACTGAAATAGTACTCAGTGCCATTGAATGCAATCCAGCCGTCTTCAGTTACTTGAAATGGATATGCTGCAAAAGAAGAAGAAATGTTTTTCCCCCATTTAATTTAAGATAATTTAAATATTATAAAATGAAATACAAGAGTACAAATAAATTTACTTCGCACAACCAGTGGTGAAGCCAAGCAATTTTAATAGTCCTAACTGGGGTGACCCCAACAGTGATGTGTGTTATTTCAGCTTTGAAGCACACCGTGAACATGTCCACCCTCCTGCCCCCAGAACTGCATGCTTTAACACTGCTACATTAGAGTAAACCAACAACAAAACAGCTGTGTGGCCGTAATAATATATACTTAAAATGAAAGAGCACCTTAGAGGCATGAACAACAGATTCTGAAGAAAAACCTGACTAGTTCAATCGTGGTGATCATGGCATGGATTGGGGTGGGCGCTGAAATGAAAGTATGTAAGATTGAAGAAAAAGCACTCTGTGCGTGCTTAAAGGTACTAGCTTATGTCTCCACATATTGTGGCTAGTCAGCCACCCATATTTGTTTTTGGGCAAGGTGCGTGAAACGTTGGTCATGGTTCAGATGCTCTTGAGGAGAACTGATGGTTTTGACCTATTTCAGTCTGGGCTAAGCACCAGATTAGCCTTCATCCCTGGTGGATGATATTGTTTGTGTCCGAGAGGGAGAGTAGGAATGGAACCATTCTTCTTCAACAGAAATCAGTGAAATTTACTTCCAAGTAGACGTGCAGAGGATTTGGGCTAGATGATTCCCAGGATCTCTTTCCAACTCTACAATTCTATGATTCTATGAGATAATTTCTCTCTTAACTCTCAATCACACTCAATAGTTGCCTAGTGCAACTAAACTTCAGACAGTCAGGTTTTTCTGAAGATCCCAGCAGGAGAACCACTCCCAAGGCTCACTAATATGAGAATATGATAATGAGCAGCCAAGAATACCTGAAACTTAGGAACATAGGGAACTGCCTAAGCCAGACCACTGCTCCATCTAGTTGAGTATACTGTCAACACTGCCGGGTAGTGGTCTCCAAGGTTTCAGTCAGGGATCTCTCCCAGTCCTTCCTGGACATATGGTGGACCTAGGACCTCCTTCATGCAAAGCAGATGTTCTACCACTGAGCTACAGTCCTTTTGCATTTTTGTGTAACTCATTTCAGAGGAGTGAGGAAGCCCAGACCAGGGAGATCTACCATTGGCTCCTCAGCCTCAGCCCAGTATACCTGAAGAAGTTTCTCAGCCCGGACACTGAGGTCCACCTCCGATGGACTTCTTGCGGTTCCCTCACTGTGAGAAGTGAAGCTATAGGGAAACAGTCAGAGGGCCTTCTTGGTAGTGGCGCCCTCCCTGTGGAATGCCCTCCCATCAGATGTCAAGGAAATAAACAACTAGGTGAGTTTTAGAAGATATCTGAAGGCAGCCCTGTTTAGGGAAGTTTTTAATGTTTGATGTTTTATCACTTTATTATTATTATTATTATTATTATTATTATTATTATTATTATTATGTTGGTAGCCACCCAGAGTGGCTGGGGAAACCCAGACAGATGGACGGGGCATAAATAAATTGTTGTTGTTGTTGTTGTTGTTGTTGTTGTTGTCGTATTCATCATCAGAAAACTTTCAATGGCTGTAGAGAACTGCTAGAGCAGTTCCTCCCCAACATTCCTTAGGGCTACTTAAAATCTGCTTGTTCTGAGGGAAGGCAGGAATTGGAGTGCCCAGGGTCAGGAAGCACAAGTATCTTTGGCTCCTGACAGAAGCATCCTTGACTTGAGAGACCCACTCCCACCTTCCATGATGCTGCTTAAGGAAGACCCGTGTGACGTGAGAGAAGACAGTATGAGCCAACATACCAAAATCATTGCTTGGTTCCGGTTTTAATGGTACACCTGAAAAACGAAACAGGAGTCCATGACAATGAAAGTAAAGGGTTATTTCTAGCATTTCACATTTCTACATTTCTGAGACACAGCTAATAACCCTATGTGAAAGAACTATCAGTAGCTTCCTGTATTCACAACGAGCTTGTTCTCATCAAAATGTCAGCCAAAGCTCTGGACTCTGCAACATTCATAATGAAAGCTAAATTAATTTCACATTATTTTTTCCCTCATCACAAAAGGCCAGGTGAGTAGCAAGCATGTTTTTTTAAAAAAAAAATCCAGTTTCAGCAGTGCAGAAAAAAGTCCTCTTCACTTTGCTTCACGAACTTGTAATTTAAAAGTGAACTTACCAATTCCAATTCAAACCTTGATTTTGTATATCCAAATCCATTTTTGTTTTTATCTTCTTTAAAAATTTCATTGACTTGACAATAATGCAACCAATCATTCGCCATACATTTTACATCTTCATGTGGCTTTAGCTTCCATTGGTTCTCCATCTCTATTACTAATTGTTCATAGGTGGACCAATTTTACACATATATGTCTTTTTTACACTCATTGCCTCAAGCGGCGAGAGCCACCATGGTTCTAATATTTTTTTATATCCATCCCACACCTCATACAATGACTTTTGAAATATGTGGTTTCCAAATCCTTTATGAACTTTTATTTTGCCATACCATAGATATGCATGCCATCTGAATCTGTTGTCAAATCCTTCTAGATCTAAAATATCTGTATTCTCCAACAATATCCCGTCCCTTAACCAACAAAGGCATGATGCTTCATAATACAATTTCAAATCTGGTAGGGAGAAGCTCCCTCTTTCTTTTATATCTGTTAACCATTTAAATTTAATTCTTGGCTTCTTCCCTTGTCAGATATATCTTGAAATTCCTTTTTGCCACTCTCTAAAGATACCAACTATGTTAATTATCTGGATTGATTGAAATAAAAACAACATTTTCAGTAGCACGCTCATTTTAATAACTGAAATCCTACCAATTAAGGATATTTTCATTCTTCCCCACACTTCTAAGTCCCTTTTAATATCATTCCATACTGGTGTGTAATTGTCTTTAAATAAATTTATATTTTTCGATGTTAACCAGATTTCTAGATATTTAACTTTTTTAACAACCTCTATTCCACTCTGATGCTGCAATGTATCAATCAAATTCATATTTTTCACTAACTTTTTTTTTCTTGTTTAATTTGAAACCTGCTACTTGTCTGAATTGTTCTATTCTTTCTAGTGCTTTTCTAGCACTAGTGAATGTTTCTTCCACTGTTATGACTAAGTCATCTGCAAAGGCCTTTAACGTAACCGCCGTTCAAAATCTTGCCTAATACCAAATTTCTTTTGATTTACCCATAATACTGATCTTTGACACCTATTGAGCCTATGGCTCAATGTTCTGCGCCACTAGTCTGTTACATTGTATATATAAACACTCTAATAGATTTATTTCTACCTTTTGAATGATATCATTGTTCTATTATTTATGATTTAACAGTTATTAGCCTACGTGTTGTGTCTATATTTCTGTGATTGGTTCTCATTGCAACACAGGGGTTTGTTTTTGTCAGCTAAAGAAGAGTGGCAAGAGAAATTGATGAAGTATGCTGTGATGGCAAGATTAACCGGGAAATTTTGGAACCAGCAGGACCAGATTTTCCTAAAGGAATGGAAGAAGTTTTCGACATATTTGGAAAGCAACTGTAACCAATTGACATCGCTTGTAGGGTTAAAATAAGTTTTGTAAGAGTAATATATAAGTTATCGTGAAAAGAATTAAGCATAGGTACTAAGATTTGAATTTATAACAATAACTCGAGTAACAAAATGCATAATTAGAAAAGATTTTAGAAAACGTCGGTCAAGGTTGAAGGAAGTCTTATGCTGTGATAGCCAAAGATTTTGAAATGATGTTTAAAAGGATGATATGCTGGAAAATATGTGTAAAAACCAATAAAACCTTATTTAAATAAATTAATAAATAAAAGTAATCTTACCTCTCTTTATTTGACAAACCCAGTTGTGATAATTCTCACACCATTCAGGTTTCCACCATGAATAAACTAGAATCACTCCTCTGCAATCGTTGTCTTTGTAAGAGTTAGGCGAAAAGTCTGCTCGAAAGTCAAGCTACAATAGGAATAAAGATTTCATTAGTGATTTACAGAAAAGGAGACAGAGAACTCAGCTACACTGGCAAAGACAAAGTGCTTTATATGCATTGTTTATGCATTCTCACGCTTTGACACCAGATGGTGATATGGAGTTCCATTTTTGCTAACCGGAATAATTAATAATAATAATAATATATTATTTATACCTCGCTGCGAGGGAACCGCCAGAAGGCCCTTGGAGCTGGACCTCAGTGTCTGGGCTGAATGATGAGGGTGGAGATGCTCCTTCAGAGGTCAGAGGGCCGAGGCCATTGAAGACTTTAAAGGTCAGCATCAACACTTTGAATTGTGCTTGGAAACATACTGGGAGCCAGTGTAGATCCTTTAGGACCGGTGTTATATGGTTTCGGCGGCCATTCCCAGTCAGAGGCGGAGGAAGAGGGGTGCGGTGGGGGCGGTCCGACCTGGGTGTCATCACTGAGGGGGGTGACATTTGGCGCGCCGCCCACCTGTGACTCCCAAGCCTGCCCCGAACCGTTGGGGAAAGGGGGGAGTTGCACTGCCTTGCCGGCGGCCTTCCCCCTTAGTTTTGACAGCTCAAGGGAGGCTTAGGTGTCGCAGGCAGGTGGTGTGCCGTTGCCACTGCTACCGGGCTGCTTCCTGGGAAGGGGAAACCCCCGAGCTGTCAAATTGAAGAGGAAATGGACGAAGGCTGCTGGCAAAGCATTGCAGCACCCCCCCCCCCAGGAAGCAGCCCGCCATGGGCAGCTCAATCCACCCCCCCCCTTGGACGCTCGCCTCGCCCCCATGGCCCCACCCCCGGGTGCACAGCAGTAGCTAGCTCATCTGCTCCTTAGTTGTAGTTTCCGGGTCACCTCCAAAGGTAGCCCCATGTAGAGCACATTGCAATAGTCCAAGCGGGAGATAACTAGAGCATGCACCACTCTGGCGAGACAGTCTTTCTCATACAAAGTTTGCAATGTGTTTAACTGAATGCTTTTTTTATGTGCCTAGATCCAGCCATAGTTTGGTTTGCACCACATGCAAACTGGGTTGTCAGTGTGTTTTTTCCTGTTATAACGTTCCTGCGCCAAATGTTCATTTTTATGTAGTGTTCCTTGTTGTTGTTGTTGTTGTTGTTGTTGTTGTTGTTGTTGTTGTTGTTTAGTCGTTTAGTCGTGTCCAACTCTTCATGAGCCCATGGATCAGAGCACGCCAGGCACTCCTGTCTTCCACTGCCTTCCGCAGTTTGGTCAAACTCATGCTGGTAGCTTCGAGAACACTGTCCAACCATCTCGTCCTCTGTCGTCCCCTTCTCCTTGTGCCCTCCATCTTTCCCAGCATCAGGGTCTTTTCCAGGGAGTCTTCTCTTCTCATGAGGTGGCCAAAGTATTAGAGTCTCAGCTTCAGGATCTGTCCTTCCAGTGAGAACTCAGGGCTGATTTCCTTCAGAATGGATAGGTTTGATCTTCTTGCAGTCCATGAGACTCTCAAGAGTCTCCTCCAGCACCATTCCTTACTTAATAATAAAACTTAAAAAAAATAAAATAAAACAAATCCAATGGGGCAAGCAGCAACTTGAAGCAACTCTGCAGGAACTGCTGTTAAATATTGGGTCCAAAAATGTTATAGCATACAAAGCATATGTTCAAAGACTTTAATGCTGGATATGTCACTGGCTAAACATTTAAAATACTGCTATGGGATCTGTCAGAGTTTAGTATGAGGACAGGAGTGCTTGAACCTTAAAACTAATAATAATTTTGGTATCAATACATCAGCATTAATCATTTACTTACAGGAGAGCCATCAGTCCAAGAAAATCCTTTATCGGGCTCCAACTCATTTAAACCAATCCAACAGAAGTGGTCACAAATTCTAAAATATATAAAAAATAATTATAGAGTGCAGAAAACTGGAAACAAAGAATGGATTTCAATACAGAGATTTGAAACTTTCAAAATAAGGACTATTGATACTCTCTAGGTAAAGGTATTAGGTCCAGTCATGGCCGACTCTGGGGTTGCGGCGCTCATCTCGCTTTACTGGCCGAGGGAGCTGGCATACAGCTTCCTGGTCATGTGGCCAGCATGACTAAGCCGCTTCTGGCGAACCAGAGCAGCGCACGGAAACGCCGTTTACCTTCTCGCCAGAGCGGTACCTATTTATCTACTCGCACTTTGACGTGCTTTCGAACTGCTAGAACAGCATAAATGCAACAGTCATCAGTTCATTTATTTAAAGAGTATCAGGTTTCTAGAACAGGTGTGCCATTCAGAGCAGGAACTCCCTGTGTGTTCATATCACATGTAGTCATTTCTTAGGCACACCCACATTTAATGCTGTGTCTGGATCTTTACAGCTGACAACTTTATAAACCCTGAGGCCCCTGTCCTTTTGGGCCCATGGGCACATTTAGGAATTTGATAAAAAAAAATATCACAAGCAACCCAACAAAATATCTGACTAATCGCAATGGACATCCCAGTCCTTTCTTCATTATATACAAAAACTGTTTGGTGTTTCTTGACTGCGCCTTATCCTTATACTGTTAGTCCTCAGTTAAAATAGGTACTGAGGCAGCACCACAGTCATTCTCTCCTCTGCCTTCTTTCTGCTATTATAGCACATGTGCCTATACGAATATCTGCAATATCTGTTACACTACTGAAAAAGAAAGGGGCAATTCACATTTCAGATTATGTGGTTCCTTCTCTGAATAGGATAATGATGAATTGAGTGGTTCTCCACAATGAGGCACAAATCTTTAAGGTGATTAAAGGTACTAAGGCTGAGTTGAAATGCTTGCCCTGTTCAATGTTTGCTGCACTGTACATTTTAAAAAAAACAAACCCCACAAACCCACAATTTTATGACCTAACAATTTAATGGTATAATAGCAGTGGTACACCTTCTAGGAGCTACTGGCTGGGAGCTGCCACTTCAAACTTCCCAGAGGCTCCCCCTTTCAAAGAACAGAGCTTGTTCTGTGAGGAGGTCTTCTAAGAAACAACATGGCAGCTTCTAGCCATTGGCCACTGGAAAGAGTGTAGAAGAAGTGGCAGAATGAAAGGGAAGCTAGGAGGTGCCAGTGTCAGCATCTGCTTTCAGGAAAACCTGGCAAGGTGAAGAGAGGGATGACACTGCTTTTGTGATCTCTGATTCTGCCTGTTTAGGATGTGGATTCACCCTTTGGAATAAAGAAGAAGAAGAAGAAGACTTTGGACTTGATATCCCGCCTTTCACTCCCCTTAAGGAGTCTCAAAGCGGCTAACAATCTCCTTTCCCTTCCTCCCCCACAACACTCTAGGGCTGAGAGACTTCAGATAAGTGTGACTAGCCCAAGGTCACCCAGCAGCTGCATGTGGAGGAGCGGAGACGCGAACCCGGTTCCCCAGATTACGAGACTACAGCTCTTAACCACTACACCACACTGGCTCTCTAAAGAGCATTTTGGAGGGATTCCTCTGGTGCTGTGTCGTTAGTTAGTGTGTGAATGAGAGACATGGAGGGGTTTAGAGTGTGAATTTTAAAAAAGATATGAGTTTTGCTCCAGCTACTGGTTTAGGGGTGTAAATACATAAAATTGGGAAGTTCACATTAAGATGCAAACAGAACAAATTTCTTCCCCATCCCTAACCAGCATTGCTTTTGATTCTGAGGCAACGTGAATAAACATTTTATGGAACTTCCAACCTTTTTAGCAGCTGATACTCTTCCTTATTGTGAGCAGACATGAGGTTCCCCCCAATTGTTCTACAAAAATCTTCTGCTTCAAACCAAGTTTTCTTGTCCCGAATGTCTTTGTTATAGCCCTAGATGCATATGAATACAATTAGATATTTGTCACAAACACCAGCATTTAGGAAGATTAATTGGGATTCACCTCACTGCTGCACACGGAGACACAGAGGCACAGCAAAGTCAGGTGGTACCCAGTGCATTTTTTTTTGTCACCTCACCACCACCCCATCGACAGCTCGGGGTAGGCTTGGGAGTCGCCGGTAGCCGGTGCACCGAATGTCAGCCTCCTCAGTGATGACACCCAGGGCGGCCCCCCCTTCCTATGCCTCTGCAGAGACAAGGAGTTGTTTTCGGATGTGGAGGAGTGTTTTGGAGAGAAGAACCACCATTGGGCCCAGACACTGCGCAATAGCCCATAATAAGGTTAGCCCTTAGGGCATCAGGTCAGCAAAACTTCCCTTCTTTTTTTGAGACTGGAACTAATGACAACTGGTTTATCCAGAACACAAATTAGCTGCTGATGTAAGAAGAGGCATCAATTAACAGGCTGAAGAACAAAGCAAAAAGCTTATCTTAATTATCGATGATTACAAAAGTTTATGATGGACAAGGTTGCTCTAGATTTTTTTATTTTAAAAAAAAACACCCTTCATGTTATATCACTTTTAATTCTCTGTCCTGTCTGTGTGGAGTGTTGGGAATTCCATTCCACCCTTGCTGCAGATATGTGGGATTGTTACATGTCACATGTCTGTGTTTACATTCCAGCACAGATTGCTGGAGTCCCGTGAGCGGAACATCTGCTCTGTATTACAGTGGTACCTCGGGTTAAGTACTTAATTCGTTCCGGAGGTCCTTTCTTAACCTGAAACTGTTCTTAACCTGAAGCACCACTTTAGCTAATGGGGCCTCCTGCTGCTGCCGTGCCACTGGAGCACGATTTCTGTTCTCATTCTGAAGCAAAGTTCTTAACCTGAGGTACTATTTCTGGGTTAGCGGAGTCTGTAACCTGAAGCGTATGTAACCTGAGGCATATGTAACCCAAGGTACCACTGTACTTTTGTTTGTCTCTCTCTCTCCGAGAAGAATGACAAGGAGAGAAGCCATGTTTTCTTTGTCCTGATTTATGTTCAATAAACGTAGCCTAGTATCCACACCTCAAGCCAGCACTGTTGTGTGTTTACACTGCTGAGTAATGTGTGCTCATGTACAGTAGCATGAGTTGCGGACGCACGTCGGAGGAGGGTGACTGATAGATCTCTGCAGCGGCAAGGCTGAGAAGGGAGACAGGGCAGTGCATCCCGTTTTGCTGCTTGTGCACTGGCAGGAACAATATCAGCATTTTGTTGCTGATAATATTAAAATATTTGGCAGGCAGAAATCCTTCCCAGCCTTCTCCAAACCAGTAATCTACCTTCTGCCCTCTACCTTCTAAATCTTGAACTTCAAATAAACTTAACGAAACTGCACAATAAAAAGAATAACAATAATGTGTGCTGAGCGGTTAAACTGAAACTAAAAGTAGCACTCCCAAAAACCTTTAAAGGTTCACTGACAGACAAAAGCCACTATTACCCTCTTTGCTCTGCTACTGAAAAATACAAGAACTTTGACTCAAGAGGTTCTATACCTACTTTAAAGCACACGCTTCTAGAATTGCTTGGATGCCATCCTTCTGGGCATGGGGGAAGGGGAACTGTTGTTGGGGCAGGAGTTGTCACAATTTCTGCCAGTTGTTTGCAGATGAAAGGTGCCTTCTCCTCACAGTTCACAACATCCCACAATCCAGCTGCAGTCCCAGTTCTCATGGCAACACAGCCCGGAAGCTGCCCTTTTGGAGACACAAGACAAGAGCCACTTTAGTTGAAACCCTTTGTGAAATACAATCTCAGTTAGGCTTCAGGCAGCACCTACGAGGCATTTCTTCATTCCAATGGGTGAGCAGAACACTGTCTCCATTGGTCCAGTGGAATGTGCCTGGTTGCTTTACATCTGAAAGGCCGATCCAGAAATATTTTTCAGAACGAAAGCCAACTAGACTAGTCAGGTAGGCCTGCTCATATCTGTGGAGAAGAATACATAACAATTGTATTAAAAAATACATTTGTGTTTCTGTGTGTTTGTGATTTCTAATTTCCAGATTTTAAAATTAAATTAATGGCTTACCATGGATGGGCCAGCTCTCATCAATTCAAAGGGCAAGGGGTGGATCACAGTGACCAAGGGGGAGTGGCTACGCTTATAGCTCCACCATCACGGATCAATACATTTACACATTGCAACCTGAGCATGTAGCTGAAAGTGGGTGAACCTCAGCTACACTCAGGTAATATATGGAACCAGTCCTTTTTTTCTGGGGGTACACAAGGGTAAACATACCCCTAAATGTTTTGTGAATCTAAGTTTGGCCTCATTGAGGGGCAATATTTCAAACTGAGTAGGAAAATGAGAGTACCCCTAAACAGTTTTTTAAAGAAATAAAACACTGTATGGAACTCATATTTGTACAGCATAATATTAAGATTTTAAGAAGATATTCTAGAAAGCACGTACATATTTAAGGTGGAAACACATGGAGGCTGAAAGTCTTAATTGTCCAGGTCCACCAGTAAATCTATAACAAGGAATTAAAGGCTCTCTGGGTAGGAAGTCAAGCCACAGATGGCAGCTCAAATAGGAAATTCAAAAGAAACGCAGAACGGATAATTCAAAATGGCAGTTTAGAATCCTGAAACATAATTTGTTGGGCTGAGCTTGCCTGGGTTACAAGTGGAGCTCAGCCAGGCTATGCCAGCACATCTCCCAGGACCCTCCTGGTTCCTCCTAGCCTGGAGGGCCTTAAACCATCATAAGCCCTGAAACAGGGACATGGGATGGGCAGCGCAGGAGGGAGGAGGATTCAAACTGGATCTTAGGACTGTTCCACTCAGTCACGTGACCTGAGAAGCTGGTGGGACCGATGCCAGCAAAGAGGGTGATCCACACCATCCAACATTTCTCCAATGGAAATAGGAACGTCCCATTCCATAATGATAATTTTACTATTTATGCCCCACACATCTAACTGGGTTGCCTCAGCCACTCTTGGGCGGCTTCCAACATATATAAAAACATAAGAAAACATTAAACATTAAAAAAAAACTTCCCTATACAGGATTGCCTTCAGACGACTTAGAGGGTCAGATAACTCCATACCCTCCAACATTTCTCCATTGGAAATAGGGACATCCTAAGGAAAAGTGGGACATTCCCCGATTAAATCAGAAACCAGGACAGCTTCTCTAAATCAGGGACGTCCCTGGAAAATAGTGACATTTGGAGGGTTTGGGTGATTTAATCACAAATCACAATAGGAGTCGATGGAGAGGGGCTGCTCCTAGGGAAATGGGCCCAGGCTCACCTGGTGACCATATCCAGGTCCAAAAAGGGTCTCTGCTCCAAAAGAGGTTTCTGTATCCTGCAGATCTTTGGCCAATCACAAGGCAGCACCTGCAGGTTTTAAACTGAGCATGTTCAAGCCTCAGCTTACCTCACTTCTTGATTCCCACAACATAAATGTTACTTTGGATGTCAACCAACGTCAGGCAGGGTGGGGGGAGAGAATAATACCTGTTCTCCACAGAGGTCAGAGATCCCTTGTTTGTTTCACAGAATGCCTGTGCTTCTGAAAATGTTGCAGATGTTTGTCCAATTAAGTAACAATAGGATCCATGCCTTTTCCAGCCCTGTCAAAATATTCAAAAAGTCAATAGACACACGTTATTGCCATATTAAGTTCAGGGCACCTAATTTACTTGGAAAGACCTGGAAAGCTGTCTGTGGACAAACACCGGTTCTCTTGGCCTGAAAGCAAGATGAGCGCCACACCTCATAGTCACCTTTGACTGGACTTAACCTTCCAGGGGTCCTTTACCGTTTTTCGTTTTTCTACCTTACACAGTTTACTTTAGACTTACTTTCTGGCAATCTGGATTGGCAGTTTCAGCTTCTTCAGAAAGAAATGCCAATGGTTCTCTTTTGCAGATGTAACCAAGTTCCTCTTCACAATAATTATCTGCCCAGTAGCCCCTCTGGAGACAGAAAAGTGAAGAAATATAAATCACAATCAAGAAGGACCCACTGCCTTAAACATTTTCATTTTTTACATTTGACGCATTTTTGGTCAATGCAAAACTCTTTATTGTTCTGCATGCTAGAAAACTGCATTTCGCAATTACATGAAATCTATAGTCCTAACCAACAAAGTACAATTACCAAGAAAAAATAATGAGAAGTTGTTAATGACAGGCAAACAGGAGTTTGTAGCATTTGAAAATACATTTCTATCTTGAGAACTTAAGGCTAATGTGGTCTAATTAACACTTATGAAAAATTTTAAAACACAAAAATTCAGGCCTGCATTCATTTGTTCTATTAAAAAATATTTATCTAGGCAATCCAAATTCTGCTATAAGAGCAGTTGAATCCCACTCTCTTTATACGCTGTCCTTAACTTTGCAAAATGTATTCTGCAATTTATTTTTTAACTAATTGCATAATTCATTTGGGGTTTTTTTCTGGTTATGGTTAAGAACATCAGAAATGCAGGGGATTGAAGCATTGCCACCCAAAATAGGATGCTTTTCAACTTTTTTGGCTTCCGAAATTTCAACAGACAATTTGCACCCAAGCACTGGTACCAAAGCTATGAAATCGCTTTTTTAAAATGTGAGATTATTAAGACAAATTGTGCCTCTAGCACCACGCTACATGCTATTTTTCTGTTCTCACAGAATTCTAACATACACTCTCCAGAAAAGTGGTTGGCATGTTGGGGCAGTGTTGCAGAGCCACTCTCCTGACCCCAGTGCTACCGCTTACCTGGACAATGCAAAGGTAGCACAGGATAGTTGCAAGTTGGGGCTGTGTGGGCACACCAGTGGGAGTGCAAGATAGATCCTCAGTATTTTATTAGTCCAGTCTTTCACACAAAAATGAATCCAATGGAAATATCCATCATGGATAGGCTGGATGCTGAGGAGTGGTGGGAGCCACTGGCCAGGGAAGCTCCAAGGGAAGAAGGCTCAGAACCAGGAAATTGGTTGTGGGGCAACAATGCGTGGTCAGAGGAAGAAGAGGGAGCAGAACAGGAGGAAGAGATGTCAGAAGTTGAAGAGGCAACAGGCTTTAGTGAACAGGAGGAGGCTAGGACAGAGGACAGTCTAGACTCAGAGGCAGGAGAAGAGAGGGGGCAGGAGACAGAGATGAGGTAGCCTGCTGAAGAATCCAGGGAGCCTCCCTCCTCCTTCTGTCACCAGCTCTCCTCCCCTCTTGTCTCCTAGAAGACAGAGAAAAATGAAGAGGGAGGAGCAACGAGAGACACGACAATGGAGTCTTAGGCTGCCAGGGAAGGAACCAGGAGGGGAGCCTTAGAAAGCAGTGGGAAGGCAAGGAACTTCAGTCCTCGCTACTGGTTCATTGGGGCAAGACCTATTGGGAAGGGTTGCTGTGACCACTAGGACTGAGCGGTTTTGTTTCTTTGAATCAAAGTGAACTTCACTGACATCGGATGCTTTATTGTTTCATTGCTGATGTACGCCTGACTCCAGCTCCTGACAATATTAGAGGTTCCATATTTTTTACCTCTCCATTCATGATGACACAGTCGCTTTGCACACCATTAATTTGTGTGGGTTTTCCTTTCTGCCACTTGGTGAATCTCACTGTAGAGCCATCGCTCCATTCGTAATACATCGGAGTCTTCTGGTCATTTAGTCCAATCCATAGAAGATCCGTTGGCTCTAAAAACACAAATGTATCTTATTTGTTTGCTTCCAGATTTTATTTTTGAAGGTGTTGAACAGGATCCTACCACACACAGCTTTGTGGTGTATAAGTGCAGCAGAAGAAACTATTCACCCCTCCTTTCCAATTACGCATGTTTGAGTATAGCAAACTCCACTGGGGACCATCAGTCCTGAAATGCAGCTCTACAACTAGACAGCATCTAATGCCCAGCTTTCCTCCAACCTGGTACCTTCTGGTATATTTTGGACTTCAAACTCCAATCATCATTCCTGATCATTGGTTACACTGGCTGGGGTTGATGGGAGCTTTGGTTCAAAACATATAGAGGGCTGGATGAATTAATTGGGGCTGGATGAATCCCTAGCCGGAATTAAGATTGCTGGAAGAAATATCAACAACCTAAGATATGCAGATGACACAACCTTGAGGACAGAAAGTGAGGAAGAATTAAAGAACCTTTTAATGAGGGTGAAAGAGGAGAGCGCAAAATATGGTCTGAAGCTCAACATCAAAAAAATGAAGATCATGGCCACTGGGCCCATCACCTCCTGGCAAATAGAAGGGGAGGATATGGAGGCAGTGAGAGATTTTACTTTCTTGGGCTCCATGATCACTGCAGATGGTGACAGCAGCCACAAAATTAAAAGATGCCTGCTTCTTGGGAGAAAAGCGATAACAAACCTAGACAGCATCTTAAAAAGCAGAGACATCACCTTGCCAACAAAGGTCCGTATAGTAAAAGCTATGGTTTTTCCAGTAGTGATGTATGGAAGTGAGAGCTGGACCATAAAGAAGGCTGATCGCTGAAGAATTGATCCTTTTGAATTATGGTGCTGGAGGAAACTCTTGGGAGTCCCATGGACTGCAAGAAGATCAAACCTATCCATTCTTAAGGAAATCAGCCCTGATTGCTCACTGGAAGGACAGATCCTGAAGCTGAGGCTCCAATACTTTGGCCACCTCATGAGAAGAGAAGACTCCCTGGAAAAGACCCTGATGTTGGGAAAGATGGAGGGCAGAAGGAGAAGGGGATGACAGAGGACGAGATGGTTGGACAGTGTTCTCAAAGCTACCAGCATGAGTTTGACCAAACTGCGGGAGGCAGTGGAAGACAGGAGTGCCTGGCGTGCTCTGGTCCATGGGGTCACGAAGAGTCGGACTCGACTAAACGACTAAACAACAACAACAATTGGGGAAGGCTGTAGAAGGCAGTGCCATGTCTCACATTTAACTGGCTTGTGCCTTGTTGTGCTCATACTCACACAAACATCAAACAACAGGAAAGCAGAACTTGCTGGATGTACTTACGGTAGCCTAGCTGTGAAATGACAAAGCTGTGTTCCATAGTGTTGTGTATACTTAATAAATCTCCACGTTCCCTTCGACAGGACAGCAATGCCCCTTTCCATGTCTTGGGGTGTCTGTTAAGGCGGTAACAATGGCCAGCATATGCAGCCCAGCCATCTGGACATTTTATAGGCTTTAAGCCATCTAAAAAGAGAATAATAATATTCAAGGCAGCATGACTTAATGGATTTAAAAAATAGGAATTATTTGCTGTTACAGTGTCATTGACTCACATCCTTAATTAAAATATACAGAATTCAGCAGAGGCAAATCAAGACATCAGTATTAACAAGACAGGGTGATCTGTTTCATCCTGCAAAGATATTATTGCCAATATGGTAATCAACATAGGGTCACTCACACTGAATTTGCGTAGTTTTGCATAGTGGAGCAAGTGGGAGAGGCAACCAGTTTGAAGATCTCCTCCTCTATTGCATGAAATGGTGAAATTAAACCTGAAAGCATCATTTCACTTGCGGGAGATAATGAGCCATTAGAAGCATGAGGAAACATGCCATAGGATCTATCATCTTGTTTACCCTGACATCAACTTGAGAACATATCTCCTTTCACCAATATCACAGTAGTTTACATTAAAATATAGCTTTAGCAAGGTTTCTGCAAAATATGCCTTTAGACCATGCTTGAGATCTTTCCTGATAGATAACTTATTTTTGGCTACTAGTAAAATACCCTCAGGCATCTCAATCCAATGAAATGTTTGGCATTGCATACACTGCTACAAATAGCAAAAACTTCCATTACTAGAAATATGTTTTTGAAATTTAGTTCGGTAAATGAATAGCATTGCAGGACCGGGCATCGGACTTCCCATACCCCAACCTGTATAATAAGAGACCAATAAGACTGGGTTTTTGGTCAAAACAGGCCACAACTTTATTGAATACAGATGAAGGAGGTTTGGCTTGGGCATGGGGCAATCGAAATACTTCCGGCCTGCCTGGAAGTGATGCGTAAGTCAATCCAGACAGGGGTTCCTAGACTTACATCAAATAGGGTGTCCCCTGCAGGGACCGCCATCTGGGGGAGTGGCTATGGCCCTGCTCCCGCCTGGTCCCGCGGATATGGCCACTCCCCCCGATTCATTTAACGGGATACCCCAGTGTTTGGAGGGGCAGGCGGAGACTACAACCTCCCCTCCATCCAAAACAAAGGATTGCCCCAATGTTACAAATAGCAAAAACCTCCATTACTAGAAATAGGTTTTTGAAATTTGGTTTGGTAAATGAATAGCATTCTCGGTTTAATCTCCTACCTGTGGGAATAAGAGAAACATCCAATGAAGAGTTCCCTTTTTTGCAAATGTATCCAAGTTTCTGCTGACACTTTTCATTCTGCCATTTGCCATTTGTAGACTGCATTGATCCACAGATTTTTTCTGTTTCTGGGGATGGGCTGCCTTTAAGCAAGAGGGATATAAACGATCATTGTTTATGTCCTGTGCTACTTTTATTTATGATTTATTTGAAGACTCCACCTTTAGAAGATATCATCATCCGCCTTTAATAAAAACCTTTTTACACACATAGTCAAAACAATATATTTTAAAGTCAACAGCATAGCACAACAGTAAGTTAGCCACTTAACTATAGTCACTCGTAGGTTTTGTAAACCACTTTTTATTGTTCTCTACAATCAAGCATTATATAAATGTTATGAAATAAATAAATGTACATGTACAACAGTTTGAAAAGCCTTTGTTAACAATGTGAGAGATGGGTTCTGCCTAATCCCAGCAGGAATTGCATTCTGGACCACAAAGAGTTATTTTCAAATGCCACCTGGACTATTTAAAAGGAATTACTTTAAGCACTATCCACTGGGTTTTAAACCACCAATAAATCCTTGAAAGTGCTTTACATTGGTGACTGACTGTTAAATGGGGGTGGCTTTCAGTATTGATGTCATTGTAGATGCTCACTCACCTGGAGACCAATTTAAATATCTAAAAGGATGGTTGCCAATCCACTGCCATCCATTGTCAAGATCCAAAGCGTTCAGACCAATCCAGTAGTAAGTAGATATCTCATTTATTAATCCTATTTATGGAAAAGAAAAATTGGTTGAATTGCATTTTGTTGCCGGGGGGGTGTATATTTACGATGTGGGGATGGGGTGGGGTGAAACAAAAAACTCATTCCAACATTACTAGGGTTCCCAGCTTTCCTTCTTGTGCCAAGAAGAAATTAATCAGATGAATGCTTTCAGCCGGCATGCTGGATCTAAATTAAATCGCCTTGTACTGTGTGGGAGGATACTTCAGTATTATGCCATGTAATGTGTCTGCTTACAGTTTAGACAGCATTTCTTAACTAGCAGAAATCAAATGATACCAATCACTTCTTCAGGCATGCCTTGTTATGTCCTACCTGTCAGGTACGCTTGTTCCTGTAGATCTGTGATAGTCAGTAATTCTGCATTCTGTTGCTGACAACTTTTTCTTGCTTGGTACCATGTTAGAACTGAGAGGTAATTGATCTGGTAGAGATCCCCTGTCCATTGGTTTCTGGTCCAGAATAATTCATCACGGTCATCTGTAAACGTGAGTGTCAAATCATCAAATTATCAGTGATGAAGCTAAATCTTCTAGTGATGGATATTTGAATATTTATTAATCTCGATGCCACTTTTCAGAAGAATACCCAAAACAGTATGCAGAAATAGAGGTGCTTATGTGATCACGGGGAGAACCACTGGCATTGCCCCTTAATCCTACAAGTGTTCCTGCATTTCGTGTTGCATCCAAGGAAGAAACCAACACATATACATACACATATAAATAACCTGGAACCCCACATGCAATCAGCGTTTTAGATTCTAGGCTAGTTTTTGTGAATTGGCTTTCTGCTTGTAAACATAGACACCTAATGCATATAAAGGCATATAGAGTCAATGTATGGATGAATGGAGAGCCCTGCGTTACAGGCTTAAATGTCAGTGTATAAGCACATCCTGAAAACTGCACACAAGCAATTTCAAAAAGCACAAATCTTCTGAGACATTTCCCCTCTGCTTTGATTTCCTTGCCTCAAGGAAGGAAACTGCCACTGCATGTTTGGTACAATATCAAAATCTTTCCCTCTCTCAGATGCTCCCCAGCAAACACCTAATTTTTGGGATGTAATCTGTCTGCGTCCTTTATTCAGTGACTCTCCACCACAGCTCCAGAACTCAATTTTGATCTGAATGGAACTTCATCCTCCCAAATGAACAACTGCGGGCCTGATTCTGTTGGGGAGCCCTGACATTACGGACGATTGATTTTGCTTTGACTCACAGGGGGGGAAGTGTCCCCCACCCATTTCTGCTGTAGTTGCACAATTTGGCAATGGCACCAGTTTCCCTTTTCTCTTTGTAGGAGAAACTTTCCTCTAAGCAGCAATCACATGGTGGGAAAGTAAGGCCTGAAATAAAACCTTGTTAAGTGTTTACCTTTCACTGGACAGTATCCGCGTAAAGAGTCTCTATCCACATCTGCAGTTGTTCCGCACCAAAGTTGTCTATGTTCATCATCTTCTCTTATGCACTGAGCATGCCATTTATTCCGATACTTGAATGGAAACACACAGGGGGCTCCAAAACCATTGCCTCTTAAGGTATACAGAGCTGAAAGAAATTGGACAGATACCGGTGAGAAAACTGGATAGATACTGGTGAGAACAGAATTAGGCAAAGCGGAAATGATTAAGACAAAGTCCTCAATACAAGAGCTCCACGAATGCTCAGATACACACAGGCACTTTTTGTGTCTGTCAGTTTCCACCATCCATGGAGTTTTCAGCATCCATTCCTTTGCATGCTTGGATGAATACATGGATGCACCTTCCACTTCAACTGAAGTGAACCTGATATCTTCAACTGAAGTGAACCTGATAGGTAGGGTTGGGGAAAACCTGTGGCTGAAATCCAAATGCTATCCAATTTGGGTTGTTTATCGACATGATTTGAAGTTATGCAAGTAGCATCATGTCTATTTTCACCCCAGATGCAACATGCTTGAACTGCATATACAAGCTGATCATCAAGAACAGATTCTCTTAATCTTACCTTCATAGCCCTTGGAACACAAGCTGTCTTTCGTTCCATAGATCTTCCAGGTACTCTTGCTGGTGGCTACTTTAGAAAGTATAAGACGGCTTTTTTGGCCACCTTCGGGATTTAAAAACAAATCCCCCTGTTCGAGTGCAAGGAGGCTGTCATTTCTGCATTCCCATTTCTGAAGTTCACTCGTCTCATTGCAGGGAGAGAGGGTGAGGGCAACCAGGTTTGACTTGGAAGGCACTGCCAGGCATAACTTCACTGCCATGTTCAAAACCTGGTCGTCGGAAACCCACTTGAAATGTTGCCACTCATTATCCTCATCGCAGTTGACCAGGATGATGGAACGAGATTTCTGAGATTGTATACAGAGTTTGGTGTTTTCATTATATATCAGAAAGCTGTCACTATCTGCAAAATTAAGAAAAATAACAGGAACATGGAGAGAATGTTTCACATACCTTCCAATATGACAACTGCTGGTAAAATGATAATACAAGGATTCAGAATAAGAGGCAATAAGATTGATGGAGAACAGAGAAATGCCTCTCATGCTAATTCTGTAGTTTATTTTAAACTATCCAACGCTGTGCCGTATTTATCAGTGGTCCATAGTATTGTTGTCATGTTTAAAATGCATTTTGTTCTTTTAAACAATTATCCTTGTAGCTGAAATTTCATTGATTTAGCTTTAATAGTACAACTTTAGCTTCCATAAGATGCTTTAAAAGTAAACAGTTAAAAATGCACCTAGTGCTAAGTTCACAATGGTGATGGAAGTGAAAAAGAGCTTACCTGATACCTGAAAAGCCGGCTGGATGAGAAGCAAGAGATTTAGGAGCAAAAAGGAAGACATTGGCCACAACCAAACCTACCACACCGCTCCCATGGAAATAAGACAAATCAGAGTTTGCTGCCTTTCAAGAATTCCTTGATAAATGAGTCAGGCAGAATGAAAATTTCACTTCTGTTTTTACATTAGGAAATGCACCGTAACATCACACACACACACACACACACACACACACACACACACCATGATCTTTCTGATCTGTTAATCAGCTTCCATGGAAAAGACAGAAAAAACATGGGTTATTGAGGCCATTTCCCTTCACTTAGCCTAGTGCAAGCCCAGCAGATTGTTGGATGAACAGTTTAAAAAGTCTTCAGATTTCCCACCACCTGTTTTAGGATTGCACGCTTAGCTCAGTACTAAACTTATCAAACAACAAATGAAATGTCTTAGGAACCAACTGTAACTCGTGCAACACTCGGGAATGTAAGAGTGCCTCCAATGCCCTGTTAAAAAGCAAAGATGCTCCATAATTCAGGAATTTAGAATGAAAAGCTGGCATGGGAAGGTGAGGTCACAACACTCGCTTTCTCTCCATTATTCCTCCACTACAGCCTACCTCCAAGTCAAATCAAATCAAAACCTGTTTTTTTGCAACGACAGACATGCATGTGAAACCCTAGGATGGGTGGGTGAGAGGAAGTCACTTACGGCGGGCAAATCTGATTTGGCCACTGTTACATACAATTCATAGGTAAGAAGTAGTTAGCCCCTTATTTCCTAGTAAATATTCTTAGGACTGCAGTTATATTAATTTAAAGTTATATTTAAGTCAAAGGAACTGTTCTCAGAAAATTTGTTTCACAACAGGATGTTAAGAAACCCGTTTCCAACTCCCCAGGAGTAGATTGCAACCAACAAGCAAATGATATTTCCTCTGCAGCTGTGTCTAAGGTGAAGTAAGTTTAAAAAAAAGAAGAATTTAGAGTTAAATTATTAAAAGGCACTACAGCAAAGAAACTTAAGGGGCTATTTTTTTCTATTAAATTTATATCAGGCTGCCTGCAAGCTTAAGTATTTTTCCCTAGAAGTAAGTGCTTTTGAACTCAGTGGAGTTTCCTTCTGAGCAAATATATTTAGGACTAAGCTGCCAGAACAATTCCTCCTCCCCCCCAAAAAAAAGTAAATAGCAAAGTCAACACACATTCAGCTTATCCATCAGCTTTATGTGAAAGCGTGGCATCATTCTTGCAACTGAAAATCTCTGCCTTATTTTCGTTATATCCTGCCTTTCCTCCATGGAATTCAAGATGGCGTACGTGGTTTTCCAACTTCCAATTTCATCCTAAGAACCCTGTGGGTTACATGGAAGTACAGTGACTGACTCATGGCCACTCCATAGCCAGGCTTCCTTGTTAGGTGGGATTGCCACATTTTTAGGTAGGACATTTTTTTTGGGTGGGTGGGGCAAGTTTGTTGAGCCTCATATTGCCATCTAAAAGGAGGAGCCAGTAAGACCATTGACTGCAGGGTCTATAATTACCAAGCTGCAATTCTGCCCTTCTCCAATCCATATACAGAAGCTGATTGGTCTGGCAGTTGAACCTTACTTCAACACTAGCAGTCGGGTGGCACCCTGCACTGCACACAATGGAGCAGGTTAGTTTGACCAGCTAACCGTCTTCCAAGCAGTGGGATTGGTCATGGCCTTAGGATGATTAGGCAGAGGACTGATGCCACCGCCCCCAACATCTGCCATTTGAGGTGCTCCTGATATCTTCTTCACATTACCAAAAAAGCAACAACACAAAAAACCAGACTTGGAGGAAGAGGAGCTGTGTATCAAGTTGCCTTTCCCATAAGAAGAGCCCTGGTTTAGACCAAAGGTCTGTGTAGTCCAATATTCTGCTGTCGGAGCGGCCAATCTCATGCCCATGGAAGTCCACAAGAATGAAGTCCACAAGTGCAACAGTATTCTTCCACTTGTGGTCCTCAGCAACTGCATCTGATACTGTAGGTAATATTGCCATCATGACTAGAAGACACTGACAGCCTTCTTCTCCATTGATGCCCCCCCCCCCTTTAGCATCTAATTCATTAGGCTCTGTTTCCTCTGGGCATCATTACACTGAGTGTTGTTTTTTTCCTTGTCCTCACTAGTAGCCACCAATGTGGGGCAGGGGCAAGAAACAACACCAGATTATGAGATTTAAAGAACCACGTGTTATAGGGAGAATGAGGGGGAAATCGGGCTGCTGTTCTCTCGTGTGCATTTGAAGTAGTGCCTTGCTCCACCCTGAGTGTTAGCTGGAAAATAAGAAACAAACGCAAAACAAAAATGAGACAAAAAAGCGAAGTGAAAGTAAACTGATATTAAGAAGTTCCGTAAAAATTTTGAAACAATTATTCAAGTAACGTCTTCATTCTGGTGGCTGCTGTGATTGTCTTGGTCAGGTGACTATCAGCTAATTCAGAAGAACTAACTCAACAGATGTTGAAATGCTGAGGGGAAAAGTGCTAGTAATTTCCAGATGTGCCATAAGAGGTGTGGGTGGGTGTATTTCGATATAAAAATAATCTACAACAGGGAGCGGTTAATGCTTCACTGTGTGAGGGAATGCTGTTTGCCATCTTAAAGGAGGTAATAAGACTGCCACTATTTTAAAAAGCCAGTGCTTGACCAAATTGATTGTCACAACTATTGCATACTTGCAAATACCCACTTTCTAAGGAAGCAATTTCAGGTGGAACTAATGGAGACATACATTCCTGGATGAGACTGTTTATCTGGATCCATTCCAGATAGGAAAAGAGGTAGTAAGGGAACACCTAGCTACTATAATGAGTTCAAATATCCAGGAGAACATATTCAGAGGGGAGTGAGGGGATATGGAGCACCTGTGTTGGGCAACAGTCGTCTTCTTTTTAATGCCAAAGTTCCTCTCTTGACAATATCTGGATAATGTGAATCAAACGGAAACACACACACACACACACACACACACACAGAGAGAGAGAGAGAGAGAGAGAGAGAGATGAAAATATATAATAAAACTATATATATATATATATATAGATATAAACTACAACGCTAAGCACACTTACGTTGGAGTAAGCCCTTCTCAATACATTGCATGTGTACGTAAGTAGGGTCTGTGTGTGTAAATTGTGTATGGATGCCTTGGCCCCGCCCACTTTCTGCTTTGACCCCCACCAACCACTGCCAGGCAGACCTCGAGAGCATGACCAACATGGCCCTCAGGGTAAATATGTTCCCCAGCAGTAACAAAACAATAAGACAAAGATAAAATCAGCAAAATTTTAAAAGTCAGTACGCAATCGCATAACTAAATTATCTGTCTCTGTAGGCTTGCTAAAATAAAGTTTTTAGAAAGTGTCTAAAAATATACATCAAGAATACCCGCCTAATGCCAATAGTCAGGGAGTTCCAAGACATATATGCTGCCACATTAAAAGATTGACTGCTTGTAGATGTGGAAAGAAAACTGGTCCGAAGCTGTTAAGGGGCTTTATATACCAATACAGTGGTACCTCGGGTTACATACGCTTCAGGTTACAGACTCCGCTAACCCAGAAATAGTGCTTCAGGTTAAGAACTTTGCTTCAGGATGAGAACAGAAATCGTGCTCTGGCAGCGCGGCGGCAGCAGGAGGCCCCATTAGTTAAAGTGGTGCTTCAGGTTAAGAACAGTTTCAGGTTAAGAACAGACCTCTGGAACGAATTAAGTACTTAACCTGAGGTACCACTGTAGTAAAATGCTGAATAAGGCCCAGTAACAAATCAGCAGCCAGAAGAGATCTTTGCAGGGGTACTATTCTGCCAGAATCTTACCCCTGTTAGCAATTGTGCTGCAACATTCTGTACTAAGGATAGCTTCCAGACTGCTTTCAAGGGAAGACCCACAAATAGTGCATTGCAGTAATCTAATGCTTGAAGTACTGTGGCCAAGCCATCCCAGCCAAGACTGGCAATAAGTGCCAAGCTACCTGGGATCTCCAGCAGCAAACGTGGATCCAGGAACATCTCCAGATTGCATACCTGCTCCTTCAAAGTGAGTGCTTCACCTTTAGATTGTCACTTTTCAATTGAGTCTGCTGAGATCAACCTGCTACCTGTAGCACAGGACTTTTATCAGCTGAGTCTGAGGCTATGCCTGTAACACTTGCTCAAACCACACACACACATACACACACCACTGTCAGCTGTAAGTCCTAAGGCCAGTAATGAAATAGAACAATTGTTCTTATCTGAGGAGTACTGTACTGTATTTCTCTTTGGGTATATGAAGATCAACAAATGGGGTTTGGTTTCCCTCTAGTGGCTGAAGGCAGGAAGACCTGAGATTCACAGAAAGGAGTTGAGACTCCGCTATATAACTTTTTTTTTTTTTAATGATATTTATTAAAGTTTACAGAAAGAAAAAGAATAAAGTTTTTTTTAAAATATAACCAAAGAAGTAAAAAATAAAAGAAAACATACCAAATAAAACAATTAAAAGGACATTAAATTTCCATAACCTATCTTCCTTATACTTATTTCCCTGGACCTCCTCATACCTCCCTTTTTGTATTCCAGTTCAATTTGTTGATTCAGCAAATCCTTACCATTGAAATTACCCAGTTGCAAACCTTTTTTCATATCTCTTAAAGCATTACAGCTAAAAAACCCTTAGTTTCTATCCAACATCCTTCTAAGATTCCTTAATTTTACAATATTTCTGTAAATAGTCTTTAAATTTCTTCCAGTCTTCTTTCACCGACTCTTCTCTCTGGTCTCAGATTCTGCCAGTCATTTCCGCCAGTTCCATGTAGTCAATCACCTTCATCTGCCATTCTTCCAGAGTGGGTAGATCTTGTGTCTTCCAATACTTTGCGATGAGTATTCTTGCTGCTGTTGTTGCATACATAAAAAAAGTTCTATCCTTCTTTGGCACCAATTGGCCGACAATGCCCAGAAGAAAGGCCTCTGGTTTCTTCGGAAAGGTATATTTAAATACCTTTTCCAATTCATTATATATCATTTCCCAGAAACCCTTGATCTTTGGGCACGTCCACCAAAGGTGAAAGAATGTACCTTCAGTTTCTTTACATTTCCAACATTTATTATCGGGCAAATGATAGATTTT